CCACTCAGCAGCTCACCCATTGCATCAAATGGCAGCCCGAGTTTTGTTTTAAAGTGAATTCCTAGATAGTTTCATGTAATTTGTGTCATTCACAATTAGGGATAGTTTTGCTTCTTTCTTTACGGCCTATGTATAATTCTCTTGCCTGATTGTTCTGGCTCGAACCTGCAGTGCAGTGTTGAAATCCAGATGTTTTTTTGTTTTGTTCTTCAGCTCATGAACAAAGCATCAAGAAGGATATGGGCTGTGGGTCGTTCAGAGTTATGTCAGGGTAAAAAGCCCCCTTCTACTCTGAGTTTATTGAGTGTGTTTCTCACTCTGTCAAACGCTGCTGGCATGGTGCAATACAGCAACTCAGTGTCAGAGGCTGAGCCAACTTTGCACTCCTAGAAATAAAACCTACCTGTGGATGATCAATGTACTACTGAGAAGTGTCTCAAAGAAGTTAAATACATCAAGAAACAAAGGTATAGAAACGTGAGAGTCTTGCAAGCTGGAAAGCTTAAGGAATTGGAGAATATGGCCCTCATAATGAAAAATAAATAAATAAATAAATAAATAAATAAATAAATAAATAGAATTATTTATATATATATATATAAATGTAAAAAGAACCATCTAAAGGCCGGCTCTTCAGGCTGGCACTATGGCAGAACGGACTAAGTCTTTGTTTGCAATGGCACCAGTTCCGTTTCTGTCTAATCTGTTTCCTATCCAGCTTCCTGCCAATGAGCCTGGAAAGACAGTGGAAAGGGAGTGGAGCTCAGGTCTACAAGGGGCAGAGCTCAGGTCCACAGGGGGCGGTGCTCAGGCCCATGGCAGGGGTGGGGTAGGGATTGGGGATTCAGTGCTCAGACTTACTGCCTTCTGGATCTCTCCTGGCTGGCTTGCTGCAAATGTATTAGCAGAGTCAACCCAACAGAGCTTCTTATCTTCCATAATAAAAGGATCTCAGACACAAGACAGAGATAAACAAACAGTATGCCTGGCATGCCAGGTAGACATCTCAGCAAAGAACAGAGTCCAGCCAGCAGTCACACTGGAGTTTTTGTGGGTATGTGTCCCTCCCCACACACACACACACACTTACCCACATCCTGGTGACTTTATAGCTACCCCCCATCCCCCATGGAAGTCGTGCGAGACCACTCCTCTCTGTCCCATGCCAAGTGGCAATAAAACCCTGGGGAGAATTCTTACTTATATTGCATCCAGCAAAACTCTTTGTCCAGAAGAAGGGGCGAGGGCTGGGTGGGGGAGGTAACCAGCAGAGAAAACAGGGTTCCATTTCCCTAGGAGCCCCTGTCTGAGCACAGAGCATCCTCTCCGTGCTTTCCTGCTCTGTCAGGTATGCTGTTTGCAACTGAGATGTCTCCCTAGAGAACGCATGGGTATTCTTTCCCATTAAACTCCCTAACCTGAATGCCCAGGCACTCGCTCTAAGAGTCCTTTGGACAGCTGCCCATCCTCAGTGCTGATGCCATGTGCCACTACACCTTGCCCCCTTGCTCACCTTTCTCTCACATGCAAATTCTATCTTATGTGGAGACAAGAATCTTTATTCCACTCATCTCCCCTAGGAGAGTCAGCATTCTGAACACCCTGCACAGTAAATGCAAGGGCCCCGTCACAGGCTAAGGGAGTCATTGTTAACAAACACAGGTGTTAGTGGAGATGGATGAAATAGCTTCTTTTCTTTGTAAGACAGAATCTGGATGGGAGCAGAGGGGTGTGGGCAGCAAGGGAGCAGGGTTGGGTGGGACAGGGTGTCCGTCTGCATGGATGGGCACCTATTGGGGCAGGATCTCAGAGTGCCCAGCCGCTCAGACTGGTGACACCAATGTCCAGTGCAGAGAATACACACCAGGGGGCAGCGTGAGAAAGAGCTGAGAGCTAAGCTCACTGTCTATATGCAAACTGGGGCGTGTAAGGGAGTGGACTCTGGTTCTTCCTGCCATTTCTCTTTCCCCTCCTTCCTCTTCTCCTGCACAAAGGGTTTGTTAGATTTGGATGATACGAAATTCCTCCCCAAGTTCTGAGGGCTGTCAGACTGGGGAGTCCACCTGTCTCCCTGCAGAAGGGATTAGCCCCCACGGTGCCTTCTTTGGGGGAAAGCTGGGAAGGCTGTGTTGCCCATGTGGTGCTGAGCAGAGAGCTTTCCTTGCAGGGGAGGGATGCAACCACCTACCTGTCAAGTTATCCAGGACTGGGCAAGAACTTTGCACTGGAAAATACAGGGCAGCTTTCAAGGTGTGCTTCCAGGGCTTTCTGCACAAGCTTTGCTTTTCCTTACCCCCCCCCCCCCCCCCCCCGCGACTTTGATACAAAGCAAGGTGCCAGTGGCAGGAACCAGCCACTCCCAAGATGCATCCTTCCAGAGCCAACAGAGAGGCAGCGAGAAGAATGGCTCTGGAACAGGTGCATGGAAGTGTGGAGCTCAGCCTACACCTTGACTGCAGCTCATGGGGGCAGCGCTGTCCTGGGGGAAAAGCTCCATGGGATGGACGCTTAGCCCAGCAGTTACAATGACCAGAGGCCCATCTGTCAAGGCCCCTGGCTTCTGCGCAGAGGCAGGATAGTCTATGCGAGCTGCCGTGGTGGACAGCCCTGGCCTCATGCGTGGTCTCCTGCCACTGTTCTTCTGGAGGAACGGAGCTGCGACCAGGGAAGCGGAGGAAGGAGGAAGTATGGGGTGTGTGAGCAGATGCTCAGGGAACCTCGTTCCTTCAACTGGGCCACACGGAGCCAAAGGTAGATCCTGGTGGGGGTACGGGAGCGGGGGCATGGAGGTGACTGGCCGCAGGGGACTGAAGGCAGTCCAGGGTTTGGTGAGCAGGGAGCCCCCAGCAGTCCCAAGGTAGCCTCCCTTCAGTACTAACCAAACCGAACCCTGCTTAGATCCTGAGATCAGGCGGGATCCGTGAATTCAGGCGTGGACGTGGGGAACAGCCTCCGAACTCTGCAGCCTGCCGCTCTGCTGCCCACCGACCCCTGGTTGTCGTCCGTCGCCTTGTGCTCTGCCGCTGCCCACCTGTCCACCTGCCCACCTGCAAGCCCAGCCGAGCCCAGACCGGCAAGAGCAGCAGGCAACAGGACCTGACCGACTCCACCCCCTGCTTCAGCCGCCCACTCGCAGCTCCTGCGCTCCTGTTAGGATGCTTCCCCCTGCCTGCAGCCCTGCTCCGCCCTCCTCTCCACGACCCCTCTCCACCTCCACCCTGGGTCGCCATCTGACACCGGGGTGGACATACCCGCTCTGGCTCCTGACCCTGGTGGGCAGCCAGTGACACCTCCGGCAGCTGGGTCTCTGGCACCCACGTGGGAGATCTGGACGGAGGTCCCGACTCCTGGCTTCAGCCCCAGTCCCGCCCAGACTGGCGTTTGAGGAGTATGTCTCTGGATCACACGTGCACGAGCCCGCAGGTGCACCGCGCCCTCTGAGCTCCAACGTTGCGCCCTGTTACAATAACGTTAGGAGACCTGCAAGGCTGCTGCCCCACGGGTCAGTCACTCGCCCTTCCGCGACCCGGACGAGGATAGCTGGAGAAAGAACTCAGAACAAAATGAGGCAAATTGCCAAAAGGAAAAGGTACATGAACCACACCTAGCAAAGGCACCGCTGGGATTCGAACCCAGGATCTCCTGTTTACTAGACAGGCGCTTTAACCAACTAAGCCACGGCGCCAACTGCAACGGTGCTGCGAGAATCTATTCCTCATTTCTATGGTCTCCAGCGGCCTTGCGCATGCGTAAGAAAGCTGCTATCGCCTACGCATGCGCTACAGATTTTTAGCCTTGCTGGAAATCCTGAGCGAAAAGTGTTTCCAGAGACCGGAAGCTCTGGCGGGACCTGGTGGGCAGGGCGTAGGCGGGCCAGGCCTCGGGGCAGGGTGGCATCCGCTGGCGCCCGGGGAGGCTGGGGAGGAGTGAGGCGGGGAAGCGAGGCCGGGCCTGCCCCGGCATCTCGTCGGGTTGTGACCACGCCGCCTCCCGCCCCGAGGCTGGAGCAGGCCCGAAGGATGCAGCGCTCCTCTGGCTGGGCGCCCCAGCCACCCGGGCCCGACGACAGCGAACCCCGGTGGGCTGGCGTCCCGAGCGACGGTTCCCGCGCACCGTGGATGGAAGCCGACACGGGGTCCCCAACACGGGGTCTGTCAGCCAGCCATTCTTCCCTGGGCCCAGCAGAGCATTCCGAGAGTTGAAGACTGCACGCCCAATATTAAGGGGCGGAGGGCGGGCTCTCGCCGTGTGGTGGCTGCTGGTGGACGATGTGTGCGTGGGACCAGGCTTTCTAACCCAGACCCTCCTCTGGGAGCCGCAGTCCGTGTAGTGTGGCTGTCACACAATACTGAGCTCACTGTTCCTAGCAAGCCCAAAGATCAGCTCACACCTTGGCAGCACAAGGCAGGAGCAACAGGCGGGCCAACCTTGGGGTGCCCTCACCCCCTGCCTTCCTCGGTGCTTGGCCTAGTCCTAGAGGATCTAAGCCACCTGCAACACAGGCATCAGTCCCTTGCCCGCCCACGCCCTGCAACTTCATTCTCTCTCCCTGGGCCCCTCGGCCTCTCACTGCTGCCTGGCTGGGGACCCAGCTGCTTTCCACGACATGAATCAGACCCAAACCCTGAGCAACCAAGGAAGCAGCAGCTGTGCCTTGCCACACCGCCCCTCCCCCCGCCCCCGTTTACCAGACACCCCAAACATCTTGAAAATCGTCATTAGGTTTTTCCCGGGAAATGGACGTCATGCCCAGAAGTGAACGTAAAGCTTGGAAGCGACTTCTGAGTCATGCGCACACTTGTTTCTCAACGGAAACTCGATTTATTCTGCGCGTTCACCCACCTGCGGGTGCTGAGGCGGTATGCTGTAAGCCCAGGTGGTGCACGGCTCCAGCCTGGCATGCACTCAGCCCACAGAGCCAGGGGAGGGACCCGAGGCGGAGGTCCCCACGGAGCTGCGGTGCCAGGCAGCCCGGGCTCGCGCCTCAGGGCCCTCGGGTGTCAGTGATCTTGGCTGCGCTCCTCTGACAATGAGGAAGACTCTTTCTCCAAGTCCCGCGCCTCCATCCGGCAGAACACACACTTGGTAAACAATTCGGAAGAGGAGTCGCTCTCGAAGACAGAGAAAGGCTTGTCACACCCTTCGCACTGGCGGGAAAAGTTTGGACAAAGAGCTGAAGGGAGCTGCGGCTCTGAGGGCAGAGAAACCTTAGCCAGGCCGCGGCTGCCCTATCTGGGGGTGTCTCACCCCATCCAGAGAGAAAATGAACACTGGCTTCCCAGGGGCGGGGCAGGTCCTGGCCACGGGGCGGGGGTGTGTGCTGGAACACAGGGGGGGTGTGTGTCCAACCCTGTGCCCTGCTCTGGGCAGTGCCCTGGCTCCCGGATATCCAGGGAGGAGGGCAGGGGTGTCTCTGGCATTCACAGAAGCCTGAGAAGCGAGTGAATGCAGTGAGTCAGGCATGCCTCAAGCGCTGATCCTCCTCCTGCCCTGAACCTGTGTCTGGCCCTGGTACTCAGAGTACAGTGGAGAAGGCCGGCCAACTACACCACCTTGTCTGTTTCCCACTTGCAAACAAGTGCCTGGGGTGGGGCCCATCGCAGGGCCTTGCTCTGTAGCATGGGCCCGTGGTGACAAGCCTGCAGGGTGGCCTGTTGTTGTCCTGGCATGCCAAGCCTCCGTGCTTTGCCCACTAGGGGTGGTCCCCTGGCCTGCAGGAGAAGGATGGGTAGGTTAGAAGGGAGAGCCCTCTGAGAAGATTTTGAGCAAAGCCAATGCGAGCGACTCATCGCAGCTCCAGGTAGGGTTCGTTGATCATTTGCAAGAAAGAAATGAGATGCCTTACCACCAACAACACTGCCGCCCTCTCATCCCACAGATCTTTTCTCCATGATCCAACCCCAGAACAGGAGGCACAGAGGAGGCAGTTCCCCAGGAGCAAAGATGAGGTGCACATTGGGTCCCGCCATCTCCCTGCCTTGCAGCGCCGCTCCGTAATGAGCCACTGCCGGAAGCATCAGACAGGTGTGTTCGCAGAGAGGCTGTGGTAGGGACTGGCTGCCACAGCCCAGGGATGGACTTGGGATGGGCCTGGCTCCAAGGACGTGCCCACTATCCCCCCAGCTCTTACACTGGAGAACCGGAGATGTCTGACCTCATGCGTGGGGAACAGGATGCAGGATGGCCCACTGTGTGCCCCCCAGCGACCAGTCCCTCAGCCTCATCCCTCCCCCTTTCCCTCATGGGTGTCACTTGGACACAACAGGCTGGCTCTTGCCTCACCCCACCACCCCACTCCTAACCAGCTCTTCCCTCTGTCCGACAGTTTGTTTCCCAAGTGTCCACACAGCTGAGCCCACCATCCAGTCTGCCCAGATATCTCCTGCTCCGTGAGACCCGGCCTAGCCTCCCTGGAAGATGCTGTCACCCCCAGCGCTCCCACACCCCTCTCCTACGGGAGCCTCCTCCAGGGTGCTCGCTTCCTGTGACTGGCTGCACATTCTTCTGCCCCTTCTAGAACTACAGGTCCCGCAAGAGTCCCGCTGTGTTCCAGGCTTGCACCCCCAATTGTACAATAGAGATTTGTTCAAAGAATAAATGAGTTGGGGGGGAGGGGGTGGGGAAAGAGCATGGGCCTTAATTTCATTGGGCTTAATTCTACCCAATACCAACCTGCTGCAGTTTCAAGCCCATGGCCTTCCTATACTTGATAACCAGAGGAATTTCATCAATTTCTTCAATATTCCATATCCTCATGGTCCTATCCTGAAACCAGCAAGGAACCAATGGTCACCAAGCAGGCTGCAGTACATCCCACAGTGGACTATTATGAGTGCTGTAAAGAAAAAGCACTGGCAGGCCCCAAGTGGGTGGGTGAGTCTTACATGCACATTGGTAAGCAAAAGAAGCCCGTCTGGGGTCGGCCCAGTAGCATAGTCAGTCAAGCAACTGCCTGTGTTGTCAGCATCCCAGGTGGGCCCTGGTTTGAGTCGCAGGTGCTGTACTTATGATCCAGCTCCCCGCTTGTGGCCTAGAGAAGCAGTCAAGGACGGCCCAAGGCCTTGGGACCCTGCACACATGAGACCTGGAAGAAGCCCCTGGTTCCTGGTTTTAGATCAGCTCAGCTCCAGCCATTGCAGCTGGTTGGGATGTGAACCAGCAGATGGAAGATCTTTCTGTCCCTTCCTTCTCTCTGCAAACCTGCCTTTCTAATGAAAATAAATAAAGCATTTTTTAGAAATCATCTAAAAAGGCTACAACCTGTTCTGGAAAAGGCAAAGCTACAGAGATAGAAGCGGCTCAGTGGGACCAGGGGAGGGGGCTGGTGAGCAGGCCCAGTTCTGAACTGTTGTGACGCCACCCCGCAGGATGTGTGGCATGCATTCCACAACACTCAGCACTGGGTGCAGCGCCAAGACTGAAACCACGGAAAACGAAGGCCTCTAGTTAAGAAAAATCGTAGTTCCAGAAAGGAATAAAGTCCTTTGGATGATATGAGTTTAGCCCGAGAAGAAGCTGCAGATTTCTAGCCTACAGAGCTGTGAAGGTAACCTAAGTCTGTGGTGCTTAATGTTTAAACAGTGCATCTGTGGGAGCTAATTAATGCAGCAATGAAAGAACGCATTGACTAAAATCACCTTTCCTAACTCCCCGGTTGTAACTGAATGTCTCCTGGCACAATTGTAACAGCAGGAGTGGTGGCCCTCTGCCAGGTAGAGTTGCCCAATTTTACCGAGAATCACATTTTTCTACAGTGCTTTATGGGGTTAGTCAAGTCACAGCAGCACAAGTATGTCTCCTTCTAGCTCTCAGCTGCGTTAACTCACAGTTGGATGCTTCAAAGCATCTTCTGGATTTCTACGAAGGTTTCCAATGAAACTGCATAAAACATGAAAGCCTTTGTGCCTCTCAATCGTCACACTCGGCGGGAAGCATAAACGTGAATTTTGGAACATTCCATGCATTCCATCCAACACTTGCAGGAGTAAAGGAATGACTAATTGACCTGCACGCCAGGTACACAGCATTCCAAGTGTATATTACTTACCTGTAGTGTTGGGTCTTTCACAAAGTTCTTAGCCACCCCGGCCTTTGCCTTGGTCCAAATAAAGCAGTTAATGAAATGTAAGGCTACAGAAATGGAAGGACAGACCTGCCCACACAATGGCACTGTGGTCTCCAGACACAGAAAACACATTAAGCATGCTGCCCTATGGGAGAGGCAGAGCAACTCCTAGGTTTGAAATATGTGAGGATTCAAATAGAGACAAAGGGTTCTCATGTACTGTTTTTCTGGAGCTTTGGTGATCTTTGAAGAGACTATAATAAACCACAAATAAGAAACAAACAATAAATAGCTGAAGTAATTGCACCTGAGTTGTTTGAACTGCACAAAAACACATACAGTGGAAATACCACTTATTTCTGGGGAGTGACAGCATCTCAGTACTCCTTGAGAAAGATGAGTTTCATAGTGGTGACAACTAGTATGCTTCAGAGTATTTAAAAATAATAGGCATCAGGCCCAGTACAGTAACCTTGCAGCTAAAGTCCTCGCCTTGAAAGCACCAGGATCCTATATGGGCACCAGTTCTGGTCCCAGCAGCCCCATTCCCCATCCAGTGCCCTGCTTGCGGCCTGGGAGTGCAGTCAAGGACAGCCTAAGGCCTTCGGACCCTGCACCCATGTGGGAGACCCAGAGGAAGCTTTCTGGCTCCTGGCTTCAGATAGGCTCAGCACCAGCCATTGTGGCTGCATGGGGAGTGAATCATCAAATGGAAGATCTTCCTCTCTCTCTCTCTCCTCCTCTCTGTGTATCTGACTTTACAATAAAAAATAAATAAATCTTTTTTAAAAAAATAGACATGGTGTGGGTGGGAAGCAGGTGCTGTGGCATAGTGAGTTAAACTGCCAGGTGGCATCTTGTATTAGAGAGATGGTTCTGGCTTCGGCCTGGCCTAGCTCTGGCTATTGTGGGCATTTGGTGAGTAGACCAGCAGATGGAAGATTAGGGTGTGTGTGTGTGTATATGTTTCTGTAAGTTTGCCTTTTCAGATAGATATTTTTGAATAGACATCTTAAATACATCTGGCATGCATGATGAATTGCTTGTGGCAGAGGATCTGGATGGTGTGAATTTTTTTTTCTTCTTTTTTTATCTGAAGGGCAGAGAGACAGAGAATGATCTTCTGCTGGTTCACTTCCCAAATGCCCACAATGGCCAAATCTAGGCCAGGCCAAAGCCAGGACCCAGCAACTCTGTGCAGATCTCCTATGTGGGTGACAAGGACCCAAGGACGTGGGCCTCCCTCTGCCGCCTGCCAACGTGCGCATTAGCAAGCTGATGGATCAGAAGCAGAGGTGGGACTGGATCCCAGGCACTCCTGTCCACATGGGATGCAGTCAGACGCCCAGCCCAGCACTTGATCTGTTGAAAGAAGCTTGCAGATTTAGTGCATTTGGACATTTCTGGTGGGCTGGAAAGTGAGCCCCGCAGGCACGAAGACCTGTTATGGCTTGTGAGCCTCAGTTCTCCCGCACTCAATGCCTATGCTGAGAGCAGAGGTAACTGGAGGTCGTTATCTGACAGCAGCCATCAACACAATGCACGCTTGAAGGGAACAGAAGTGCAAGACCAGGCGGATTCTACACTTGACAGTATTCAGTTTGATACAAGTGGCAGGAAGTTCAGAGAACTGTTACAGGAGAAAGCAACAGAACTAGAACTATCCTACTGCTTATGGGACAGAAAGAAACAGGTTTTTGTTTAATGTGTGCTAGTAAAATAGGTATCACAATACTGATGGAGCCATTGCTAAGTGTGCTCATAGGAGATTCTGAATACGCTCATAGTCCCGTGTCTCTGTCACCTCCCTCTGGGGCCAAAACCTCCTCCTCACCCACAGCAAAAACTCCGTGACAGCTAAGCAGGACTTCCCCTGCCCCAGCCCTCCGACCCCCGGAGGACAGCTAAGCACGGACTTCCCCTGTCCCAGCCCTCCGGCCCCGGAGGACAGCTGTCTCCCTTCTGCCTCCGTCACTCTATCCCGATGCCTCACACAGGCCTCTTGTGGCCAATGTCATGATTTCTTGCCCTTTTGAAAGGCTGAGCGATAGACCATGTTGTATAGACCTCCAGTCCAGAACCATGCGTTCAAAGATCGAGGGGCCTGGTGGACCCCCGCTTCTCTGGCGCTCCCATCTGCATAAACAGCCCTGGCCAGTGACCCTGCCATTTGGATGGCAGTGACCCATATGCAGTGACCCAAGAAGGGAAGACCCAGCTGGGACCCCGGGGATCTCTCTGCTGCTGGAGCCTGAGCTGATGCACCCCGTGGTACAGACCCAGAGGCTCCTGGCATCTCCCCACCTTTACAGATGCAAGGGACTCACTTTATACAGCCCCAGGTGGCTCCTTGTGGCGGGATAGGGGTGTATGGGAGGGAGGTGGCCAGGTGTAGGCACAGGAGTGAGCCTGTCAGGGAACTTGACCCCAAGAACAACACTTCTGCTACCCCCCGGTTCTGGCAGGCCGTGACCTTTCTGGCCTGGCCACTTTGTTTTTTTACCTTTGAAGCAGACAGGATCCATTTCTTGTCCCTGCTTATGGCAACATCCATGACCCAGTCCTTGTGACCCTGAAGGAAAATAACATTTTAACCAGATACCTTCAGGAAAGGCCTTGATAAGCACCATAAAAGCAGACAGGTACCCATGAGAGCAACCAACCAGGCTCCCCTGGTTTCAAGCGTAAGCGAACAAGGTGCTAATCGTGTGGACTGTGGCTTTCAAACATGATACCGCAGGAACAGGTGCTTAGCCCAGTGGGTACGAAGCCTGCATCCCACAGCGACAGCCTGGGTTTGATTCCCAGCCCTGACTCCTGCTAACTCCTGGGAAGCAGCAGAGACGACTCCAGTAATGAGACTGCCTGCCACCCTGTGATGCCGTTCTCAGATCCTGGCTCCGGCTCTAGCTCAGCCCCTGCCGTTGTGGACACTGGGGAAGAGAAGCTGAAGGCAGACACTGCTGGCTCCGCTTCTCTGTTTCGAAAATTTTAAATAGGACTGTGGCCATTGTCAGGCTTTCGTTTGCACCCTTGGTTCTAGAAAACTCGTTGGGAAGGCCGAGCAGTAACGGGGCCCAGTGAGTCACCTAACATGGACCCATTACGGGCTTGTTTTCCTGGGGTGACAAGAAGGTGGGGAGGAAGTGGCTGCCATGGCTGACTCTGCCAGGACGAAAGGGCTCTGAGTTAGACTCTTAGTCAAGCTTTGACCTCTCCTTTATGGAAAGAGGTGGCAGGGAGCAAAGGGACAGCTCACCCACGCTGTGTGACCGAAGGACAAGAGGAACTGAGAGCACACCACAACCCCACACGGGACAAAGGCGCTTCTCAGGGTAGAGGGGTCTAACCTGCTGTATTAAGCTGTCCATTACCTCCCCCAAGCCCTGGCAGGAGATGGCTTGGACACAAGAGCCTAGGGGCCTGCACGGGTGCAGCTGCTTGGGGGTTCCCAGGCTCTGTCCGGGACTCAGGGGACAGAGAGTTCAGGAGCCACAGGGAGTAGGCAGAACTCTTGACAGGGCTGTTGAAGGAGGCCACCTTGGCTTCCTGCTGTGTTATGCGACATGCCTCCTTATTACACTGCCACTGCAAGCTGGGTCTCCTCTAACCTGCTGGCGACACCCCAGGTGGAGCCTCTTCTCTCTGGGTCCCCTGTAAGGTAACAGCTCTGGGTTTTGCTTTTGCTGCTCCGTTGACCTGGAATGTCGCCCCCCAGGATCCTTGCTTATCCATCCCACCCCTTCCTTGCTACCCAGTTCTCAGCTCCAGTTCTCCTTCTCCGAGAAGCCCTCCCTGCTTCTGAGGATTAGCCCTGAAGTCTCTTCCAGCTCATTGTCCTGTGGTTTCTCCCTGCCCCCTGCCACAACATCTCTCTCTTTGCTGTTGGTGATTGGCGTGCTGGCTTTGACACAGACATGTCTGGTCCTTTCCTTAGGAGGCACCTTGGTCTGGCTCCCCTTTATGCCTGCCCCCAAGATGGAACAAGAATGGTGCACAGCCCAGATCCTTCTCTCTGAAGTCGCCACTGGTACCTTCAGGGCCAGTTTCCGGTAGCCTTCTCCTACATCCCAAATGGCCACGGTCTTGTCAAACCCACCGGAAATCAGAAAAGAGCCTGCAACACAAAACAAAAGGAGTGTGCATATGTGTGTGCGTGCGTACACACAGGAGGTGGGGGCTCATTTTCCCAGCCAGGTGCTTCTTCCTCTGGTGGGATGGAAGGAGGCTGAGGACGTGTGGACTGGCACCAGGTCTCACTGTAACCACACGCAGACCCCTCCTGGGTAGCTCAAAAGCCTCCAACCAGATACAACCAACTCTCATTTCTCACGACAGTTATATTTTTTAAAAAAAAATTATAATTACCATGTAGGTGGCAGAGGCCTAACCACTTGGGCCATCTTCCACTATCTTCCCAGGAATATTAGCAGGGAGCTAGATAGAAAGTGGAGCAGCTGGGACTCAGAGTTCTTAGGAGATGCCAGCTTTGCAGGTTTAACCCACAGCGCCACACCTGGCAGGGAAGTTTACGAAACAAGTGAGTTTACGCAAAGAGTGAGTCACCTAACATGGACACGGTGCTCCCAGCGGATACACAGGGACAGTGTCCTTAGCCCTTCTGCTTTCCCAGGAAGAGTGTCCACCCTCCCTGTGGGTAATCCTTGGACCTTACCTCTGTGGGTGCATATCCCTGAAGTCGCTGTGAGCGCAGGACGTGGGAACCTTGCCCCCCCACTCCCACGGGAGCTGCATCCTGCCTATAGGAGGCTACTCACTGTCTCTGGCAAAGAAGCAGGAGCTCACGGAGCCTTCGTGGCCCCTCATGAGGGTCACACATGCCCCCGTGTTCCGGAACTCTCCCGTGTGGACGTTCCAGATCTTCAAGCTTTTGTCCCAGGAGCTCGTACACAGGAAGTGGCCGCTGAAGGTGAAGCAGCAGTTGGAGATAGCATTGGCGTGCGCCCTGAAACACGAAATGAGGGGCTGCCTGGGTCACTGCTGAACCCCCTGAGGGCCCCAGAGGGACCTGCTGAAGGGACTGCTGGTGTTGGGAGGGGACAGCATCCCTTCGACGACGGGCCTAGGCATGAACTGCTCAGGGTCCTGTTCTTCCAGGATCTCTTACCGTGTGGTGCAGAATGATTCTCAAGGGCTGACCACTCCTGTGGAGGGATAGCAGCCCCCTGGCTTTCTACCCACCAGATGCCTGGTAGCTTTCAGGCACAGCAGTTAGCAGCCACAAATGCCTCCAGACCCTGCCCACTGCGGGACCAAGCAGGCTCCCCACTGAGAACTACCACGAGGATTAGAGATGCTTGCGACTTCAGGAGAAGGTGCTTGGGAGTGCAGAGGCGGAGTGCTGGACGGCATTTCAAGGGGTTCTCTCCTACCTCCGCCTCCCTTTCCTCCCCACCCTGGTGGGCCTGTTTCCATCTTGCTCCTTCAACCCCTCCCTCCTTCATTCTTCCAACTGTTCAGCAAGCTGTTCTTCCTCTTTCCCGATGCCTCCTCATCTGTCTCCAGTGAGATTAAAGCACATTGCTGTGCCACCTATTTGAGTTACTCATTCTCAATTCTCCACTATCTTTATTAAAAAAAAAAAAAGATTTATGTTGTTTATTTCAAAGGTGGTGTGGATGAAAGAGGGAGAGGCAGAGAAAGCAAGGATCTTCCATCTGCTGGTTTACTCCTCAAGTTGCCACAATGCCTGGAACTGGGCCAGGCTGAGGCCAGGAGCCAGTCACCTCATCAGGATCTCCCATGTGGGATGCACGGGCCCAACCACTGAAGCCATGTGCTTTCCCATGAGAAGTGGAGGGGCTGGGTCCCAAACAGACACCCCTCTGGAATGTTGGCATTGCAGGCGGTGAGCGGGCTTAACCTGTTACATTATGTGAGCCTCAAATATACAGTTCTGATGTGTGCTACAATCCAGATGAAATCTGAGAACATTGCTTTAAATGGGATAAGCCAGACACAAAAGGACAAATTATGTATGATTCCAGTTATGTACTGCATCTAGAATAAGCAAATTCACTGGGACAGAAAAGAGAAGAGCATTGGAGCCAGAGACTGGGGCAAAGGGGTGAGGTGCTTCCTTAATGGATGCAGAGTTTCTGTTTGGGCTTTAAAACACAGTGGTGATGGTTGCCCAACACCAAGAATGGAATTAATGGCAATGAATTGTGCACTCAAAATGGTTAAATGGCAAGCTCTCTGTTGTACATACGTTACCACCATCAGAACTAATGGTAATCGGTAATAATGCATAATATCCTCCACACCACTGAATTCATTTCAAATCGGTTGAATGTATGGAATGTGACTTATATCTCAATAAAGCTGTTACGAAAGAAACAAGGGAGGGAAGGGGGAGAGGAATGACTTGATGAAGCAGGTTAACCCATCACTCGAGACACCTGCATCCCAGAGCAGAGCGCTGGTTCTTGTCCCAGCTCTACTGCTTTCCCATCCAGCTTCCATCTAAGGCACACTGGGAGGCAGCAGATGGAGTCCAAGTACTTGGTCCCTGCCTCTCACGCAGGCTTCAGCCTGGCTCACCTCTGGCTGTTGTGGTCCTTTGAGGGGTGAACCACTGATGGAAGATCTGCTTCCAGCTCGCTTTCTGGAGCTCTGCCTTAGTAGACACGTCACACACTACTCCTCCCTGGGCACGTGCTGGGAGCCCTGCTCTGTGTTGAGGACCTTCTGCCCGGAGCGCCTCCTCCAGCTCTCACCTGCGTTCAGCGTGCAGGTAAGGACGCCGAGGCTCATGGGCACACAGGATGGGAGATCACATCCATGTCACGCCTGGCCCTGAGGAGGCTGCAGCAGGCAGGGGAAGGGAGCAGAGAGTGGCTGGGCACTGGGCGAATGTGCAGCCTGGGGTCCTGGCTCCAGGGTCTGCAACAAAGGGTTGGTGCCAGCTGCCAGGTTTTTCTGAGAAACCTCAGAGCTTTTCTCAGAGGAAAGTGACCTTTCTTTTATTTTTAGGAACTGGCCTTTTCGGGGTTAGAATGGTAGTATAACAGGTTAATCCTCTACCTGCAGCATCAACATCCCATATGGATCCGAGTCCCAGCTGCTTTGCTTTTCATCCAGCCCATGCTCCTGAGAAGTCAGCAAAGGATGGCTCAGGTTCTTGAGCCCTTGCACCCAAGTGGAAGACTCAGAAGAAACTCCTGGTTCCTGGCTTCAGATCGGTGCAGTTCTGGCATTTGTGGTCATTTGGGAAGTGAATCATGGATGTAAGATCTCTTTCCCTGTCTCTCTTCCTCTGTGTATAATCTGCCTTTCGAGTAAAGATTTTTTTAATTCACCTTTTCACAGGACTTTGCACCTAGTTCCCTATGTTGGCTTACGCTGGTATCCAGCCAGAAGGCCACCACCCCGGGCTTCCCTCATGGCCTACCTGCCTCCAGCCTCCGTGGAGCACGCGTGACCATGCTGGGGCTGCCCCACCCAGAGCACGGGAAGACACGCGGACTACCGTCCCCAACCTCCCAGGAGTTGCAAGGAGGCATCTCTCCTCACTTGGGGATGGTGAGCAATGTGGCCTGGGAGGTGATGTCCCAGATCTTGATGCTCCTGTCCAGCGAGACAGATGCCACCCGCTGGCTGTCGGGATCAAAGCAGCACGCCGTGAGCGACCTCTGGTGGTGATCTAGGTAGGGTACAAGAAGGGACTGGAGACCCCCCGCTCTGCGGTCCAGGCCGCCTGCCTCAAACAAACACAGCTTCACTCCTTGTAAAGGATCACCCCTTGCACACACAGCCCTTGTGCCCCAACAGGCTCCCAGCTCATGGAGACACTGCCAGCCAGGGACAAGGTGAGAAGGCTCCGGAATACACCAGTCTTTCACCTGCACCGCCCCCCAGTGTCCCTGCAGGGGTCCGTGTGCACAGGCCCTGACAGTCACCAAGGAAAGCAGGAAAAGCAGCCTGGGGTGATGGGGCTGGTGTGTGAGGCTCAGCAGGGACTTGCAGGGCAGGGCAGGGCAGGGCAGGGCAGGGCAGGGCAGAACAGGGCAGGAGATGATCCTGCAAGTAAGAAAGAGAAGCTACAGACAGTGCCCACACTGTGGGTCTGTGCTGATGAAAACAGTGAACAGAAAAGAAGTAGAACTGAGCACACATGCACACAAGGACACACACACACAGCACACACAGGAAACGCAGCCTGAGAATCCTCTTCAGTTAGTATACAGAAAGCAGAATTAAAGGATAGGTTTATTTTGGTGCCGAAAGGTTGGAAAACCACACACCGTTTTCTGTTTTTCTAATTAATTCCTTGTTTGTTTGTTTGTTTGTTTGTTTAAGAGGTGGAGTGACAGAGAGGGAGAGACAGCGAGAGCTTCCACCCCCTGGTCACTCCTCCAGATGCTTATAATAACTAGGGTCTGGGTCACGGCCAAAACCGGGAACCAAAGCCAGGGACGAGGAGCCAGGAACTCCATCAGGGTTTTCCACCTGAGTGGCTGGGACCAGGTCCTTTGCCTTTCCAAGTGTATTAGCAGGGAGCTGGAATAAAAGTTCCAACTGGTGTTCCGCTATGGCAAGCTGTGGATTAACTTGCCGTACCTCAATGCTGGCCCCACTTACCACCAATATTTTAGAAGACCCTTTTTTTGTGCATGGCTGCCGAATCATTTCAGCACCAAAATAAACTGATCTCTTTATCCCTTTTGTACACAAGAGTCCCAAGTCCATTATATTAATGACAGGTGCCCTCCACCAGAGCCTGGTGGCTTTGTGCTGTCTCCGGTCAATGCCAGGCTTTCTTTACAATGACCATGTCTCTTCCTTCAATTAGTTGAGACAGCTGCCGGAGTACGCTGTTGACCCAACCCATCCCATTTGCATGATGCTCACATGGCATCACAGCTACAATATATTAAAGATTCTTACTTTATAATTTAAAAAATAAATAACAAGGTAAACATGTGAGGAGGGATTCTCCACACCCCACAATGCTGGCTCTCTGTTTCCACTTGAACTGTGACTGTCAACCTGTTGACTGGGCCTTAAAGGTGGTTTCACCAAATGGAACTATCGCTAGCCGCTACCCTTTGTCATGACCAGCAGCGGTGGCTCAACGGAAGGCGGGATGGAGCCAGGAGCCCCGCAGCCTTACCTTTGATGTGAGCCACAGTGCTCATGTTTTCCGTGTCCGTGATGCAGAGTCCACGGTCCACATCCAAGCCGCAGACCACGTACTTGCCATCAGGAGAAAGCTTGCAGGACACGATGAAGTTGTTGTGGCTGATCTTCCACTGAAAGGGGGTGCTGTCAGAAGGTCACTCTCTCTGTGTCCCAGTGTGTGCCCAACACAACTTGCCATGACCATGGGGATGGCCTGTCTGTGCACTGCCCACATGGTAGACACGGGACATGGGTGGTCGCTGAGTGCATGGTGGACCAGTACAGACAGGCAGCTCAATTCATAGGTCTACTTGGTTTTAACTCATCTGATGAATTCTCTACATTCTGCCCAGAGAAAGACGCATACAGAAGAAACCTGCTGGGACACAGCCACGAGCTTTCAGGCAAGACCCATTGGATCCTGCTTCAGTTTGGGATACAAGTGTGTGTTGTGGCTAAGATGCTGGGTGGTCACTGTCACTCTTGAAGATGCTAAGGCAGCCCCAGATCTCCACAGGGACACCCATGGTAAGGAGCTGAGGCCGGGTGACCGAGCCCCCTCGGAAGGGGATCCTGCAGTCCGGGTGGAGCCTGAGGATGCTGGCAGCCCCAGAGGACATGTCCCTGTGGTAAACCTCACAGGAAATCTGAGCCCCAGAACCAACCAGGGCCAAAGCCCCCCGAGACTTCTGGCTGCCGTGGTGGTGGTGGTGGAGGTGGTGGTGGTGATGGTGGTTACAGGTGGTTGCGTGGAAGTTGCGTGGTGGCCACTTGTCAAGCAGAGCAAAAAACTGATTCAGTCCCACTGCTGTGGAGGGAAGGTACATGACTCATGCAGCAAAAATAAATAACAGCACTAGGGGAAAAATGTTGGAGAAGGAAGAGAAAAGCACCACGAATAATAAGCTGGCAAGAAGAAGGGACAGAAACATCGCCAGAGAGGACACAAACATTTGGGAAAGCACACAGAGCCAGGAGGAAACACCTACCTAAAGGGCTAATGTGCCAATCAGATCATGATGCCAGTATGAGAGGCCAGGAGTGCCCAGGGCTGAGCTGGCACAGCTTTTGGGGAAGCATCCTATACTACTTGCATTAGCAATGGCATCTAACTATGTGCCCTCAAGAAATAGCAGTATGTCACAATGAAAGAAAGAAGAGGCAGGGGAAGCCATGAGGGCCTCCTGGAACGGGGGTCTCCGGGGAGACCCCTGAGCAGGGCTAAGGCTGCTGTGAGTGGGAACAGGAGGCAGGGATTCAGTGGTCTCTATCTCTCTGTGGATGGAGATAGACAGGTGTGCTCGCCCTCCACCCCAAGACAGGGAAAGCACAGATTGGGAAGAATCCGGCGCCTTGTGCTGGTTTTTGTTTCGATCGTTTGCCCACGTGGCCTCTGTCTATTTCCTTAGCCCCACTTCCTGCCTCACCAAACCCAAACATCCTATGGACCAGCCTAGAATGCCATCGCTTCCAGCCCTACAGCCACCCCTGCTTCTTTCCAGCCAGCCAGCCCCTCCCCACCCAACACCAGTCAGGGAAGCCCACAAACCAGCCACTTCAGGAAGCAACCCATCCTCAGGCAGCCTGCACGCAGCAGCCGCAAGCAATGGCTCTGCAGGGCGGCATTCACACCTGCATCTAGGCTCCTTGAAGAAACTAGGGCTTCAGGCATCTCCTCCCTCCCCAGGCCTGGTCAGGATCCCGAGCTGCCTGAGTCTCTGGGCAGGGCATACGTACCAGCAGCTGACCTGTTTCAACATCCCAAGCCCTCACGGTTTTGTCATAGGAGGCTGCAATAACTCTAGGAATAAAAAGACAAAAGCTGAGTCTTAACAGTGGAGACAATGATGCCGGGAGTTTCCATGAGGAATTCTCAGAGTTTAGGACCAAGATTGCAAACAGCCTAAAGATGCCCTGTGAGATCCACGGAGAACCTGAGGAGGCTCACTCTGGGCCTGGAGAACCTAGCAAAAGGCCATGACAGGGAACAGGTGCAAGCCCCATCACAATGCCAGGATCTGGATCCTGGATCCTATCCTGCCCCCAGCTCCCCACCTGAGCACTCCGGAAGGCGGTGGCAAGGGTCCCAGTAGTTGGGTTCTTCCCACCGAGTAGAAGACTTGGGTTGGGTTCCTGGCTCCCAGCTGTCAGCCTCCCTCCTTCACCATTGCAGGTGTTTGGGCAATGACCCAGCAGGTGAGAACTGTCTCTGTCATTCTATCTCTCAAAGGCCAAAGAAAACAAAATCTCTTAAAGGCACAGCAGTACCATTATCTCTCTCAACCTTTCAAGCACATAAATACGTTCTTTGCATCCTTTCTTCCCTTCTACAGCACCTTTCCAGCGCTGGTGGCTTCCCTCCCTGCCCACACAGTTAGCTCAGTGGTCTCTGCCATGCCTTCTCATCCATGAATGTGCCTTTGTCTGCTAACGCTGCGTGTTTCTGTGGCATAAGATAAACTAACTTCAAGTGCAAACTCCTGCTGGACCAGCATATTCGTTTTACAGCTGCTTGCCCGGGCTAAAAGCAGACTCCTGTGGACCAAAGTTGTGGTGGAGCCCCGCTTGCAAATTTACCATCTTTTATCTGAGCATGCCCACTGGAGTCCCGGACTCTCACCTTCCCCTCTGACTCCATTCTGATGCACCTGAGGAAGCAGCAGAGGATGCTCAAATGTTTGGGTCGCTGCCACCCACGTGGGAGGCCTGGATACAGGTCTTGGGTCCTGGCTTCAGCCTACACCAGCACCTGGCTGTTACAGCCATCTGGGAGTGAACCAACAAATGAAAGATTCTCTCTCCACCCCACCATCCGACTCCATCACTCTCCCTTTCAGCAAGATAAATATTTTATTATTTATAAAAGATTTGTTTTTATCTGAAAGAGAGTTATGGGTACATGGGGGAAGAGACTGAGAGAAAGGTTTTCCAACCACTGGTTCATTCCCCAAATGGCCATAACGGCCAGAGCTGGGCTGATCTAAAGCCAGGAACCAGGAGCTGCTTCCAGATCTCCCACATGGGTACAGGGCCCAAGCACTTGAGCCATGTTCTGCTGTTCTCCTAGGAGCGTTAGCAAGGAACTGGATGTGAAGCAGTTAGGACTCAAACCAGCACCCACAAGGAATGCTGGCATTGGCAGATGGCAGCTTTATCTGCTACTCCACAGCACCGGCCCAAATAAGTATGTTAAAACACAGAAAGCAAGTGCCCCGGCTGGCGCAGGGACTCCCCTCCACACACGTGGTCACGAAGCAGACACTCCAGAAGCTCACTGTCGGTGTGCTGCTGCAGTTGTCTGGATTCTGCTTCCCCGGGCCTCAGTTTCCCCTATAATACAGGAGCCTGGACCAAACTATTTAGATGTCTTACAACCATGACATCACATATTGTGCAGGGAAACCTCCGGATGAAAAGCCAGACTAGCTCTGTAGACGCAAGACACAATGTTCCCTTTTTTAAGCACTTGGACAAAGTGTTGTCAAAGTTACACAATTCTCACAGGGACAGGGAGGAAGGTGAATAAAGGGGCAGGGAAGGACACCCTGAGACTGATGTCACAGGGAAAATACCTGTGTGGTTGCTTAAACACACACACACACACACATTGAAAACAAGGAGCAGATGTTTGGTAGTTACTATTGCCATGAAGTTCAATGTCAAGATGCCTGGGGCTCTTGCTGGAGTGCCCAGGTTTGGATCCCAGCTGCAGCTCCTGGCCCCATGTTCCCCTCACTGCAGACCCCGGGAGGCAACAAGTAATAGCTCAAGCGATTGGGTCCCCGCCACTCCCACGGGAGACCTGCCCAGCTCCTGCAGGTGTCTGGGGAGTTACTCAGCAGGTGCAGGCTCTGCTGCTCTCTTGCTCGCCCTCCCTCTGTCGCTTGCAAAAAAACAAAAAAACAAAAAAACTGATAACTGCAAGAAAAATACACATAAATTCCCACAGCTGTGTATGTCCTGCCTGCTGCCCGCTCCCTCCAAAGCCAGGGGACATCACCTTCTGCTGTCAGCCGAGACGCTGCACTCTACGACAGGAGCTTCCGGCCCGTTCTCAAACTCCCGATCCACAGATCCACCAAAAGCGTCCTCAAATCAACGGGAGAGAAGGGAGGGGAAGCGGTCACTGCCATCTTTGTCAAAGCCTGAGCTGATGTCAACAGCTGTCCCGGGCGGCTGGGCTGCAGCAACAAGGCAGGCAAGCCCCAGGGACCTCGGACTGTTACTTAGTGCCAAGAGAAAAAGGACCTCGCCACACTTCTCTGAGAGACCCCCTTGCCATCTAAAGCAGCCATGAACTGCCCCCTACGCACATACACACAAGCATACACACATGTGCACACACACACACACACACACACACACACACACTCTTCCACTGGCACCATGTGTTCTCTGGCCACTCTGGGAGCAGAGTTCCAAACAGTTGATTTTTTTTTCTCTTTTCTCTACTGGCCAAAGAGACTTTTAATCTGGCAATTCTTTTGGTCACTACTTTTTTAAGTTCGTCCTCTCTAACTCAGGAATTCTACTCCAAAGGGCGGCTCTCTCCTAGGGAATGCATCAAAATTACGGTCAAAGACTCATGAATGAAAAGGCTCAGTGTGCAAAACAGATGGTGAAAAAAAAAAAAACAGTGGAATAACTCTATGTCCCTCTAAAGGGGAGGAGTCGAGACATGTTAGCACATGGGCCAGTGTTTTGTCATGGAAACTTAAGCCTCCACCAGTGTCACCAACATCCCAAATAGGTGCTAGTTCGAGTCCCAGCAGCTCAACTTCCCACTTTCCCAACTTCCCTAGGAAAACAGCAGAGGAATGGTGCAAGGGATCCGCCTCTGGGGTCAAGATGGGTTTCTGGCTCTTGAATAGAAATATAGAAATAGAAAAATAAATCTTGAAAACTGGCAAACAAATAAAGCAGTGGGCCAATGACCACACCAACAATCTCGCTGGAGATCACTAGAGACTGAGATGAGAAGAAAGCAGAGCTGCGAGGCAGACAGCATGTTTGCAATAAGAAATGTGCCAACAACGGCTCTTCAGGTTCAGCTGGGAAGGATGGACCCCTTCCCACAAATGCTCTTGCTAAGGTGGGGAGTCGCTAGCCAGGCCTCCTCGTCATGTGTGGAAACTTCGGACCTGATGAGGCAAGGTCTATGACAACAGCCCCGGATAAGCAGGGACCACCCCGCATTAGAACCTCAAGGTCTTCCAGGAGGCTAGGGACCCTGTACTTGGGGGGGGGGGGCGGCTCCAAGACCACCCATCTACCTAGTGTGAGGACTCTGTTCTCATCTGGGATGCGGGGAAAATGGAAACAGGCTAACCTTCTAAGAGTCTCCTCCCAGTGGAATCTCTTGGGAAGAACATAGCTCTTCCAGCATCAAATTGTCACATCACCCAGCAACAACACCCCAGAGAGGCGCACGTGGGCTTGGCAGTCCAGGGCAGTCCAGGGGTTGACAGCTCAGGGCTTGGCAGTCCAGGGCAGTCTAGGACTGCCCCACATTGGACTTCCCTTCTGGAAGTCCACCAACATGCTGGACTTCCAGAAGGAAAGCTGACTCACTCAGGCACAGGCCTGCGTAACTGCAGGGAAATGTTTCTGGGTTAAGCTCCTGGGTCCAAGCTCTCCAACAGCAGTGACCCCAGGTCTGCTGTGTGAACTGTCTGCTGCACAGACCCTCTCCTCCAACCCACACTCTGTAAGGTGAACCCAGCAGGCCCCTCACAGAGGCCAGTGGCCGCAGTCCCAAAGAGGAAGTCACCTGTGCTGGCAGCCTGGTGCTGGCTCCTCGGCAGCTGTGCTGCTCTCAGCAAAAACCATGAGACTGTGAACCAAGGAAATGATCTCTTGGAGGGCTCAGGCCCTAGGGCAGAGTCCTGGGCAACCTGGAACCGACCAGAGTCCTGTGGGGCTGCACTGGCTCAGAACCCAATAGCGACACCCCATGGCCAGAGAAGGAACAGCGATGTGGGTGGGGGGAACCAGCTTCCTCTTCACTTGCCTCGTGGACCCAGACAATTTAATGGGAGACATCCTGGCCAGAACAAAAGCAAATAACATACACTACGGGGCTCTAAGAGATAGTTGAGGACCTGGGGTGGGTAGACTGGCAAGATGGTTCACCTTTGAGCACCTGGATCCCAGCTGCTTCACTTCCTATCCAGCTCCCTACTTGTGGCCTGGAAAAGCAGTTGAGGACAATCCCAAACCTTGGGACTCAGCACCTGCCTGGGGAACCCAGAAGGAGTTCCTGAATCCTGGCTTTGGGTCGGTTCAGCTCCAGCCTTTGCAGCTATTTGGGGAGTGAACAGGCAGATCTTTCTCCCTGTCTTTCCTTCTCTCTATAAATCCACATTTACAATAAAAAAACAAATGTTTTTAAGAGACAGAAAATTGGAAAAATAAAGGAGAGGTGATATGGTTTGTAACCAGGGTTTAGCATGAGTTTCCAATATTTCTAGTGGGTCCCAAGCCTACAAGTGTATGTGTCCATGTGTACAAGAAAAAAATAGTCAAATATTTCCATAGCCTATACCTTCAGGTACATGGAACCTAAAGTGTTTTATTATTACTATTATTATTGTTATTATTATTTCTTTGTGTTTAAATGCATTTCTTGTAACAGAAGTTACCAAACTTATTTTTTTTTTTAATTTTTGCTTTTTGACTAGAAGGAAAAGTGCCAAGATGTTAGTGGGAGATGAGATGTAGAATGAAGAATGATTCCCTACCCCTGGATTCTTCATACATGTATCGGGTTTCCAAATTATTCACAACACTCTCCAACAAGAGGACAGGGAATCTTTGAAAGATCAAAACAGGGCCCAGCATGGTGGCCTAGAGGCTAAAGTCCTCGCTTTGCATACACCAGGATCCCATATGGGTGCTGGTTTGTGTCCCAGCAGCCCTGCTTCCCATCCAGCTCCCTGCTTGTGGCTGGGAAAGCAGTCAAGGACGGTCCAAAGCCTTGGGACGCTGCACCCACGTGGGAGACCCCGAGGAAGCTGCTGGCTCCTGGCTTTGGATCGGCTCAGCTCTGGCTTTTGCAGCCACTTGGGGAGTGAATCAGCAGACAGAACATCTTTTCTCTCTCTCTCTCCTCCTCTCTGTATATCTGACTTTCCAATAAAAAATAAACAAATCTTTAAAACAAGAGAGAGATCAAGACAGGTGTGTGGGTCTGGGGTGGGGTTGCAGGAGGGAATGGAGGTGATGGAAGGGTCGGCAGGGACAGGAGGGGCAAAGGCAAGGGGACACATTAGCCAAGAAGTTACGACAAAAGGAAGCAACTGCTTGTGGCCTGATTGAGAGTATGCATGATGAGGGGCGAGGAAGCAGTGAGCCGCGAGGGAGCCCAGTGCTGATGATGGGCATGTCCAGCCATGTTTCCTGGGACGGGGAGGCAGAGGGCCTGGCAGGGAACAGAGGTGGAAGTGACCGTATCACGGGAGGGTGCTGCTGTGGGATGTTGCTTAGTTCTGATACTCACAGTACCCATGAGTCTGAGACATTAGGAAATGTCCCGAGGTCCCCAGAGGCAGGTTCTTGGAGGTCACTCTCCCGCGTGGGCCAGCCTCCTGCTCTGCTGAGCTGCCATGGGCCCTCCATCACTATTGCTACTCCATTCCTGCCAGTGGCCACACTCAGAGCTGTCTGACCTGGGAGCTGAACCAGACCCACTGGTGCCTGGCATTAGCTTCATCTCTGCCTGGTACTAGGTGGGTTCCTCCCCGTGCCTTGTCCAGGAGCCCCTTAGGGTCAGGAACACGGTCCTGGGGAACTGCGCTCAGCGCTGCCTGGCTTGAGTTCCACGATAGCCCTGCAGGGGCCACCTACCCACAGCTTCACCGTGGAGTCATAGGAACCACTCAGGAGCTTTGTGTCATCCACACAGAAGTGGCAGGAACTCACAACGTGGTCGTGCCCACTCAGGATCTTAAACGGGATCTGCAAAGATAGAGAACCAACCAAAGAGTTTGACAAGGTTGCAGGAGACATAATTTTTAAATGCTATATTTCTAAAGATGTGCAATGAATAACCTAAAAATATATATATAAGAAAAAAATCCGTTTACAAAGTGTCAATCACTTGAACAGGAATCACTTGAACAAAGAAAGCGTAAAAGTCACACTCTGATAATTACAAAATACTGTCGAAAGAATGAAGACCTAATGAATGGGGCCTGGTGCAATGATTCAGTGGCTAAATCCTTGCCTTGTAAGAACTGGGATCCCATATTGGCGCCAGTTCACGTCCCAGTGCTCCACTTCCTACCCAGCTCCCTGCCTGTGGCCTGGGAAAGCAGTTGAGGATGGCTCAAAGCCTTGGGACCCTGCACCCATGTGGGAGACTGTAGGAGAACATTGTGAGCCTGGAAGGTCAGCGAGCACAGATCTGCAGTTCATTGGACAGTATTTGCATGACAACAACCAAATGGCTACCTTTGGTATAAACAGCACGTAAATGAGAACACCTGGTGTAATATACAAAACAAAAGGAATTGCAATTGAGAGAGGGAAACAGTACGGACTCTCAGTGTATAAAGTCTGATGCCCCTAATAAACTTCGGCTTTGACCATCAGTCAGGGTCCACGCGTGTTATTATCGGCTCCGTGCACCAAGTCCGTCGCTGCGGGACAGCGACAGGAGACCAAGAAGAATCTCCTGGCTTCAGATGGCTCAGCTCAGGTCATTGTGGCCATTTGGGGGGAGAACTAGCAGTTAGAAGATCTTTCTGTCTTTCTGATCTCCCTTTCCAACAAAAATAAATAAATCCTAATAAAAAAGGAAAAAGGACCGAATAAATGAGAGACCCCATGTTCATAGATAGGCAGATTTAATATAAAGATGACAATATTCTCCAAAATGATACACCATCCCATCAAGTTCCATGCTAACTTCTTTTTTTTTTTTTTAAGATTTATTTATTTTTATTTCAAAGTCAGATTTACAGAGAGGAGGAGAGAGAGAAGATCTTCCATCCAATGATTCACTCCCCAAGTGATCGCAATGGCTGCAGTGCACCAATCCAAAGCCAGGATCCAGGAACCTCTTCCAGGTCTCCCACACAGGTGCAGGGTCCCAAGGCTCTGGGCCGTCCTCACTGTTTTCCCAGGCCACAAGCAGGGAGCTGGATGGGAAGTGTGGCTGCCGGGATTAGAACTGGCACCCATATGAGATCGCAGCAGGTTCAAGGTGAGGACTTTAGCCGGTAGGCTACTGCGCTGGGCCCCATACTGACTTCTTTGTAGAAATTGACAGCTAGGGGAATGGAGCAACAAGTGCTGTGGCACAGTGGATGAAATTACCCTGTGTAATACCAACGTCCCATACAGCTTCAGTTTGAGTCCCGGCTGCTCTACTTCCAATCTAGCAGCAGATGGATCAAGCACTTGAACTGCTGCCACCCATGTGGGAGACCTGGAAGAAGCTCTGGTTGTGGACTCCTGGCTCTGGCCTTGCATAACCCTAGCATTTGCGGCCACTGGTGAGTGAACCAGCAAGTAGATCTCTCTATCTCTCCCTCCTCTCTCTCTCTCTGTAAGTTTTTCAAATAAACTAATGAGTATTGGGGGAAAAAAAAAAAGAAATTGATGAGTTGGTGATAAATTCATATGTAAATTCAAGGGTCTTCAAAGAGAACAAACCAACAACATCCAGCGGCATACATTTGGTGCAGGTTGGAGTGAACCAGGCAGGGCCAGTTCACCTCACCAGTTGGCGAATCCGAGCACCAGAATGGAGTATGGGTCGAGAAGCCAGGTTTGGTCGCAACACATGCCAGTACACATTACAGCTGGGACTGGGTGCTGGCTGGGCTGGGCTAGGCTGGGCTAGGCTATACTCCTCACCAGCGTGGGCTGGAATTGGGGGTGGGCAAATTCTGAGGTGAGGCCGACCATGCCAGACTGGGTCACAGCACCCAGCCAGCCCTCATGAGACACAGACAGGAAAGGCCAAAGCCAGTAGGGGGCTATGGAGGGCTCCCCTGCCGGACCACCACTCCCACTGGAGAGCAGACCAGACTGGGCGGGGCTACAACACCTGTTGGCCACACATGACCTGGATCACGGAAAAGCCAGCCTGGGTTGACTGCTCCTACAGGTGCAAGCATGAGAGTGGGTGTGAGTTGGTTGGGCTTTGCTGTAGCTGGTAGATACTGGCACTGGGGGCTAATTCTGTCAATTTAAACTACAGAACCACCTGGAGAGTGCACGATCCTGGAGTAGGAGTGGGCCCAGAGGGAAACAATGGCACCTCCCTCTTGCGTTGCCACTCTGACTGGTGAGCATTGAGAATCAAGACTGCAACAGATAGGGCTAGACAGAGTGGCACTGCCAGCACATGTGTGGGATGTATAGTGGGGCTGGTTGGGTTGAACTAGGTTTTAATGCCCATTGACATGTATGAGAGCTGAATGGGATGTGGGACAGACTGGACCAGTCTGCTGTACATACTGGCAAGCACGGGAACTAGGGCAGGGAGCAGGCCTGGTGGGGGTTATTGTGGATCACTCCGACTAGGACGCAGTTCTCACTGGTTTGCATGGGGGCCGAATGTGTGTGGTGGGCAGGATCAAGCTTGACTGCAACACCCTTTGGTTTGTATAGAAGACAGGGCTGGAGACAGAACTGACCCAGTAACTGCAACCATTAGTATATACATACGCTGATTGGGGTGACAGACTGTGCCGGACCCTGTACTGGCAAACACATACAAGAATAAGATCTGGGATCATCTCAGACAAAGCTTCTTTGGGGACCCCCCGAAACTGAACTGCTGGACTCAGAACCCCAGCCATGAAGAGAATTGCAAGATCCATGGTCTGACCATGGAGTACAAGCGTCAGGGCTGGGCCTCTTCAGTGGCTCAGACAGAGCAGTAGAGAGCGTATCCAGGTGCACATGGAGGATATGGCAGTACATTGGAACCTGCAGAGGACACCTGGTACCATGACAGAGGACAGAACAAATCAATCAACTACCCCAGCCAAGTCTTGGCAGCGAAAATCTGGGCAAACAGAAACTCTAAGGTGGACTATGTCAGACAGTGGATTCTGAAGAGATTTTATTGTGCTTGGAATGGCAAGGCTGGCAGCAACTCAGAACTGTTGAACTATCGAAACCACCTGAGCAGTGCCCTCGGAGCATGCCCAAGTCGGGGACCCTAGGATGGTTGGGGGGCTGGTGTGGCTTCTCTCTTTATCTCTCCCCTCCCCCCAGGTACAGGAAGAACTAAAGAGAATGTGGAAACAATGTATGTGGAATAAATGTGAAAACAAAGTAGGAAAACCTACTTTTCTGTAGCCCTTGACCCTTTGCACCCTATCAACAATGTAAAGATTACCAAAATAAAATAATAATAATAAAGAAAAAATAGTAATGCTGGCATAACTGGCTACCCACACCCACAGGAATGATCCTGGACCCTTACCTCACACCGTATGGGGGAAAAAAAAAAAAAACCACCTGAAAATAGATCAAAGACCTAAGTACAAAAACAAAAAGCTTATGGAAAATGCACATTATGAAAAAATAAACTATACACCAATTTCAAAACTGTCTTTTCAAATATTTATGAAAGGCAAATTTATGAAAGAAGGAGAGACAAAGATCTTCCATCCTCTGGTTCACTCTCCAAACGGATACAATGGCCAGACCTGAGCCAATCCAAAGCCAGGAGCTTCTTCTGGGTTCTCCTTGTTGACTCAGGAGACTTCAGCCCTCATCTACTGATTTCCCAAGCCATAAGCAGGGAGCAGGATCAGAAGTGGAGCAGGCAAGACATGATCTGGCACGCATAGGTGAAGCTGCCGCTTATAGGTTGAGGATTAGCCTGTTTAATTACTGCACCAGCCCCCCAATTTCAAAACTTTTCTGTACCAAAATAACTCTAGCTTCCTTTTTTGTTTGACAAAATGGTAGAAGTTTTTTTTTCTTTTCAAAAATTTATGTCTCTTTAAAATTTTTTATTGGAAAGTGAGATTAATGGAGAAAATGAAAGACAGAAAGATCTTCCATCCGCTGCTTCACTCCCCAAATGGCCACAATGGCCAGAGCTGATCTGATCCAAAGCCAGGAACCAGGAGCTTCTTCCAGGATCCCATGCAAGTGCAATGTCCCCAGGCTCTGGACTATCCTCCATTGCTCTCCCAGGCCACAAGCAGGGAGTTGGATGGGAAGTGGAGCAGCCAGGACAAGAACCGGTGGGCATGTGGGATTGCTGTGCATGCAAGACAGAGATTTAGTCACAACTGCGCATGCCCACTGTATCTCTTCAGTTCTTTTTATGTGTCTTTGTAGAGCATATTAGAAAGTATTTTCCCTCCCCTGCTGCCTGCTCACCCACCATGCACTCCAGAGGAGATCCCATGATTGGAATCATAAACACGCCTCAATAAAGCACTGCTATACCCAGAGTATGCAATGATTATTTTCAGCTCTGAAGGAGCAAAATCTATCATAACCATTCCTTCTCACTTAGCTGGAGCTGAACTGGTTGTTCTCTGCAGGGAGCTACGGAAGAATTGTGACAAAGGGAAACTCAGAAATTCTTCGTAGTTCAGCATGCTTAGGTCTAGGAATTAAGTAGGCTGCTGCAAGCCAGGGGCAGGTGTGAGACCACTTCTCGTCTTCTCAAAGCAAGGTACTCTTTCCTCACAGGGCACTCTTGGAGCTTTATTGGATGCATAGGAGCTCCCAGGCTCTAAACTGGGCAACTAGCTGGCAAAGGTGGTGATGAACATATCAAAGACCTGAGTTTTGACCGAGCTGTCAGGGGGAACTTTGTAGCTGATTGAGTGCTAATCTGAGGATAAGAGGAAGGTCGACCACCCGCAACCCAAACTGCCTGGCACCATTAAGATAAGCAATAAGGCTGTTAATTATGTCATTGTGTCTCTGTGGTCTCTCTTACTCTCCAGAAGGCCTGTGTCAAACAGGAGGTGATTTGAAGGCTCCCCAAGTTGCACTGGAGGCTGCAGTCCCCGGGCCTGGCAGATAAAGGCTCTCGACTTTTAGGATCTCTGCATCTGCTGTGGTCTTTGATGGCCCTCATAACACAATATGTCCTGTGTTAACAGCTTATCACAGAACTTCACAGATGAAGTAGACCTTTTAGGCACAGCCAGGCTGTGGTGTCACAGGGGTGTGGGTGCACCTGCTGCTCCCAGGTGTCCCCAGTACAGCTGGGCATGCTCACTCAGGACTGGGAGGTCTCTGGAAGCTGCCAACATTCCCATGTGGGGCCTGCCGAGTAGCTGCGTCTGAGCAAACTGCCCTGTGCCTGAAGGCCCCTGGGATTCCAGCAGCAGATTCCACCCTCTCACAGATATCCACTGGGGACAAACTGGGGCAGCCGTCACCTGCAACGAAAGCTAGGGTGCGAAGAACAAAGGTGGAGATTGTAACCTTCTTGCTGCCTCCACCTGGACGTTGTCCCCATCCTATGCACATGCACTGTCAGAACAGTACTTGGCCAAATTTTTTCTTCAAGAATTCATTTGTTGTTGTTGTTGTTGTTGTTTTTATCAAAAAGGTAGATTTACGGAGAGGAAATACAGAAAGATCTTCCATCTACTGGCTTATTCCCCAAGTGGCCACGCTCCAATAAGGGATACATCTTGACACACAGCACTACAACAACAGCACCCCCGCCCCCATGAGCTTTATGAAGCACATGCATGCAAGAGCTACAACCACAAGACTTTTAGATAAAAATATATGCATTGGAGCCAGCACTGTGGCATAGCAAGTAAAGTCACCAACGGCGGCACCAACACCCCATCAGGGTACCCAAGAAAGCAGCTGATGATGACCCACGTGTTTGGACCTCTGTACCATGTGGGAGACCCAGAAGAAGCTCCAGGCTCCTGGCTTTGGACTGGCCCAGCCCTGGCCACTGCAGACCATGTGGGGAGTGAACCAGCAAATGGAAGATCTATCTTTCTTTCTCTGCAACTCTTTCAAATAAGCAAATACTTTTTCAAACACATTTTAACAAAAAAGGCCTAAGTCTTCCTGATCTTGCATTAGGTATAGTTGCTTAGATGCAATCCTGAAGGCACAAGAACAAACCAAAAGAACCTTGAACACTTTACAATAAAAATGCTTGTTTCAAAGGACACCACAAGAAAATAACAAGCAAAGTAAACCATAGGAAAAACTATCAGATACTGGAGCGGGCATTTGGCCTGGTGGATAACCCTGCAGTTGGGCTGCCTGTCTCCTCTGGAGTCCCAGCTATGCTCTCATTGCTCACCAGGGCAGATCCTGGGAGGCAGCGAGGCTGGCTCACATGGTTGGCTTCCTCGCACGTGCCTGGCTTCAGCCCCCACTTCCTGGCATAGGTCTGAACTGTCACAGGCATTTCAAGGGACGAACCAACAGATGGAGGGTGTTCTCTCTGTTACTGCCTAAGTAAATACATTGATCTTAAAAAAAAGAAAGAAAACCAAGGATATGAAAACACTGGAGCCCTCACACGATGATGGTAGGAATGTCAAATTCTTCTATCACTTTGTGAAATAGCTTGATAATCCTTCCAAAAGTTAAACCAAGGGGTCAATGTTCTTTATGACACAGTGGGTTAACTTTAAGATACTGCCATCCCCTGCTGGGGCACCAACTCTTCTTCCAATCCAGTTCCTTGCCAATGCACTTGGGAAGGTAGTGGAAGATGAGCCGAGTGCTTAGGGCCCTGCCACCCACTTGGAGACCTGGATGGGGCCCTTAGCTCCTGAGTCTAGCTTGGTCCAGTCCTTGGCTATTGTGGCTATTCGGAGAAGGAAGGAACAGCAGATGGCAGACTCACTCTCTCTCTCTCCTCTCTTAGTCTGTCTTTGAAATAAATCTTGAGGAAAAAAAAGTTAAATATGCATTCACTATGACTTAGTAATTTCACTCGCAGGTGAATCCCCCAGAGAAATTAAAACATTCAGAAAGTCGTGCACCTCTAGGTAGAATATTCAGGAAGTGAGGTAGAATATTCATGAAGTGATGCCAACCCACATCCACGTGTCCACCAGCTTACGAACTGTAGTGAATCGAGATAAAATGTGCCCTGGCCACAATGTCGTAGAACATATTTTGACCACGAGACACACTGAAGTGCTCCCACATGACATAATGTGGATGAATCTTGGCAAACCCATTGCTAAGAGGAAGAGGCAGCTAGATGGGGGGGAAAAAAGCATGGTAATCCCATGACATCATCACTGTAGGTGCCCCAGGTGGGCAAACCTGCAAAGGTTGGACATAGACTAGGGTTGCCTGGGGTTGGGAGGACCACTCTGGGCGTATGGAGCTTCTTTGGGGGATGATTCAAATGTTCTTTGACCGTGGCCATGGCTGCACATAGTGTAAGTACAATCAGCATTCAGTCACAGACTCTACAAAGCTGACTGATTATAATTCTGTAAAACAGGAAGCATAAAGCCAGATAAGACAAATCAAGCAACACGCTCCACTTCCCCACCCTGTCCCTCACTGCAGGTTCTTGGTATGGAGCATGGGGAGCGGGGGGGACAGGTGTGTGAGGGCCACAGGGGAAGGTGAAAGACACAGATCAGGACGCTGGACTGTGCTTGAACCTGAGGATGTGTGGACAACGTTGGCTGAGGCTTGCCAGACGCTGGGTGGGGTGCGGGTCACCAATGACCTGCAGGGGGAGCAGGACGCACAGACTGAGCCGCCCAGGACAAAGCAGGTTCAGGCAGCTGGTCCAGGGTTTTTTGCTGAGGGATCCTGGCCAGCCAGGTGAGTCCTCCCGGGATCCTTCACGGGCCTGAGCATCCTCTCCACGCGTGGAGGGACCAGGCCTCCTCCCCCTTCGCCCTGAGAGTGAGCCTGACCTTGGAGAGGGGCTCCTGGTCACCCCAGACATCCTCCTGCACGTAGTACGGCTCCGGCTGCTGCGCTGATAACAGCTGTGGCGTTGAGCTCTTGCCCAAGGCTAACGGGTCAAGGGTTGCCAGCAGCCGGTCCTGGCGCGACTGCGGGGTAGACATCTTGAAGCCCCCGAAAGTTCGCACTAGGGTCACCAGAGGCATCCTGCGGTGCGCAGTGTCAGGCATCTTCCTGTCCTCCCCCATGGCTCCCGGGGAGCCCCGTCCGCCGGTGGCTACCCACCCACCCGCAAACCTGACGGGGAACGGCGGTGCCACGCGCCATGCCCACCCCCAGCCCTTCGATCCCACGAGCTCCTGGAGCCCGGCTGCCTCCCGCTGGCCGTGCGTGCGCACGAGAGGTGGCCACAGACACACTGCAGTGTGATGCCCTCTCCGAGAGGCTGAGGCCCCAGGGTGGGGACGCTGGCTGTGTGCTGCCCTGGGACTTGGGGCCGCCACTGCAATCCGAAGGTGGGAGCGGTCGGGGAGCCTCACCGCCACCTCGAACCGCAGCAGGTAGGAGCACACCCCACCTGTCCATAAATTCCCCCCACACCCCCACGGCGATGCAAGTTCCTTCAGAACAAAACCAGAGGGCAATAAAAGCCTTCACTTCAATTCTTTTTTTTTTTATAAGTTCCAGGAAATTTTTAAAAAGAAGAAAGCTAGAAAAATTCCACTTTAATTAAACTGTTCAGGCTGAGTCTTTCTCCTCTGACACTTAAGTTAAAAATAGAAATCAATTTCTACAATCTCTCAAGGCAGCCTTTGAAATGTCACGGTTTGAAAAAAAAAAAAACTTATTTTACAGCAGGAATTTACATATAAATACAATCTGTACAATGGCATAAACCGAACAGTCAGCGGGCTTCCGGGGACCGGCCAGGGCTGGAACTCCATCAGAGCCGCCTCAGGGGGAGGCTTTTCAGCCTGGAAGGGAAGACAGGAGAGGGGAAAGGCAAAATCAGAAACCGCGAAGCCAGCGCACCGCCCCCAGGGGCCGCCACGCAGGGCAGCACTGCTCCGTCCTCGGGGTGTTTAAAGATGCGCTTATCACCCTGGGGGAGACGGAGGGAGCTAGCTCTTCAGTCATCCCCCAGATGCCGGCAGCAGCCGACGCAAGGAGCCAGGAACTCCTGATGGCCCACGTGAGCGGCAGACACTGGGCACTTGGGCCACCCAGGAAACTGGATCAGAAGCAGACGCAAGGATCCAGTCCCACCCACCCCAATACAGGACTCAGGCACCCCAGGGCGCAGCTTATCCCACCATACCACATCATCCGCTTTTAGACTTCTCCAAAGCTCCTTGCGTTTCCCCCAAAGCGCACACACAGTCTTGCTCACCCACATCTCACACCAGGGACCATGGATAAAGGCAATATTCAAATTCCTATCTCACTCATTGTAAGAGGGCAATTCAGTTTGCGGAAGATGGAACCAGAAGATAACACTTATTTAGGTGCAGAAATTTTTGAAGCCCATACATACTTTTTTTTTTTAAAAGATTGATTTTTCTTTTTATTGCATAGTCAGATATACAGAAAGGAGAGACAGAAAGGAAGATCTTCCGTCCGATGATTCACTCCCCAGCTGGCCACAACAGTTGGGACTGAGCTGATCTGAAGCCAGGAGCCATCCTCGACTGCTTTCCCAGGCCACAAGCAGGGAGCTGGGTGGGAAATGGGGCTGCTGGGATTAGAACCGGTGACCATATGGGATCCCAGCATGTGAAAAGCAAGGACTTTAGCTGCTATGCTACTGTGTCAGACCCAAATTCTTTTTTCATATTGGTATATTTCCCAGAAATTTTTTGAAGGGCTTTGCTTAATGTTTAGGCAAGAACTAAAGCCTACTGGTTCCAGGACGTAAAGCTCCCAAGTTGTCAGTCTTCAATTGGAATTACACTCTCTTTGTGGTAGAGCCGGATCCCACTTACTGCTCCCAGGGCCTGCCCTACAGCTTCCAAGTAGAAAACCAAATGTTGGGCTGGCACAGTAGCCTAGTGGTTAAAGTCCTCACCTTGCATGCGCCCAGGCCATATGGATGCCGGTTCTAGTGCTTCCCATCCAGCTCCCTGCTTGTGGCCTGGGAAAGCATTCGAGGACGGCCCAAAGCCTTGGGACCCTGCACCCGCATGGGAGATATGGAGGAAGTTCCTGGCTCCTGGCTTTGGATCAGCTCAGCTCTGGCTGTTACAGCCACTTGGGGAGTAAACAAGTGGATGGAAGATCTTTCCCTCTGCCTCTCCTTCTCTTTGTAAATCTGACCTGCCTTCCAAATACAAATAAATAAATCTTTTTTAAAAAATGATACTACCTATGAGACCGATGGCAGAGGTCACTGTGCAGAGGACAGAAGTTGGAAAACTGACCCAAGCTGCTGGCAGCTCCGTGAGGTCTGAGTTTTCATAGCAATGAGATAGTTATGTATTGTCATATTAACTTTTTAAAAAGCCTATTTTCCCATTTTGGACATTTACCCTAAGCAAATACATCAAATGTTCTGGAAGCTTCTGAAAGGTTTCCCTGGACTTCCCATCCCAGCGTCCCCAGGGCCTACCGCCTCAGCAGTTCCTGGGGTGACAGGTCTGTGGCTCTTTCTTCATCGCTCGAGCCGTCACTGCTGTCGGAACTCTCAGAACTACTGCTTCTCTCTGATTTTTTACTTTTTTGCTTGCCCTTGTGTTTGTGTTTCTTGTGCTTCTTTTTCTGTAAAAAAAAAAATGGAGGGGGTAGGGTGTGGAAGAAAGAGAGGAAGATGAATAAATAGGTGTTTTTCTCCCTAATTCGGCACAGAACAAGGCCAAGCCGGCAACAGACTGCTGCCATCATGTCAGTGTCGGCTTGTCTGTGGACAGGGCAGGGGCGGGCAGCACACCCGGACCCAGCCCATCCTCTGCCAACACAAGCAGCAGAGCAGGGGCACCCCACTCGACACTGTGCCCCACCTTAGTCCACCTCTTGTGAGCCTCAGGGGTTCATTTTCTCTGACACCAAGAAACAGCACATTGGGACAGAAAAACACCCTGGAAAGGCGCAGAGAATAAACTGGCAGGAGGTCAGTGAATGCACGCGCGTGCACACACACATGCACACACACACACGCGCGCGCGCACACACACACGCACGCACACGCGCACACACACACACACACAGGTAAGGGCGAGTGGAACTTGGCCTTAGGCCTGTCGGCACTCCATTTTTGCCCGCTCACTGCAGAAACATCTTCATCCCTTACACAGGAATCCTTTCTCTTGTAGCTGACAAGGGGAACAGCTCCCGAGCTCTGCCGCTCACAGCCCAGACCAACAACACTGGTCCCCCTCAAAGCCTGTGCCAGCGGCCGGAGGAAGTCACGGCTGATGAGACCAGAGGCGTCAGGAAGGACCCGCTGAGTCTCTGCTCGAGCCTAGAGGACTTCAGACGCTAAGCGATGAACCAAGACGTCAGCTGGAAGTAACGACAGTGTACTTCAGCAACATTCCAGACCAGACCCTCGCCTATTATTGAACGAAAACGGCTGTTATATTATTATTAAATTTTTTTTTCTTCTTATACTCATTTGAAAGGCAGAGACAGAAAGGAAAAGGTACAGAGGTAATTCCTATCTGCAGGTCCACTCCCCAAACACGGCTAAAGCCAGGAGGATGACGCTCAGTCCACGTCTCCCACCTGCGTGGCAGGGACCTAACTACGTGAGCAACCACCTGCTGCTCCCACCTGGGGGATGCCTGAACAAGCAGCCAGAACGGACAGCAGGTCAGGATCCCAAATCAGGCATTCTAATACGGGATGTCGGCCACCCCCAGGAAAGCCTTAACCACAATGCCAAATGTACACCCTGCCTGGATTACTTAATACACAATTTCTTCCCTCATATTCTTTTTTTTTCTAAGATTTATTTTATTTTTATTGGAAAGTCAGATATACAGAGAGGAGGAGAGACAGAGAGAAAGATCTTCTGTTCGATAATTCACTCCCCAAGTGAGCGCAACACCCAGTGTGCTATGCTGATCCAAAGCCAGGAGCCAGGAACTTCCTCTGGATCTCCCACATGAGTGCAGGGTCCCAAGGCTTTGAGCCATCCTCGACTGCTTTCCCAGGCCACAAGCAGGGAGCTGGATGGGAAGTGGAGCTGCCGGGATTAGAACCGGTGCCCATATGGGATCCCGGCGCGTTCTAGGCGAGGACTTTAGGCGCTAGACCACGCCGCTGGGCCCAACTTCTCTCAAATTCTGCAATGTGCCTTTTCTTACTATCTAACGTTAACAAGTTTTGTTTGGTTTTTAAAGATTTTTTTTTTAAAGATTTATTTATTTATTGGAAAGTCAGATATACAGAGAGGAGGAGAGACAGAGAGCAAGATATTCCAACTGATGATTCACTCCCCAAGTGAGCGCAACAGCCGGTACGGCGTTGATCTGAAGCCAGGAGGTAGGAACTTCCTCCAGGTCTCCCACAAGGGTGCAGGATCCCAAGGCTTTGGTCCGTCCTCGACTGCTTTCCCAGGCCACAAGCAGGGAGCTGGATGGGAAGTGGGGCTGCCGGGATTAGAACCGGCGGCCATATGGGATCCCGGTGAGTTCAAGGCGAGGACTTTAGCTGCTAGGGCATGCCGCCGGGCCCAGATTTATTTTTATTGACAGAGAGGAGGAGAGATAGAGAGGAAGATTTTCTGTCCATTGATTTACGCCCCCAAGCAGTGCAATGGCCAACGCTGAGCTGATCTGAAGCCAGGAGCCTGGAGCCTCTTCTGGTCTCCCATGTGGGTGCAGGGTCCCAAGGTTTTGGGCCATCCTTGACTGCCCTCCCAGGCCACAAGCAGGGAGCTGGATGGGAAGCAGAACCTCCAGGATTAGAACCGGCACCCATATGGAATCCTGGAGCGTTCAAGGCGAGGACTTTAGCCACTAGGCTATCGTGACGGGCCCATTTTGTTTGTTTTTAAAACACAACTAAACAAATTGTTCTGTTCTACCTACATCGAAAGCAGGAAGAGCCAATGCAAGCTATATATTTCTATTCCCTCTAGGACCTGACAAAACAGGAACAAATCAAATCCTAAATCTGTAGGTGGAAAGAAATCATAAAACTCGGAGCAGAAATAGAGACCAAAACAACAACAAATACAAAAAAGCAACGAAATAAAGAGATGGTTCTTCAAATAGACAATACTGCTAAGTCCTTCGCTAGGCTAAGGGAAGAATCAGTCATAAAATCAGAGATGGGAAATGGAGACATTAGTACTCACACCACGGAAACACAGAAGACTGCTAGAAACCTCAGTGAACAGTCACGTAGCAACCAGCCTGATGACACAGAAGCAACGGACCAACTCCTGGACCCATGCAGCCTACGAGATTGAACCACATTCAAATAAGACAGCTAAGCAGACCAAGAACAAGCAGCACGATTCAACCGATGATAAAACAGTCTCCCGTCCCAGGGCCCAGACGGCATCACCCTTGAATTCTACCCAACCCCAAAGGAGAGTACATGTTAATTTCTTTTCTTTAAGAAAACCAAAATCATTACCTTGATAGGTCAAACACCAATAGTCAATCTCCTTAAAAAGAAATCGAGAAAACAAGGGCATTGCCAAAAGCAACCAAACCCAAAACAAACCTAGCAATAAATATAACCAAAGAGGTGATGAAAGGAAATTCCTGCGTGACATTGAAAAATACACAAAAAAATGGAAACACCTGCTTGTGTTCATGCATTGAAGAATCAACACCACTAAAATGCATGTAATACCCAAAGCAATTTACAGATTGAATATAATCCCGATCCAAATCCCAATGACATTTTTCACAAAACAAGACAAAAACACTGCTAGGACTTGTACTGTCCCCCCAAAGAGCCCAAACAGCCAAAGCAATCTAGAGCAAAAATAAGAAAAAAAAATCAGGAGGCATCAAAACACCTGACTTTCAGCCATATTACAAAGCCACAGTAAGTAAAACAGCATGACACTGGTATGGCAACACAAACCAACAGGATATACACTGATCTTCGACAAAAGCGCCAAGACCACATGCAAGGAACACACCTAGACTCCTATCTCAAGGATCAACTCAAAATAGATTAAAAAAAAAAAACCTAAATGTGGGGCGGCTGTTACACTGTGGTGGGTGAGGCTGCCACTTGGAAAGCCCACATGCCAGTGCAATAGCCAGCTGCTCCACCTCCCATGCAGCACCCTGCTAACGTGCCTGCGAAGGCAGCAGAGGACAGCCCCAGGACTAAGGTGGGGGATACAAACCATTCCAGGCTCCTGTCTCAGGCTCGGCCCAGCCCTGGGACCTGGGGCTACTTATCTCTCCCTCTGTTACTCTTTCAAATATATAAATCTTTTTTTTTTTTTATAAGGGAGGGGGTGGAAGGGATTGTCTAAATGTTAGAACTGAAACTTTGAAACAACTAGAAGACAACAGGGAGAATATTTCAAGACACTGGAATGAGCCAGGGTTCTGGAACAGGACTCTAAAAGTAGGGAAATAAAAACAAGGCCCAGCGCAGAAGCCTAGCAGCCAAAGTCCTCGCCTTGCATGCACCAGTTCTAATCCCAGCAGCTCCACTTCCCATCCAGCTCCCTGCTTGTGGCCTGGGAAAGCAGTCGAGGATGGCCCAAGGCTTTGGGACCCTGCACCCGTGTGGGATACCCGGAAGAAGTTCCTGGCTCCTGGCTTCAGATCGGTGCAGCACCGGCCATTGTGGTCACTTGCAGAGTGAAACAGTGGACAGAAGATCTTCCTCTCTGTCTCTCCTCCTCTCTGTGTATCTGCCTTTCCAATAAAAGTACATAAACCTTAAAAAAAAAAAAGGAAAAATAAACAAATGGTTTGGTCAAAATGAAAGAGCTTTTGCGCAACAATCAACAGAGCGAAGAGACAACCTGCAGAAGGGGAAATCTACGGCCATACCACCCTGAGCGCCCCGATCTCAGAAGCTAAGCAGGCTCGGGCCCGGTTAGTACTTGGACAGGAAACAACCTACAGGAGGGGAAACATGTGCAAGCTATACAAATGTGACAAGGGGTTCATATCTAGAATATTGCAAGACACCCAAACAATTCAATAACAAGAACAAACACATAATGCAAGCTCTTAAAGGGCAGTAGACTGAACAGACATTTCTCAAAGGAAGACACTCAACAGCCAAGAAGCACATGAGAGAATGCTCAGCATCACTGACCATCAGAGAAATGGGAATCAAACCACAGTGAGACAGCTCCTCCCCCCAGCTGGACTGGCTATTACCCAAAACGCCCAGAGCAGCAAAGCCGTGGTGAGGCGGTGGGGATAGGGAGCCTTACACGGTGCTGGCTGGCAGGAACGCCAGTTAACACGGCCACTGTGGGAGAAGGCATGGCAGTTCCTCACAAAGCTAAAACTACATCTACTCTACGACCCAGCAACCCCACTGCTGGCTACACACTGGAACCTGTCAGACACCTGCACCCCCACGTTCAGTGCAAGGCGATTTATATCAACCGGAACTTGGAAGCCACTAAATGCCCATTCACGGATCAATGGATAAAGGCAGTGTGGTCCAGACACGCCGTGGAGTATTACTCAGCCCTAAGAAAGGTTACTGCCTTGTCGTCTGCAGCAACACGGACGGATGTGGAGGTCACTGGGTTCGCAGAAACCAGCTCACACAGAGGGAGACGCACCCACGTGGTCTCACTATGGAGTCTAAAAGTGGTGATGTCACAGGAGGTAAACTGTGATGGTGGGGACAGAGGCCAGGGAGGGATGGGAGCAAGCAGAGATGAGTAAAGGTTGACCAGCAGGCACCAGGTCATACCTGGCCAGGAGTCAGAAGTTAAGGTGACTACATAATGTTGTCAGGTAGGGCGACTACAGATAAAGCCAAATGGACTACATATTTCTCTACTGAAGGAAAAAAAAGGAAAGAAAGAAAAAGAAAACACCCTACAAGATAGGTTTGTGGATGTTTCCACTCTAAGCAAATGTTAAATGTTTATGAAAAAGCTATCTACCCTACCTGAACCCTACTGACTGTATAAAATGTACCAAAACATCATACAGCACTCCAAAATATGCACACTTTTTACATGCTGGCTCATGTTTTAGATTTAAAAACAAATTGCAATTGAAACCAGAATTGTAAAAATATATTTTCTGCTCTGAAAGAATAAGTTTCTGAAAAATGGAGCACGTGCATGGAACATCACTCCGGTGGCTGGAGACTTGTGTGTCCTGGCCACAGCATGGCCTCTCCACCTGGCTCGGTGTCCCCCGGGGTCTCCCCACCACAGAGCAGGAAGTGAGACGCGCTGCCCAGAAGTTACTCACCTTCTCTCGTTTCCGTCTGTGCTCCTTCTTAGCCTTGTGTTTGTTCTTCTTGTGCTTCTCTTTCGGAGGGGCCTCGAGTGTCTGTCGAGCATCTGCAATACGTATGTAAGACACGTGAATTAAAGAGGGCAACAAAATTCAACGCTCACCTGCAGAAAAGCCATTTCCTAACTGACCAAATTAGGATCCTGATGTTGGTGGGATGCTTGGTGCTGAGGCACAACTCCTGACCTTCCCCTTGCTCTTCTGCCTCTCTGAGAAACGAGTGGGTCATCCTAACACATCTTTGTAGCACTACGAAACCTCAAGCTAAGGCTATGAGACCCAACCAGTATCCCGCCACAGCCCATCTGCCAGGCGATGCCAAAAGAAGCCGAAGTCGGACCAGAAGGCCAACAGATGTCTGTAATCCGACGTGCTCGGGCACACTCACGGTCAGGCTCAAGTCTGCCAGCTGTGTGATGCACGTGGCACCTCGCCCACCCTCTACAACTCAGTGTCTCCATCTGTAAAATGGGACAGTAGGAGTCCCCATGTGCTGAGGGACACAAAGAAGGGGGGATTGAGACGGAATCTTGCACATACATCCCACAGCCAGAAGTGAGCCCGGAAACCCTGGAAACTGAGCCTCAAAGCAACATGATGCCCATGATTATCAGTCACAGCCAAAGGACATGGGCCCAGGAGCTCCACTTCCCAATCCAGGCCAAAATGTCCTCATAGGTTATTAACACTGCAAAGTGACAAATCAACTTCCTCTGCCTGCAGGAAAATTTCAAGCTGTTTCAAAAGCATGGAGATTTTTTTTTTCAAAACCTGTAATTTTCTAGCCTTATAGTTAGCCAGGCTTTTTTCAAAGTTTGGCCTCCCCTCAATATTTTTTCCTAATGTTAGTTTTGGAAAACCATTTCCCTAAATTAGCCTCAAGGCCCAATTAAGTTACTAACAGGGGATCGAGGACATTCTGATAAATGGGCGAAAATCATTTAGCTGGTAACTTAAAGAGCTGAGCAATCAAAGCAAATGAGAAATGCATCCACTGCCCTTTTCCAAAACCTCTTCTCTTTCTCTGCCTTTAATCATCTTTTGGAAGGCTGTCAGTTAATCAAACACGCGCTACAGAGGGGACGCCCCAGGAAACTGGAAGGTAGATCATGGGATTACAAGCTGTTTCCGTCTCTGGGTGGCGTGACGGTGTTTGCTAACGCGGCCTTCGGGGAGCTGACAAGCCGGTCTAGATATCTTAACGTGGGATACCAGTTTAAGACGGTACTGATGGGAAGCTGGTAGCGGGCACGGGGCAGGGGTGCAGGCATACCTCTGAAAGGACTGCTTTCTTTGCGACATCAGCCAGAGGTTCTGCTCCCTGCCAGGCGTACCCACCCCTGCTTGGTGTGCTAGGTTTTTACTTTTGGACATCTCTTGGGCCCTGCTGGAAGCAGCTGAGAGACTAAGCTCCCTGAGCCGTGCATCAGCAGCTATCACTCAGCTGCCAGGGGCAGGCAGAGGGACCCCAGGCAAGAGCGTGTGCGTGGCTGCCTGGAGCCCGACTTAGACATGCGGGTGCAAACACTCTGCAGGAGCAGTCATGTATCCGGGGACGCTCAGCTGGCGCAGTCAGGCGAGCCCAGGAGCTCCGGACTCACTAGGGCAGAAGACGGGAGGCAGGCGCGGGCCGAATTCTTCTCTCTCATCAATTTGCATCTTCTGTATCGGGAAGGGAGGCACGGGCTTGCGCGGCACCGGCTCGCTGGCTGAAAAACAGCAGTGTCTTATTTTCACTCATTTGCTCAATATTTATGTCCTTGAATCTTTTTTTTTTTGTTTCCTTAAATTCATTTAGTTGTTTGACAGGCAGAGTGACAGAGAAAGACAGATCAGTTTTCTATCTGCTGGTTCACTCCCCAAACGGCTGCAACCGCCTGATGTAACACCATCTTCCATCCCAGGTGAGTTATATTCAAAATAAATAATCAGCAGAAGAAAAACTGAAATTACAAGATCCCATTCATCCTAGCAAGCTCATTACTTAAATAGACTCATTTATATGTAAAGCTGCTATACACATAAAGCAGACAGAAGAGACAAAAGATTGGAAAAAACAAAAAACAATAACAACAACAACAAAAACCACATCAGAAAGTCAACAGAGGTTATTGTTAGTGGGTAAAGATTACAGCAAACTTTTTTCTACATTCCCATACTTTCAAAGTTCAAGTATATGTGCCACTTAAATTTTTTAAAAGACACCATTTTTTCTTCCACAGAAAAAAATGAACAGGGCTTAGTATGTAAAGCCACCACCTGTGATACCAGCAACCAAATCACGGCTCCGGCTCATACCCCCAACTGTTCCACTTCCCATCCAGCTGTCTGCTAACCAGCTGGGAAAAGCAGTAGAAAATGGCCCAGATGTTCAGGCCCCTGGCACATGGGAAACCCACATGAAGTTCCTGGCTTCTGGATTCAATCTGGCCCAGCCCTGGCCATTGTGGTCATCTGGGGAATGGGATGCTTGTAGGACCAGGATTAGCCAGTTGAGCCAGCCTGAAATGGTACAATTTTTAAATTTGTATCAACTAGGATATAAGGGAAGTTCACTATCAAATACTGCTATCCCCAAAATGCACCAGATGTGTTCCAGATGGTGGGGTGGAGAAGCAAGGAGGGCCCAGAGCAGTAGCCTAGCAGCTAAAGTCCTCATCTTGCACACAGCACGATCCCAAATGGGCACAGGTTCTAATCCCAGCAGCCCTGCTTCCTGTCCAGCTCCCTGCTTGTGGCCTGGGAAAGCAGTCGAGGACGGTCCAAAGCCTTGGGACCCTGCACTCCCGTGGGAGACCCAGATGAAGTTCCCGGCTCCTGGCTTTGGATTGGCGCAGCTCTGGCTGCTGTGGCCACTTGGGAAGTGAATTGACGGAGAGATCTTTCTCTCTGTCTCTCCTCCTCTCTGTATATCTCACTTTGCAATAAAAATAAATCTTAAAAAAAAAAAAAAGAAGGTAAGAAAGAGAAAAAGAGGAGGGGAGGAGAGGGGAGGGGAGGGGAGGGGAGAGAATGGAAGCGGAAGACTCTGCCCCACCCCAGTCGGAATCCCGTTGGAGTCAATGTCCCGGACAGGACCCACATCTGAGATGCTGACTTACTCGGTGCTACAGCGGATGCTTCCGCCAAGTGCGTCTCCTGGGAACCTTTGCCGTCGGCCTCCGGACTGCCCTCCTCATCATCTTCGCTGTCGCCTTGCTCTTCCTCAGAGGACGAGGACTTTTCGTCTGAGGAGCTGGCAAAGATGGCCTTGAACAGGTCCATGGGCGGGCGGCTTTCCTCCTGCTCAGGCTGCGCGTCGTGGGCAGCTTTGTTCTCCGTCTGCGCCAACAGGGAAGGAAGCGTCAGGGGTGAAGAGCGAGCGAGGGAAGGACAGCCCCACACACGCCCGGAGCCTCCTCGCACCCCGACGTCCATGCGTGCGCGTGCGTCCGTGACCACACACGGGCTGTTTCATCAGCAGTCACTCCCGCAGCTGAGTCGGTAAGTGTGCAGGGCGCAGCTGAAGTCTGAGAGATCTGTCCCCTTGGTGATCAGAATCACCACGGACTCGGGCAGAGGCCATGGAAAGCACCCCTGTCTTAGTTCCAGACGGCAGGCCTGGCCCTTGGAGGTCAAATAAGAAGAGGAAGAAATACCGTGGGCCTCCAGGCAGTGGGGTGCGAGCTGGGACGCAAGGACAGAATGGCCGGGGAACTTCCCTTGGCTGTGCCACGTCACTCACCCTAAAACAAGCCCAGATTATGGACATTCATACTAACCCCTCAAAAAAAGCAGTAACCTGTGAAAACTTACTTCAGTGAACAAGCAGTAAAGGCATGAGTGAACTATAGCCACAACCCTCAACAGCTAACTACAAGTGGGGGACTCAGTGGGACCCCAGGAGCCACCCACAGAAGCCACTTGGTCCTCCCAGATCAGACAGCATGGGGCTCCAGCAAAGAGGCCCCGGGGCTCTGCGCCCGGCGCTCAGACTGGACTCTGCTCTTCCGGTCTCCTGCCTCTTGGCCAGTGGTCACTGCTGCTTTCTGGAGCTGAGGGACAAACACGCGCAAGGGAAAAACCAGTATGAGCTGGTACAGTGTGAAGCTTTCAAAGAACACTTTTCATAGAAAAGAGGAAAAGCGATTTCTTTTTCCATCTCAGAAGCATGCCCAGATCTGATTTTTAAAATACCATTCCCCACTCGAAACAACTAGGGCATCTGGTAACAAGAACTGATTCTAGAGCTGGGGCTGGGAAAGGAGCCAAGGGACCCACACCTTCCTGTGCCCAAAGAGGAGGGCCACATCGCAGGGACACCGACCAACAGGAAGGGCTCCGGGGAGCTTAGCCTGAGACGACAATTCAAGCACTAGAAGGAGTAACAAAAGGGCCAAGTTCATCCTTCTGGAGAAAACAGGAAACCGTGGGTCCATGGTGGCATAAACAGCATGAGGAACAAAGCACCGACATACTTCAGAGTTCTTCAGTTAAAAATAAGTTCAGGTAGGCATTTGGCCTAGTAATTTAGCCACCCATATCCCCCGTCAGTGCCCAGGTTCAAGTCCTGGCTGTGGCCCTTGTTTTCAGCTTTCTGTACACTCTGGAAGCTAGCAGTGGTGCCTCCAGTCCTTGGCTCTTTGTCACCCACGCAGGAGTCTTAGATCGAATTCCTGGGTCTCCGACCAATGTGGGCAGGTGGGGAGTGAGCCAATAGGTGGGAGCGCGTACTTTCTCTCTTCCTTTCAAATTAAAACAGTAATAATAATTAAGTATACGCAACAAATACATCAAAGGGCTTAGTAATTACAAAGGGAAAAGGCCAACTTTGTGATGAAAGGACCTGGCAGGCTCCCCCTTTCCACGGGGGATTCAGAGTGAGCCTCAGTGCCAGACAGGCGCTTGGTGAGACGTGATAAGAACACAGCACCCCTTCTGAGGTTTGACTGCCGGAGATGCAGTCCTGCAGTGACTCCTGAGGAAGCATCAGACAAACCCAAGTGGAGAGACGTTCCGCACAGCCCTGGCCTCGTAATCCTGCAAAGTTTCAAGACCGTGAGGGTTAAAGACGGGAGAACTGTTCCATACTGACGGGCCAGGACAGTGCTTGGCAAGTGCAGCAGATGATGCTGATCACCAGCCATTGGCCTGGGAAGGATGCCTGGAGAGCCTGCCGGGGCCGGGCGGTGAGGTCAGGGTGAGGAGGCTGGGCTGACTTTGACTCTAATCCATGGGAGAAGGTGCATCTTCAAATGGAAGCACAGGGCCAACAGCATCCAGGTGGCAAAACGCTCAGGGGAAAAAAACAATCTCTGTACCACATTTAGACTTTTGAGATTGCTTTCAAAAAAGTCTCGTTTTGTTTTTAATCAGAGAAAAAGGAGGGAAGAGGCTCTGACAGGGGATCCCAGGAAATAATGGCAACAGTTGCCAACAACAGTCATAAGGCTGCTTCACGCAGGGCAGAGCCTCTCCTGACATCTCCAATGGTAAACGTAGAGGCCGTACGTCAGATGCTCGACTCTCAGACACAGGCGCTGATCCCTGTCCGCTTCTTCTCAGAGTAGAAAATTAAACAACAATGTGCAGCATCACATCAGGTCCACACGGGCAAAGCGGCCTCGAAACCTCCCGCCTCACCTTCCACTAGTCGGGGGGATGCAAACTCACACCTGCACTGACCCGGGAAGCTGTCACAGAAGGAAGTGAGACAGTCCAGAGGGGAAGAGCTCTTCCCAATGCCACATGGGGAGTAAGAAGCAGGACTCCTTCCGGGCATCCAACATGCAGACGTGACCTCCATGTGATTTCTGGTCCAACACAGGAGACTTTCTAACCGAAAGGGGCGGGTATTGTAGCACAGCAGGTGAAGTCACCAGCTGGCGTGCACACATCCCACACACAGGCGTGCTGCGTTTGGATCTCAGCTTCTCTGTATTTCTAACCCACCTTGTTGGGGATGCACCTGGGAGGCAGCAGAGAATGGCCCGAGCGTGGAGTTCCTGCCAACTACAGGAGAGACCCAGATGGGAGTCCCTGCCTCCTGCCTCAGCCTGGCCCAGTCCCAGCTCATGTGGGCTTTGGAGCAGTGAATCAGTAGATAGAAAATCACCCTCTCGGGCCCAGCAGTGTGGCCTAGTGGCTAAGGTCCTCGCCTTGAATGCGCCGGGATCCAATATGGTCGCTGGTTCTAATGCCGGCAGCTCCACTTCCTCAATCTCTCTCCACCTCTCTGTATATCTGACTTTGTAATAAAAATAAATCTTAAAAAAAAAAAGAAAATCACCCTCTCTGTTACTCTGCTTTTCAAATAAATGAATCGTAAATAATAATAATAATGATAGCACTAGTAATAATAACAACAACAAAAACCAGTGGACTGGTTCTGAATGTGGTGGCAGCAGCTGCCAGGAAAAATCTAACACTTTTAACAGAGAGGACTTCTCTTCTGTGACTCCAGGCACCACGGTCCCAGCAACGCGGAGTGAATCTCACTCTTCCTCCTTCTGCCCTCCTGCCACTTAACCCTAGACACAGATTAAAGTCACAGGCGTGCAAGCAAGGCAGTTTGGAAACTGAAGCCCCAGCTTCTGGAAGACATGCTGGAGGGTAGGGGGAACCCGGAAGGCCCCAAAATGTCAGGAATATCATAAAGAACCCTAAAAAGTGATGCCATAAAGAGGCATGTCAACTCTAGGCTCGCCTCTATGCCATGAAAGTGCGGATACGACACTGACCAGCAAAGTGTTTCATCAGCAGCACTGTGGGGTTGATGACCAGGGTCCCACACCAGGACGTGCAAAGCACACGCCCAACACAGGCATGGACCTTGGCTATAAAGGCTCTGAAAAAGGAGATGGTGCTAGAACCACAAGCACGAGGTTGGCTTGGGTCTTACAGCCTGAACTTGCCGGGCTGACTGTGGGCTGCAGCAAACCAACCAAATCAACATATTCCTAAGAATTTAAACAAGACCCAAATTCTCACAAAAATATTCAGGGGCCCAGCAGTGTGCCCTAGCAGCTAAAGTCCTCACCTTGAACGTGCCTAAGATCCCATATGGGTGCCGGTTCTAATCCCAGCTGCTCTGCTTCCCATCCAGCTCCGTGCCTGTGGCCTGGGAAAGCAGTCGTGAACAGCCCAGAGCCTTGGGACCCTGCAGCCGTGTGGGATACCCAGAAGAAGTTCCTGGCTCCTGGCTTTGGATCGGTGCAGCACCGGCTATTGTGTTCACTTGGGGAGTGAATCATCCAATGCAAGATCTTCCTCTCTCTCTCCTCCTCCTCTCTGTATATCTGACTTTCCAATAAAATAAATCTTTAAAAAAATTTTTCAGAATATCCAGGAGCAACGCAAAAACGACAGGGGGATGACAACCAGGACAATCTCCACTAACACAAGACAATAAATAGATGTCCATTCTGAAATGATGAAAATCGTGGAATTGTTACAGATTTTAAAGCCTCCTATGTTCCAGAAATATAGGCTAATGAACAGAAAGAAAAGGTCTCAAAAAAAAAAAAAAAAGAAGACATAAAGAAGCAGCAAATGGAAATATTCTTTTTCATTTCATTTGAAAGGCAGGGAGATACACGGAGACAGAAAGATAAAGATCTTCCATCACATGGTTCACTCCCCAGACACCCACGAGAGCCAGGGCTGGATGAGGACAACTCACTGTAGGTCTCCCACACAGGTGGCAGGAACCCAGGGACTTCAGCCATCACCTGCTCCTCCCAGGGTACACAGTACCAGGAAGTTGGCTCACAAGTGGTGTAGCCAGGACTTGAACCAAGCACCCTAATGTAGGCTAAGGGTATCCAACACAGCAATTTAACCTTAGTGCCAAATGCCCACTTCAGAAATGGAGATTTTAGGGCCCGGCACGGTGGCGCAAGTGGTTAAGGTCCTTGCCTTGCATGCCTGGGATCCCATATGGGCGACGGTTCTAATCCCGGCAGCCCCATTTCCCATCCAGCTCCCTGCTTGTGGCCTGGGAAAGCAGTCGAGGACAGACAGCCCAAGGCTTTAGGACCCTGCACCCACACGGGAGACCCAGAAGAGGCTCCTGGCTTCAGACTGGCATGGCATCGACTGTTGCACTCACTTGGGGAGTGAATCATCGGACGGAAGATATTCCTCTCTGTCTCTCCTCTATGTATATCTGCCTTTCCAATAAAAATAAAATAAATCTTTAAAAAAAAAAAAGAAATGGACATTTAAGAAATGACAGTAACCCAGGTTGAAACCTCACTGCCTGGACATAGGAGAGAGGTGGGACCCTGGGAGGAGGCTGCGAAGTTAAGAATAGGCCGATGGAAATGTTCTGATGGAAACATCATGGAGAGGAAAAGATTGAAAGAATTAAGAGATCTGTAGGACAACACCAGAACGTCTAAGATCCACGCCATCAGAATCCCGGAAGAGGAGTGAGGGGGTGGTGTAGAAAAAAAAAATATTGAAAACAAAATGACTGAAAATGTCCCAAATTTGGTGAAAGACAGATTCAGAGATTCCAGAAGCTCAGCACACCCCAGACAAAATAAAGTCAAAACCATCTGAACACAAAAATTTTTAAAATATGCACATCCCCAGCCCACTCAAACACAAGTAGCTGAAACCAAAGGCACAGTGAAAATCTTGAAATAAACAAAACAGAAACCACCCCAGGACACGGCAGGATGACCGCAGGGGTCTACCAGAAGAACGTGTGCAAAAACTTAAAGGATAAAAGGAAAAGAATTCCCATGTCCAACAACAATGTCCTTCGGGAAAGAAGATGAAAGGATGAAGGGAGTTTGGGAAATTCATTGTTGGAATTAATCCAAAAAAAAAAAAAAAGCTGAAGAAAGTTCCTTAGACAGAAGTTAGGAGAGGGAAATTTACAACTTCAAGAATGAACAGGGTCCAACATTGTGGTCTAACAGCTAAAGTCCTCGCCTTGCACGCCCGGGATCCCATATGGGTGCTGGTTCTAATCCCAGCAGCCCCACTTCCTATCCAGCTCCCTGCCTGTGGCCTGAGAAAGCAGTCGAGGACGGCCCAAAGCCTTGGGACCCTGCACCCGTGTGGGAGACCTGGAAGAGCTCCTGGTTCCTGGCTTCGGATCAGTGCACCACTGGCCATTGTGGTCACTTGGGGAGTGAATCATCTGATGGAAGGTCTTTCTGTCTGTATCTCTCTCTGTATATCTGCCTTCCCAATAAAAAAAAAAAATAAATAAAATAAATCTTAAAAAAAAGTCAAGCTTATCTGTACATGAGGGATCTTCAAAAAGTTTACGAACAATGAGTATCGTGAAAAGCTATGTGTTGTTTTCAAAATCTTTTATACCAAAATTAACTCTCAGTTCCACTTTTCATGAATTCTTTCAAGGACCTGATTTTACTTAGTAATCCAGCTAAAGGTATTTTTTTCCTGGAGAAATGAAAACTTAAGTTTACACAAAGCCCAACTAGGAATGCTCCCAGCAGCTCTGTTTGTGAAGGAAAATGTTGGAAAGAACCTACATGTCCTTAAAGGGTGCATGTCAGTCAACAAACCATGCATTCCAAAATGGAAAACCACCCAGCAATAAACCGACACACACCACACACACACAACATTGATGATTTAAAGGAAGTTCTTGGGGCTAGCACCAGAGTATAGTAGGCTAAGCCTCTGCCTAGGGTGTTGGCATCCAGTAAGGGTACCAGTTTGAGTCCTGGCTTTTCCATTTCCCATCCAGCTCCCTGCTGATGAACCCAGGAAGGCAGTGGAAGATGACCCAAGTCACTGGGTCCCTGCACCCACGTGGGAAACCCTGTTTTAGTTCAACCTAGCTCTAGCTATTGGCGGCCATTTAAGGAATGAACAGGTGGATAGAAGATGTTCTCTATCTGTAAATTTGCCTTTCATATAACAAATAAATAAATATGTCTTTTAAAAAAATGTAGGAGGCTACAAGACAGAAATCAGCCTCAGAAGGTTGTGTATGGACATTTGTAACATTCCGGAAAAGGCAGAAAGAGAACACACTATCCCTGATAGACAAGGGTACGGAGCCAGGGCACTGGACGACCATGAAGGGATGGCATGGCTCTTGGGGCTGACGATAATGCCTACAGACTGACTGTAGTGCTGGTTACATGAATTTATGCAGCTGTTAAAATGCACTGAACTGTACTTCCAAAAGCAACTCAATTTTTACATACATTAATTTGGTCTTAAACACACACACATACACACAAAGGACCCAGTGAGGTAGCCTAGATAATTAAATCTTTGCCTTGCATGCAATGGGATCCCACGTGGGCGCTGGTTCATATCCCAGCTGCTCCACTTCTCACCCAGCTCCCTGCTTGTGGCCTAGGAAAGCAGTGGAGGACGGTCCAAAGCCTTGGGACCCTACACCAGCATGGGAGACTAGGAAGAAGCTCCTGGTTCCTAGCTTTGCATCAGCTCAGCTCTGCCCAATGCAGCTACCTGGGGAGTGAACTAGCAGACAGAACATCTTCTTCTCTGTCTTTCCCTCTCTCTGTAAATCTGTTATTACAATAAAAATAAATAGATCTTAAAAAAACACACATACAAAAAGATGTAAAATGAGGTTATCATAAATAAAGACTAACTTCTTAATGAGTTCAACTTCCAACTACTAAAGCAGTACTTAAGAAACAAGTGAATGGATGTTCTCCACAAAATACTATTTGAAAAACAACCATTGCTGATAGGAAAGCATTTTGTTTGAATGGCTGACGGCAAGTGAAGGCCATCTGGGCAGGGGAAGCCTGAAACCTCTCCTCATGCAACTAAAGTTAGGACTGAATCAGTTGGACAGCAAAACAGATGTTAGCAAACTTCTGCCCGTGGGCGTGTCCCACCGCTGCCCGCAGAGTTCTCCGGGACAGCAGCTGTGCAGGTCATGAACCCACGGCCCGTGGATCCTCTCACGCTGAGACACGCAGACTGCATGGTACACAAAGCTAAAGTATCAGATACACGGCTCCATCGCAGAGATAGTCTGCTACTACATGACGGGAAGGCATCAGCCCAGAGAGAGGCAAAGGGCACAAGGAACCCCCAAATACCTTATTTGGGGGAGATTCAGGAGCCTTCTCTTCCTCTCTTTTCACGGAGGGACTGGACTCTTGTTTCGGTGGTCCAGCTTTGGATCTGGCCAAACTTAAGAATTCACCAATGGAATCTTCCTTCTTTTCCTGTTTGGACGTATCCCACCTGGACGGCTTTCGGGATTCTGCAAAGTATGTCACACACAGATACAACATCAGAGTGAGGGAGCCAGCAGCAAGCTCTTCGCCACTGCTCTTCCATTCAGCTGAGGGTGCAGCACATGTACGATGGGTCGGTGTTGGGGATGTAGCTGAGATTCAGCCCCGGCCCCAAAGGGGAAGCACGTGGACTGCTAAGACATGAACATGAACTTGGCACCCAGTGTATCCTCAGGACGAGACTACCTTCTCCTGCGGGCTTCCCCGACAGAGGGAGCCTTGGGCTCCTACTCACTGTCAGGAGCTCGGGCCTGGGGGGCTGCCTGTGGCACTTTGTCACTCGATGCTTGAGTTGTGGGCAAGGAAGCTGTCTCGGGGAGCGTCAGGAAGTTGAAGACGGAGTACTTGTCACGCTTCACCCTTGGTAAGCCAACTAAAGTTGAACTGGGGGTTAAAAAAGAAACACAGATATCTTATTTCAAGAACAACTACCAGGATGCAATCCACTTCCTATAAAGTTTTCACCTCACATTTTTCACCAGCTCTTCTATTTGCCTGAAAGATCCCTAAGGTATTTTGACTTCCCAAAGCAGTTCCGGACTTCACAATGGTTTATCTGAGGACCCCCGAGCCTTTTCTTGTTACAGTGAGGGCTAGGATGTAAGTCAGAAAAACAGATTTACACTAAGGAAAAGTTCCCTTGCGAAAAATGCACCTGTTCCTCTGCCACAAAGCCTCTGAATGAACTGTACATTATTTCTCGCAGCGTTTATGATGATATACAGAAGTGTCGGACTTTTATAAAGAGAATCAGCAAACACTGGGGTAATGTTTTCAAGGTAAGTTATGTAAAAAGATTGCAAACAAAGGACAAATCTGAGTTTTATATCTCCCACATGGAATAAAGTTTGCTATCCAGGTATTTGTTTAGTAACAAATCAATGGTAGTCAATCTGCAAAAGTTGGAACTCTAAGGATTCACAAGTGAGTCCATCGCGAAAAGGGGAATTCGCACAAATATGTCAGGGAACAGACTAGCTTTCCTACGGGTGAATGTGGTTTGTACTGATGCAAAGGCAGGTGTATCCGACTTACTCTGGATAAGGGTCAGGGACATTAAACCTCTTACACAGCAGCTTGTCAGGATGCCACTCAAACGTGTCTCGGGTAAGCTTTCCAAACATCTTCATCTTCACAGCCGACTGCTTGTCGTTCACATCGTTCTGGAAAAACACACGCATTTGGTTTCATTGAGCGGCCATTCAACGTTTTTGCTGAAGTCCATTAAAGCTATCTGCTGAAGTTCAAGCTCTTGGCCTCGGCACAATGGTCTGGTGGCTAACTCCTCGCCTTGCACGCACAGGGATCCCACACCGGCACACCGGCACTGGTTCATGTTCCATCTGCTCCACTTCACACTCAGCTCCCTGCGTGTGGCCTGGGAAAGCAATAGAGGACGGCCTAAAGCCTTGGGACCCTGCACCCATGTGGGAGACCCAGAAGAAGCTCCTGGCTCCTGGCTTCAGATTGCCTCAGCTCTGCCTGTTGAGGCCAGTTGGGGAGTGAACCAGAGCCAGAATATCTTTCTGTCTTTCCTTCTCTCTGTAAATCTGCCTTTCCAATAAAAATAAATAAATCTTTAAAAGAAAAAAAGTTTTTTGATTTTTTTTAAAAAGCTGAAACTCTTATAGAAAAATGTCTTAATTCCACTATGCCAAGCGTGCTTCGATCTTTTCGCCGCAGGATTTAAAATATTTGGCTGGGTAGTGCTGTCATTTTAAAGTTCACTAGGTGGGAAGGGAACCCGATGGTGACAGACCTCTTGGTCTCGAGGGACTTCGACTTGCTCCGAATCGTCCTCCTCCTTGGCGTGGGTGAACCTGGAGGACAAGGTCGAGTGGGAAGACACGTACAGCTGGGCTGCCCGGGCAAACTCGTCCCGCTCACGGCCTCGCTCCCACTCGGTCATGCTGGGATCCAGGCAGCGCTCCAGGGCGTCTGTGGCACAGGAAACAGGAAGCTGCCGCACATTGCTAAGGAAGAGAGGCGGCTGAGGGGGCAGCCTCTGGCCACCGTGACCTGCAGGCGTCCCTGCGTGCTTTGCCCCAGGAAGCACAAATCCTCAGCTTTGCTCTAACAGGCCCGGGTGTGGATGGAGGGGTAAGGAGCGGGTAACTCTGCTCCCTCCTTCCTGTAAAATGATGCTTTTACTGGATTGTCCGCCACGAGACGGGTGACGAGCTGGACAAGTTTCTTGCTCCTGAAGATTTCACCAAGCGTTTGCCATCTCCCGGATTCTTCAGCAGCAAGGAACGTCAAGTTCATCACCCAAGTTCATCACCGACTCCAGGGAGCAACTGCTACCTCCCAAACACAGTGCTACATCCTTGAACTTGTCATTATGTTACAGATAAACATTACAGCCCGGGTTCTGAGAGGGAATGAGAGCACAGTAAAGGGGATGTCTTACTCCCCAGTGACTCGTTTCTGAAAAAAAAACACCCCTTCTGATCTGCTGACCCGTGCGGACTGCCGCATAGCGAGGCCATCCCTGCTTTCCTCCCCACTGTATCTGCTTCACAGATCACAGAATGGTCCAGCACCCTTCCTCCCCTGCCACCATGTACTAGGTCAACAGTCAACTTGTTTTTTTATAAATCAAATTGAAGAGTCTTATTTAGGGCTGGGTGATCAGCACCTTCAATTAAGGCGGAAGGTGAGATTCTCGTGGTATGAAATCCAGCACATTACACAAGTCAGGCATTCGCAAACAGTAAGTGGTTTGTGATTTAGCATAAGCTATTGCCAAGGCATGGTCCCTACCTGCACAGCAAACTTTGAAGCTGAGATATAGAGGAAGACAAGCTAACTTATTATTATCTAAGGCAAGGGTGGGAATTGCCTGGCCTGCAAGCTCTATAAAACCTGCGAAATCAAGGCAACGGCAGGCAGGACTCAAAATTCAGTAAATCTATAGCAGGCTAATCTCCAAGTATGATGTTATAAACATCCAAATGGCCCTTGGCACCATCTTTCCAGAGAAGGTTCCAGAGCAGGTCTAGCTTCAGGATCTGAAACCTCCGCAGTGTTTGTGGCAGGACAAAGCAAAAATGCTGGCAGAAGGGGATACTTCAAGTCCAAGTCTGGGACTGACACACAGGCAGTGAGAATGTCACCCTCCCCTGCTGGAAACGTGGGAGACACAGGCTCAGCACCCACCTTTCCGACCCTGTTTCATCTGTACCAAGAACTCTTCATAGCGTCTTTGTTTTTCTGGATCTTTGGCGAAAGGTTTGAAGTTGCTGGCTCTCGGGGTGACTGTCCCGCCGCCCAAGGCCATGCGCCAAGAGCTGTGTCCGGCGTCATGAGGGGAGGGCTGGAGTCGGCTGCTCGAGGCGTTCTGGGCCAGGGTCCTGGCCTTGAGTTGAGCTGCTTTAAGGTCGGTTGCGTGCTTCATTTCTCTAATTCTCTCCCTGTCTTTTTGGGACAGAAACTCTAATACTGAGGTACTTGCCCCTGAATAAAAACAGCAATAAGAAGAGATGAGTGGCACCATAAGACAATTAGATTTCTCTGTACATACACCTTCAGGGTCACAAATTTATATAGAGACGAGAATATTATAGCCACGTCTCCCATGAACAAGAACATCACAAAAACAATGCTCCTAATTTATAATGGAGATTAGCACTTAGTCATTTGCAGGGCAAGTGGGTTGTCCTAGGATGAGGAAGCTGACATCAGGGCTCTGGTCCTGCCAGCACAAACCATGGTATAGAGCACAGAGACCCGCCAGCACTCACTTATGCCACAAACGCTCGCCAGGCACCGATGCCACACGGAGTCTGGCTCAGATGAGCTCTCTCCTGTCATCAGAGAGGGAGAAGGGCAGGAGGAGAGCAAAGATCCGCTCCAGAGAAGTGCTATGGTAGACCCAAAGAGGGTGACGGCCAGGTGACTTCCGCAAAGGGTTGTTAGTTGGGGCCGAGAGGGGAAGAGACTGGCTGGCATTAGTGGCCAGGGGAAGTCTGGCGGCTTCTCAAGGAGATGGTATTTGAAAGGAGTCCTGGGTAAAACAACAGAAGCCAGACTCAGAGGCAGAGGAGATGGCAAACCCTAAGGTAGGCCCTGAGTCGGCATCAACTGCCAAGTTAACGGGAGAAGGGAAAGACGAGGAGGCCACACCGCGGGGCAAGAAGGGAGAGTAAGCGGGGCAGCACCACATGGGGCCTGTGGGTTTCTGGACAATGCTGCAAGTGGGAGGGAGTTTTAAGAGGACACTGATAGGGCCCAGCATGGTGGCCTAGTGGCTAAAGTCCTCACCTTGAACACGCTGGAATCCCATATGGGCACCAGTTCTAATCCTGGGGGCCCTTCTTCCCATCCAGCTCCCTGCTTGTGGTCTGGGAAAGCGGTCAAGGATGGTCAAAAGCCTTGGGACCCTGCACCCATGTGGGATACCCAGAGGAAGCTCCTGGCTTTGGATCGGTGCAGCACCGGCTATTGTGTTCACTTGGGGAGTGAATCATCCGATGCAAGATCTTCCTCTCTGCCTCTCCTCCTCTCTGTATATCTGCCTTTCCAATAAAAATGAATAAATCTAAAATAAAAAGAGAGAGAGAGAGAGAGAGAGAGAGAGAGAGGGCACTGATACAGCTAGGCTTAGAGAGCTGCTGTCGAGGAGATGGATGCAGCAGGAAAGCAGGAGAGATGAGGAGATCAATGAGGAGGCTGCTACAACAGTCCCAGGGAGAGCAGGAGGTGCTCGGACCAAAGTGGAGGTGGCAGAAATGTTAGGAGGGGCTGCAGACCCCTCCATGCCTTGGAGGTGCAGCTGGGAGGAGTTGCTGAAGCAGTGGTCAAGGACCAGGAGCCCTACTTCCGGCCTGAGCAGTGTTCCCCCCCGGGTGGTTCATTTCCTGAGATGGGGGAGACTGGAGGAAGAACCAGTTTGGGAAAATCATGGAGGACCTAGACTTTAAAAAGCTCATGGAAAATGTATATTAGGAAAAAAAAAAGTGCATGGATTTCAGAGTTTTTTTTTTTTCTGACACCCTTGAAACCCTCCCATATTTGGACTCCTACGGTGACACAGCTAGGACACTGGCCCCTAGCCGTCTGAGGTCAGTTCAGGTCTCTGCTGCCTCCTTCAGGGACTCCATGCAGTCCTCACCTCCTTCCAGACACACCTGGCCCCGTCAGGCTTTTGGGACAAGAGCTGCACAAGTCGTCCCACCCCACTCCCACCCTTCCACTGGGCAGAAGGCGCACTTCGCAGAGCTGTGCAGGGATGAGCGAGGTACACCCGTCCCTGGCGCTGACCCCATACCCAGAAAGTGCTGAAGTCTGAAAGCGACGGAAGCTAAGAGAAGGGTTGAGGTTTCAGTAACCCAACCCAAACTGGCCAGGGAAAGCAGCTTCCAGGAGGAGCTCTGCACTCCTCCCGCGCCGGCCGCTCCGTTGTGCATTTGAGGGCTCATGGGAACAGCAAGGCAATGATGTCCGGCTTCTCCCTGGGCACATACCTTGAACGGGCGTCTCTCCTAGCAACTCCCCGCGCTTGGAGGCATTCAGCTGGTGCCTGCCGTGCGGCCCAGGGTCAGGCATTGCTTTTCCAGAAGACTCGGATAGAACCTGAACTAGGTGCGTGTTCTCGGAGGTTGCGGCCACCACAGGTCTGAAGTAATGTACCGGTCGGTAGTCTCTTGGTAAAGCAGGTGGTGGGTAAATCTGAAACAAAACCCCAAAAAAAGTCAGAGTCCGGAACAGGATCACGGTTGATTCCAACAAGAAAATCCACGACTCCCAAGCACTGCTACCCTCTTCCAGGTTAATGTCCACAAAGGAGCTGGCACTGGAACGGCCCAGCCGGCTGTCAAGTCAGCGCCCATGCTGAACCTAGAGGGTCGCCAGAACCGCAAGGAGCCGTGGGCAGATGCTCGAAACGTCATCTCCATCCTCTTCCATGAGGAGATGCTAACACGCCCATTTGTATGAGGAGCATCAGGATGATCGCAGATGACGGAGCAGAGCGGCCGACAGGCAGAAACGGCCTACTGTAGAGCAGAAGGCTTAGAAACATAGGACTCAAAGCTTCACAAAAAAAAAGGCAAAAAAATTCCAATTAGCTAAGCTCAAATTCAGAATTCGTTTTGCAGGTTAAGTTCCATTTACAAACTGAAGCTCCAGGCCTGGATCTTTGACCCCAGATGTTTATTGGATTTTTGTTGTTGTTGCTAATAAAGATGTATATATTCATTTGAAACACAGAGAGGGAGACACAAAGAGAGAGAGAGAGATCTTCCAACTGCTGGTTTATTCTCCAGATGGTTACAATGGCCCAAACTAGGTCAGGTGGAATTATCCAGGACTGGAATGCCCACGTGGGTGGCAGGGGCCAAGGACTCGAGCCTTCTTCTGCTGCTTTCCCAGGCATTAGCACGCAGCTAGATCGGAAGTGGAGCCACCGGGTCTTGAACCGGTGCCCCTATGGAACATTGGTACTGCAGAGAATTAGCTTAATATGCCATGGAGCCGGCCAGCTCACTTAGAATTAAGTATTTTTAATTCTAACAGGCAGAACAGATAAAAGAAAGTACTAGATATTTTTAAAGAACTACACTTCGTGATTTTTTTTGTTCTTGGTCTGACATATTTATACGTACTCCCACTTTAAGCTGAGAGCTCTAAAGTCCTGTAGCAGATGAGGCCCCAGCCCCTCTCGGCCCATGTGGTACCGTAGTCTTACTGAGAAATTTCCATGATGCTGATGCCTTATTTTCAGCGTTTGGCTCAGCAGTTAAGCCGCCACTTAGGATATCTGAACCCATACTGAACTGCCTGGGTTCAAGTCCCACCCCTGCTCTCCATTCCAACTTTGTGTTAATGGCTCAAGTCCTCGGGTCCCTACCACCCGTGTGAGAGACTCGGACTGAGATCCTGGCGAGGCTGGTGTTGCAGCCCAGCAGCTTAAACAGCTGCCTGTGATGCTGGCGTTCCATGTGCGTGGAGAAAGAGTTTGAGTCCCTGGTTCCTGGCTTCAGCCTAGACTAGCCGTGGCTCTTGGAGGCATTTGAGGAGTAAACCAACAGACAGATGATCGCTCTGTTGAGGTTGTCTCTGTGCCTCTCAAAGGAAGACAATAAACTAGTGGGCGTTGTATCCCAGGGCAGTTGGCTTGAACTGCAGTTCTCCTGGCTGGTCAGCAGGTGGTGAGGTGCAGCCTGGGCTGGGTCCGGGGAAAGGCTGCGAGAGGAGCCTGGCTCCTGTCAGACCAACACCCTCAGGAAACCTGCAGACTCCCGGTCAACCGACACGGGCTGCCACACGTGCATCCCGCGGAGCCTGAGGACCATGTGCACGAGTCTGCTCTGAGGGGCCATTGGACTCCCTGCGTTTCCTTCCCGCCACCAGATCACTCTAGACCAAGAGGCGGGGCCGCTCAGCCACCTATCGCCCCTGTGTGAAAGGCAAGGAGACGCAGCCCTTTGCAGAGTCATCCCAACGGGGGATGCCTCCAGCCAGGACCCCCTCTCAGGGACCCTCAGCCCTTGACTCTCCATTTAGGGCACTGGATGTGGGCATCTGGCATCCTTACACAAGGAAGATACTGGGGGCACGACTTAATTACTTATGTGTCCTTGAACTCTAAGTTGGGCGAGTACTTCTCTGCAGTTTTTAAATCATACTTGATTTTCATACTTGAGGGGGAGGGGAGCCCACAATTCTCTTTTTAATGTTATTTGACACTTCCGGGAATCCCGGCAGCTCACTCCGTGCCTAGGGCTGTTACATAAGCACGGGAAGGCTCAGGCTAAAGCCACTCAGTGCCACTGCAACTGCGACTGTCGCCTGTCGGCTGTGCTGCCCCTGGCCCGCGCCGGGCCGAAGGACGCAGGCCGGCCCTTAGCGTTGGGCAAACGCTTGCTGAAGGACACAGCCAGCTGATCGCCGCCCTGAGGCACCATCAGCAGGAAGAAGGCAGCCAGGCCAGCACGCACAGCTCGCCCCTGAGCACGTGCGTCCGAGCTCACGGCGACAGCGCTCGGCCAAAGAACAGATGTTCACTCGTGGCTGGAAAGCACGTGGGGCTCTCGCTTCTCTCCCTTCTGGCTTGGTCCTCCTAGAGCCCTGAGAACTCCGCCCATGCCAGCTTCACGAGGACTCGGGATCATAAGTTGAAAATAGTTTCTTTTAAAACAGTTTCTCTTTCCTTAATATGACCTCAAGGAGGGCCTGCCCTAGGGCACGGGGTGGACCCAGCTGCTGTTAATGAGGCTGGCACACCGTGCGAGGGCCGGCTTCAGGCCGGACTGCTCCATTTCCAGTCCAGCCCCCTGCTGACGCTCCTGGGAAAGGAGCACAGGATGGCCCAAAGGCCTGGGCTCCTGAACCCACATAGGAGTCCTGCGTGGAGTTCCTGGCTCCTGGTCCAGCCATCAATTTGAGAATTGAACCAGTGGATTCAAGATCTCATTCTCTCTGCAATTCTGCTTTTCAAATAAATGTAGATTTTTTAAAATTACATTGAGGGCCTGGCACAGTAGCCTAGTGACTAAAGTCCTCTCCTTATACATGGCAGGATCCCATATGGGCACCAGTTTGTGTCCCACCAGCCCCCGCTTCCCATCCAGCTCCCTGCTTGTGGCCTGGGAAAGCAGTCAAGGACGGCCCAAAGCCTTGGGACCCTGCACCCGCATGGGAGACCTGGAGGAAGCTCCAGGATCCTGGCTTTGGATTGCTCAGTTCCAACCATTGTGGCCACTTGGGGAGTGAATCAGCAGACAGAAGATGTTTCTCTCTGTCCCTCCTCCGCTCTGCATATCTGCCTTTCTAAATGAAAATAAATAGATCTTGGAAAAAAGAATTACATTGAGTTCATTCTCCTATCAGCTTGTAATGTACATCCCTTTTAACGGAAATAGCACTCCCTAAAAATGTGACGTTTCCAGCCGCTAGATATTCTGAAAGCAGGTGCCTGCTGACGTGAAGTTTCCAATACAGACTACGCTTCCCAGACAACTGCTGGTTACCAAGGCCGCTGCCTTTAAGAAAACACTAGCTTTTCAATGATTAACATAATAACTCAGATTACATGGCAGCAAGCTTTCAAGCAGCAAATCAGATTTGAAAAAAAAAATTTTTTTTTTCTTACTTTCTTCGAAGACAAAGGTTTAGAAGACAAGGAAAATCCATCCAGAATTTTGCCAACGTAGCGAAGATCTTTTTCTGATTCTGCAAAACGATTGATTTCGGGAGTAGAAACAAATCAGAATGAGGAACAAGACGTGACCTTTTTATCTCCGAGAACATAAACAGTATCGTGTCACAGGTGATATCGCTCAGAGAAGACGACACCCCTGCTGACTCAGCGACTGGTGGCGCAGCCCACACCACCCTGGCCCGGTCAGGCTGCCAGCAACACCACAACATGTTTTTCATGCCAAGGACTCTAGGTCCTAAGCTAAGAGACACCGAAGATACCCTCTAAGAAGTAAAAGACCCAGAGGAACAAATATAGGGGAAAAATAAAGAACCTTAACAATGAGAGACCCACTTCTGAAACAAAATGAAGCAGCCTGGGACGCCATCTCCTGGTTTCTTAGGCAAATCCAAGGCCGCAAAAGGCGACACAACCAGGTCAGCCTGCAGTCTAGTTTTCCTACAGATTCAAAGGTTATTGGGGTCCTTTTCGCGAATGAAAAGTTTAACAGCAGACAGAGATCATAAACTCGGGAAATGGAGGGACCAACGCCCTCTAACGGAGAGCTGGGCACTGTCTGTCCGTGGGTCCTGGAGATGACCCCAGCCACAGAGGTTCCCAAGGATTTCCTGCACCTGACGGTTACGCTCAAAATACAGATGCATCAACTGCAGTTTCTGAGCCCCGTGAGAACGGACACAAGCTTGGTGCTCAGTCCCACAGCAGGCACAGCCCACAGCGCAGGTGCCCACAGATGACACCACATCACCATGCTCCTGCCCTCCCCCACAAAGCCATTCTCTGTGCTTCAATTCATGCTTTCTATAGCTTAGAGAAGTTGCCAAAATTCTACAGGGTAATCTGGATAAAATGTAGTATTTAGAATTTTGCTTTCTTTTATAATCTAGAAGTTTACTATTCCAAATTACTTCTAAGAATAATTCTGATGAGGGCCCAGTGGGGCAGCCTAGTGGCTAAAGTCCTCAGTTTGTAGGTCCAAGATCCCATACAGGCACCGGTTAGTGTTCCAGCTGCCCATTTCCCATCCAGCTCCCTGCTTGTGGCCTGGAAAGCAGTCAAGCATGGCTCAAAGCCTTGGAACCCTGCACCCGTGTGGGAGATCCGGAAGAAGCTCCTGGCTTCTGATCAGCTAGGCTCCAGCCATTGCAGCCAGGGAATGAATCAATGAACAAAAAATCTTTCGGTCTCTCCTTCTTCTCTCTGTAAATCTGTCCTTCCAATAAAAATAAAAATAGGGTCCGGCACAACAGCCTATAGGCTAAAGTCCTCGCTTTGAACTCCCCGGGATCCCACTTCCCATTCAGCTCCCTGCTTGTGGCCTGGGAAAGCAGTCAAGGACGGCCCAAAGCTTTGGACCCTACACCCATGTGGGAGATCTGGAGGAAGCTCCGGGCTCCTGGCTTCAGATTGGCTCAGCTCCAGCCACCGCAGTTGCTTGGGGAGTGAACCATTGGACAGAAGATGTTCCTCTCTGTCCCTCCTCCTCTCTGCATATTTGCCTTTCCAATAAAAATAGATAAATCCTTTAAAAAAATTAAAAATAAGAATTCTGATTAAATAACTAAAAACATAAAGACAAAGCCATAAGAATACTCATTATGGTTTTATTAATCATGGAAAAATGAAAAACAAATTTCAAAAAATCAATCATGGGGGCCTGCATCACGGTGTAAAAAGTGGAGGTTAAGCCTCTGCCCATGATTCTGGCATCCCAGATGGGCGCTGGTTCAAGTCCTGGTTGCTCCACTTCTGACCTAGCTCCTGCTCACGCATCTGGGAAAGCAGCAGCTGACCCGAGCCCTGCATCCACATGGGAGTCACAAAAGCTCAGCCCGGCCACTGCAGCCACTGGGGAGTGAACCAGCACATGGAAGATCTCTCTCTGCCTCTCCCCCAACCCAACCCTGACTTTAAATCAGTAAATAAATCTTAAAAGCTGGGGAGGGGAGGATGGAGCATTGCGACATAGTGGATGAAGGCACTACCTCCAGTGCAAGCATCCTATGGGTGCTGGCTCAAGTTCCAACTGCTCCACTCCTGACCCAGCTTCCTGCTAATGCGCCTGAAAAAGCAGCAGAAGATGGTCCAAGTACTTGAGCCTCTGCACCCACTTGAGAGACCAGGAAGAAATTCCTGGCTCTTGGATTCAGACTGGCCACACACTAGCCGTGCAGCCCTTTAGGGAGGGAGCCAGCAGATGGAAGATCTCTCTGTCTTTCTATGTATATATTTATCTTCCTCTCTCTGTAATTCTGCCTTTCAAATAAGTAAAACAAAAAGTTAAAAAAAAAAAAATGCTACCCAGGGCCCAGCACAGTGGCCTAGTGACTAAAAGACCTTGAATGGACTGGGATCCTATATAGGCACGTGTTCTAATCCCACCAGCCCTGCTTCCCTTCCAGCTTCCTTCCTGTGCCTCGGAAAGCCGTCGAAGATGGCCGAAAGCCTTGGGACCCTGCACCCACGTAGGAGATTGAAAGCGCTCCTGGCTCCTAGCTTTGGATCGGTGCTGCTCCAGCCATTGCGGCCACTTGGGGAGTGAATCATCCGATGGAAGATCTTCCTATCTTTCCCCCTTCTATATATATCTGACTTTGCAATAAAAATAAATAAATCTTAATTTTTTAAAAAAAAAGATACCCACATGTCATTTTGATGTGCCTAGGTTTGCCACCCAGCTCTGGTTACTGATCCCAGCTTCCTGCAAATGCAGACCCTGGGAGAAAGTGGACAGAGCTCACCCACCTGGGAGACCTGGATGCGGGTCCCAGCCCCAGGCCCACCCAGACTCTGCCATGAAGGCATTCAAGGAGTAAGCCAGTGCAGCAGAGTGTCCTCTTGCTTTCACTCTTGCTTTGTCTCTCAAATAAATAAGTCAATGACTTTTCTAAAAAGAAAGGGGTCATGTACATAAAGTATGAAAAATAACATTAAAAAAAAAAACAAACTATGAATGGTGTGTTCTTGACTGAAAGAAGCAGCAGCTTTGAGAAGGACCACAGCAGAAATGAATGTTGAGGGCCCGGCGCGGTGGCGCAAGTGGTTAAGGTCCTCGCCTTGCACTCCCGGGATCCCATATGGGCGCCGGTTCTAATCCCGGCGGCCCCTCTTCCCATCCAGCTCCCTGCTTGTGGCCTGGGAAAGCAGTGGAGGACGGCCCAAGGCTTTGGGAACCTGCACCCACGTGGGAGACCCAGAAGAGGCTCCTGGCTTCGGATCGGCATAGCATCGACCATTGCGCTCACTTGGGGAGTGAATCATCGGACGGAAGATCTTCCTCTCTCTCTCTCCTCTCTGTATATCCACCTTTCCAATAAAAATAAAATAAATCTTTAAAAAAAAAAAAAAAGAAATGAATGTTGAGAAAACACCAGCTGGGGAATGGAGAGTAAACCATCCAGGGGCAAAAGTGTTCAAAAAGGGAAAAGTAAAAGATGGGACTCAGAAGGCAGATCTAAATCTACACACTGTATTGTATTACTGGTTATTACAGAATGCTAGCGCTAATTTATTAAGGTAGCATATAAGGCACTAGTTTACTGACCTAGCTAATATAATCAATAATACATTTTAATACAAAGATACTTAAAGAAGCTTGTGGAAAAATGAAATTAAAAGACTTTTAGGGGTAGGCGTTGTGGCACAAGGGGTGAAGTCACCGCTTGGGATACCTGCATGTCACAGGAGAGCACTGGTTCTAATCCTGGCTATTCTACTTCCAACCCGGCTGCCTGCTGAAGAGCCTGGGGAACAGCGGACGATGGCCCAAGGCCCTGGGTCCCTGCCAGCCACCTAGGAGTCCTGGATCAAGTTCCTGGCTCCTGAATCCTGCCTCGAGCCTGGACCGGTCCTGGCTGTTATTTGAAAGGAGGATTTACAGAGAGAAGGAAAGACAGAGAGGATCTTCCATCTGCTGGATCATTTACCACATGCAATCCAACATGAGCCAACCCGATGCTAGGAGCCAGCAGTCTCTTCCAGGTCTCCCACGCAGGTGCAGGGACCCAAGTACTTGGGCCGTCCTCCACTGCTTTCCCAGGCCACAAGCAGGGAGCTGCATCAGAACAAGAGCAGCTGGGACATGAGCTGGTGTCAATATAGGATACCAGGGCTTGCGGGTGAAAAATTAGCCTGTTGAGCCATAGCGCTGGCCCCCAATTTTTCTTTTAATGCCATTGTTCATTATTTTTTAAATTACTTGATTTCTTTAAGATACACTTCCAAAGGCTCTGAGATTCCCCCTTCCCCATTCCTCCTACTGATTTCCCCGATTTTATTACAATAATATAATCCTTCACAAACATTCATAAATCCATCATCCTGTTATTTAAGTGTATCCTGGTATTGTAAGAATGGAGAAAAGAATTTATATTCAAGATTTACTTATTTAAAGAATCACAGAGAGAAAGGAAGAGATTAAGACAGCCAGAGACAGAGAGAGAGAGAGATCTTCCAACTACTGGTTTACTCCACAAGGGTCGCAATAGTCAAGACTGTGGCAGGCCAAAGCTGGCACCAGGAAGCTCGTGCGGGTCTCCCACTTGGGCCATCTTGTGCTGCTTCTCAGACGCTGGCAGCAAGCTGACTGAATTGGAGCAGCTGGAACATGGAATGGAGCACATACGGGATGTTGGTGTCACGGGCGGCAGCTTTACAGGCTACCCCACAACGTGCCCCACCCCCCGTTCATCAGCTTTTCGAAGGGTTCTCATTCTCCCACTGGTTCCTAATAAACACTTACTTAACAACCAATACATACCAATTATTACATTAGTATATATTATTCGTAGTATACTAATTATATGTATACCCAGATGCTAGAAGTTAAATATACCTTAAAACCTAATTATATGGGCCTGGCGCAATAACCTAGTGGCTAAATCCTCACCTTGCATGCACCAGGATCCCATATGGGTGCCGGTTCACATCCCGGCTACTCCACTTCCCATCCAGCTCCCTGTTGGTAACCTGGAAATTAGTCGAGGATGGCCTAAAGGCTGGGGACCCTGAACCGGTGTGGGAGATCTGGAAGAAACTCCTGGCTCCTGGCTTCAGATCACCTCAGCTGCGGCTGTTGCAGCCACTTGGGGAGTGAACCAGTGGATGAGAGATCTTTGTCTCTCCTTCTCTGTGTAAATCCGACATTCCAAATATATACATAAATAAATAAATCTTAAAAGAAAGAAAAAATGTTTAAAAAAAAAAACCCTAACTATAGATCCATGGAAGTGTAGCAGTATAGTAATGATCATATTATATCAACATATCTTCTAAGTTATAAAGACAATACACAGCCTTGGCAGAAAAATCAGAAATGATGCAAAGGAAGCAAGTAAAAATAGCCCAAGTACCACCCAGAGGAAGTGCCTGCTGATTCTGAGTGCACGCCCTTTTAGTATATAACCCTGGGTTCTTTTAGTGGCGATGACGACAGAGGCCAGTCACACCGACACACGCTTGCCTATTCTGAGCTCCTTATGCACGCTGAGATCTCCATGAGCTAGGCATGTCACGGCTATGTCCATTTCCCAGACGGGGATGGCGAGGCACCGAGAGGTTAAGTAGCCTCCCCAAAGTCACAGCTGAGAAACGGCGAGTGCCAGGACTAGAACCCAGGCAGACTGTCCCAGGGTTTGTGCTCACAACCATTAAACCAACTATCTGTTCTCATTCGTTCTTTTCTCTTCTGGAAATGAAAAAATAGACATGGTTTGTACACATGATGCACAAATTCATATATTACTCTGTGATATTTTAACTTATTTCAACACATATATCTTGACAAGTATTAGATCAAAATTTACCCAATTACAGCTAAAAATGCCAGAATACATCTGTCTCATTTCCATACTTAATTCTTTTGATGTTATTCCCCATAACCAAGGGCCCATTAACTCAAGACTCTGAGGCAGATACCATGCCAAACACTGGATAATGTCATCTGATCCCCATGACAACATCCAGAACGGACTTGACTTCATAAATAAGGATCCTGATGCTCAGACCAAGATTATCTAGTGTGAGAGTAATTGCCTGGGATCCAGAGACAGGGCGGACTAACATCCCATTACATGCTACCAATACCGACTGCACCTTTCTTGAAAAAAAAAAAATAATAAATAAAAAATCTGAACCATTACTTAGAGCCACGGGGACTGAGTCAACATGGACTTTGACTTGCAATGCGAGGTGTGTTGCAAGCTGTCTGCCTGTTATCTCAACCAGAGTGCCTTGCACGCCAGGGACTCCTGTGGGGAGACGGGCTAGGCCAAGGTCCCTCTTCCCACAGGCTGTCATAGGGCCTCCCACCTGTTCCAAGGCTTGCTCTTCGGCCTTGCTGCTTGAGTTGGCCCCCTTTGGCTACCTGCCCAGTTCCCAGTTCCCTGAACGTATCCCTCTGACCCAGTGCCAGCTCACTCTACCACATGGGCACCTGTTTACACATGAGCACTTCCCTGATTCCACAACTCTCCCTCCTCCCCGCCTGGGCCCCACCTGGGCAACTGGCTTTGGCCTTACGTCTTACACTTGAGCTTCTCTTCTCCCCACATTGTTTCCCACCGTGGATTATTCTTGTTTTGTTTTTTGACCAACTGCCCCCACCTCACTCCACGAAGGCTGATCCTGCCGTGTCAATCCACCCACGGAAGCTGATATTGCCGTGTCAATCCTGTCACTGCTCCTCTCTGATGAGTCACTGACGCTCGGTCTCATTGTCAGAATTACCTTGCTGACTTTTGTATTGCTTGGGTGCTGTCCAGCCATACAGCCCGTCTCCTGGCTCCTCATCCTTCAGCACGGTGTCATACTTTGACAGGGTGTCCAGGGCATAGATGTCATCGTCTTCCTCTTCCAGGGCGCCTACACCGAAAGCCTTCAAAGACAAGGTTCCCACCTGAGCAAGTTCAGGTTCTAGGGCAGGTGTACCCTGAAGGATGTGACTGAACAGGCCCACACAAGCACCTCAAGATCAAGAACCAACGGATGGGAGCGCCCAGATTAACAAAGGAAATGCTCAGGAAGGCCACCCCTCTGCAGCCTTGGGTTTGGGTCTCAGCATGGGAAGAGGGGTGGAAACCACACCTCACACAGCCAGGCAGGAGCAGAAGTGTCATCAATGGATTGCTGTGGCCCAGCTGGAGCTGGAGACCCGGTTCTAAGGACACCTCTACTCTAACAGCCTTCCTCTTGGTGGGAACAGCCTCCAAGTTCACTTTGGTTAAATGGCTTGGCGGGTGTAGATGGGGGCGGCGGGGGGGGGGGGGAAGAACACATACAGAAAGGAGAGGCAATGAGGAAATAAGGACAAAGTCATTAGCGTCCAATTTCATTTGAGGACAGAACATCCGGACCAATCAGAGAGGATGCGCAGTCACCACAAGCTTCCCATCTTCCTACAAGCAGCATGCAAGTTCCCTGAGTAGAAAACGACCTCTGTGCTCATGACTCGGGGGGCCCACATCAGTCCAAGAGGTCGTGGGACCTGTTTCTGCATCGACTGGTGCCAAACCAGAGGCAGAAGGGTGGTTTTCTGTGTGCCCCTCCAAGGTGGGGAAGCAGTCCTCACTCCAGGAGTGCTCCGATCACCAACGGACCCTCGGGAGCCCATTATTGAGGTTGGGATGGTATGTTTTACCCAAAAACAAGCATAATGGAAATATAATCACCTCGAAGTCCTTGTTCAGGGGTACGGGTTGGGTGTGACAGTGAAGACACTGCTGGAGGTACCCGTATCCCACATCTCAGTGCATAGATTCAGATCCCAGCTCTGCTCTGGATTTTAGCTTCCTGCTCAGGCACACCTGGGGAGGCGGTCCTAGCCACCCTGGCTCCTGGCTTTGGTCTGGTCCAACTCTGGCTGTTGTAGGCATTAGCAGAAGGAACCATGTGATGGAAAAATCTGTCTCTTGTCTTATCCCTCTTTCTAACTCTTTGCCTTCCAAATGAAATTAAAATAAAACAAGCCATTTGATGTCCTTATTTATGCTATGATCAATGTGCGTCTGCTGTGGGGCACTCCCAGCCGTGGAAGGTGCGTTCGTTGGCCAATGACTCCACCTTTATGAAACAGATGGCTCTTACCTGGCCTGAGATGCCCAGCTTTCTTCCTTTACTTAGTCTGACATCTCCGAGAAGATCGCTGGTCCCCTCATGTACCCCACTGAAAAGATTAAAATGTTCTCCCACTGTTCCAAACAGCGCCTTGTTGGGATCCAGGCCCTTGTAAGCCAGTCCGTGTACGTTATCTTTGGGTGTGAAATCCACAGGCATGACATCTTTGGGCGCAAAGGTCACATTATCGGGCAAGTAGTCATCTTCTTCATCCTGTGTTTCAAGCAGAATTAAGAGGAATCAGTGCAGGAAACGAAGTAAATTTGTAATATATTCTGCTACAAGGCAGTGATGAATTCCAAACAGAATGTCGCCCAACTTTGATTCATGCTGGTACAAATGACTAAATTATTTGACCTAGTGTTTAACACCCTCATCCCACATTGGAATACCAGCGTTCGGTACCTGGGTCCGACTCCTGACTCTATCTCCCTGGTAACGCAGATCCCGGAGGAAGCAGTGGATACAGCTTAAATGAGTACATTCTTACAAAGGAAAAAAGAACTGTATTCCCAGATCCTGGCTGCAGCCCTGGCCCAGCCCCAACTTCCTGTGGGTGTCTGGGGAAGTAACCAACGCATGGGAGCTTTCTCTCTCTCTCTACCTCTCAAACAAAATATAAACAAGTAACCAAACCACAACTCTGAATAAATGACACCAACGCAGATGACTCTATGCGAAACATCTGAACAGACTGGGCATACATATGGTGTTGGTATGTTGCTGAATGCATTGTCGGGACACAATGAGCACAATTTTAGGCTACAAGTATTACGTGGTAATGGAATCTGATTTTTAAAATGTTGCAATCATAAACTGACAGGTGTCACAGTACTTAACCGAAGTCAGGCCTTCCACACCATACCTCAGATCCTTCCGAACCTCCAGGGGGCAAGGCACAGCCATAGATTTTGACTCCGGGATCTGCAACAGAGATTTCAAATGTGTTACTCACCAGCACTCTGAGGTATCTGCTTGCACCTGTAAAAGATGTTCCAGCCACAGGGATAGAAGATGACCTAGGAATTGTTCTGCAGCTTCTGCCTCACTCAGGCTCAGTGAGGAACCATGGCACCATGAGGAACGCAAAGGAAATCGCTGATGCCCTCAAAACATCTACTCAAAATCTGGGCAGGAAGAATAAGGGTGGAAAAAAAAAAGAATAAAAAACAGAATTGCTGGGGTTGGCATTGTGACATGGTAGGGTAAAGCTGCTGCTGGGGATGTCCGTATCGTACAACACGGTGCTGCCCAAGTTCTGGCACCTCTGCTGCTGCTGCTGCTGCTTCTTACGGATTTATTCATTTACCATTGGAAAGGCAGATTTACGGACAGAAGGAGAGACAGAGAGAAAAATCTTCCATCCACTGGATCACTCCCCAAGTGACAACAGCCAGAGCCAAGCCAATCCGAAGCCAGGAACTAGGAGTTTCTTCCAGGTCTCCCACACAGGTGCAGGGTCCCCAGGCTTTGGGTCATCCTCTATTGCTTTCCCAGGTCACAAGCAGGGAGCTGGATGAAAACTGGGGCATCCAGGACACAGACCAGCATCCACATGGGATCCCAGCAGTTGCAAAGTGAGGATTTAGTGTTTGAGACATTTTGCCAAGCCCCACCTCTGCTTCTGATCCAGCTCCCTGCCAATGTACCCGGAACACAGAAAATGTTGGGTCAACTGCTCCCGTCACCCACAAGGGAGATCCAGACGAGTTCTGGCTTCTGGCCTTAGACTGCCCAAACCCCAGCTGCTCCGGATATTTGGAGAGTGAATCAGATGAAAGATTCTCATTCTTTGTTACTCTGTTTTTCTTTTTCTTTCTTTTTTTTTAAGATTTATTTCTTTTTATTGGAAAGGCAGATATACAGAGAGGAGGAAAGAGAGAGAGAAGATCTTCAATCTGCTGGTCCACTCCCCAAGTGATGGCAACAGCTGGAGCTGAGACAATCTGAAGCCAGGAGCCAGGAACCTCTTCCGGGTCTCCCACGTGGGTGCAGGGCCCCAAAGCTGTAGGCCGTCCTCGACTGCTTTCCCAGGCCACAAGCAGGGAGCTGGATGGAAAGCAGGTCTGCCAGGATTAGAAGCGCCTGGTGCATTCAAGACGAGGACTTTAGCCACTAGGCTATCGTGCCGGGCCCTACTCTGTTTCTCATACAAAAATTTTTAAAGATTTTTTTTTTAATTAAAAAAAAATTAAGATGTATTTTTTTATTTGAAAAGTAAATTTTTGGAAACACAGAGAGAGAGGTTCTCCATCCCTTCGTTTACTCCTCCAATGGCTTCAACAGCCAGAGCTGAGCTGGTCTGAAGCCAGAAGCCAGGAGCCTCTTGTAGGTCTCCTACATGGGTGCAGGTTCCCAAGCACTTGGGCCATTTCTTACCGCTTTCCCAGGCCATAAGCTCAGAGCTAGCTGGGAAGTGGAGCAGCTGGGACACAAACTGCCTCCCATACAGGATGTTGGTGCCACAGGGCAAAGGATTAGCCTGCTGTGCCACCTGCAAATATATATTTGAGAAAATTATTGTTGGGGTGAGCATTCTGTGGTTGGGTACCCACATCCTACACAGTCCCTAACTCCTCACTCTGACTTCCTGCTAATCCCTACTGGTTGTTGGCAAGTTGAGATGGCTGCCTCTCAAATAGGGAGTGCCTGGGTTCAACACCTACTCCAGAGTGACTCTGACTTCCTGCTAATACATACGCTGGGGACAGCAGTGATGGCTCAGGTGACCGGATTCCTGCCTGACCATCGCAGGCATCTGGGAAGCTGTCTCTCTCCTACTCCATCTGTCCCTTAAATCAATAAAAGAAGAAGAGAAGAGAAAACCAAAGAAATAATGTTAAACTGTGATGCACTTTTAGATGGAGTTGAAAACATGAATTTTTATACAGTACTGGTGGGAATAAAACTACTACAGTCCTTCTGGAAGCTAACAAGCATTATAAGCCTTAAAATACACGTATGCCGCTAAATACGGCCATTTTGCTTCTAGGAATACATAGCCATGAAGCAGGAAGCAGTAAAGAGGCCAGCGTGGTAGCTCAACAAGCTAATCCTTCACCTTCAGGCACCAGCATCTCATATGAGGTGCTGGTTCGTGCCCCGGCTACTCCACTTCCCATCCACTTCCCTGCTTATGGACTAGGAAAGCAGTAGAGGACGGTCCAAAGTCCTGGGACCCTGCACCTACATGGGAGACTTGGGAGAAGCTCCGGGCTCCTCGTTTTGGATTGGCTCAGTTCCAGCCATTGAGGCCACTGGGGAGTAAACCAGCAGACAGATGATCTTTCTTTGTCTCTCCCTCTCTATGTAAATATGTCTTTGAAATAAATAAATCTTAAAAAAAAAAAGAGGAAGAAGTGCACAGTAGGAACAGGCATTGTCCCACAGCACATTAATCCATCATTTGGTAAATCCCCATCCCAGATGGGAGTATCCATTCAAGTCCTAGCTCCTCTACCGGTCCAACTTCCTGCTATCGTATCTTGGAACACAGTGCCTGATGGTCCAAATACATGGACATCTCCGCATGGGAGATCAGTTAGAGTTCTGGGCCCTGGCTTTGGTAGGAAGATGAGATTGTGTGTGCGTGGCGGGGAAGGGGCAGGGGAGTTACTCTGCCTTCCAAACAAATAAATCTAAAGAAGGAAAAGTATTCTCAAAGGGCAGGCAACATCTGGCACAGTGGTTGGAATGAGCCTTCAGATGCCCGCATCCCCCGTCAGAGTGCCTGGATTCAAGTCCCAGCTCCAAGCTGAATTCCAGCTTCTTGCTGGTTACACGTTGGGGCTCAAGTGCTTAGATCCCTGTCACCCACAGGAGAGGACCAGACTGAGTTCCAGGCCCCTGACGTCAGCATGACCCAGCCCAGCTGCCATAGGCATCCAGGTAGTGAACTGGTGGATGCAAGCTCTCTCTGACTCTACCTGCCTTTCAAACCAAATACTAGGGCCCAACGCAGTAGCCTAGTGGATGAAGTCCTTGCCTTGCATGCACCAAGATCCCATATGGGCACTGGTTCAAATCCTGGTGGCCCCTCTTCCCATCCAGCTCCCTGCTAGTGGTCGGGGATGGCCATGCACCCACCCATGTGGGAGACCCGGAAGAGGCTACTGGCTCCTGGCTTCGGATCGACTCAATTCCGGCCGTTGCAACCACTTGGGGAGTGAACCATCAGATGGAAGATCTTCCTCTCTGTCTCTCTTCCTCTCTGTATATCTGATTTTCCAATAAAAATAAATAAATCTTTAGAAAAAAAAATTAATTAGGGGCGGGCACTATGGTACAGCAAGTTAAGCTGCTGCTTGAGACTCCTGCATCCCACACCAGAATCCCAACTGGAGTTCCGGAGATTCTGCACAGCTTCCTGCCAATGCAGCCAGCAGGAGGTAGATAACAGACCAAGTGCTTGGGCCCTGACCACCCTCTGCAAGGCGCACAGTGGTCACTGTGCCCACTGGGGAAGTGAACCAGAGGATGAAAGATCTCTGTCTCTCCCTCTGTCATGCTTTCAAATAAATAAGTCTAAAAGGTAAATCTTCACAAATAAATTAATTGCAAAACTGTGAAGCATGCTCTGGAACTGTAGAATTAATGAGAACTATGGCGTGGTCGCACACACAGCAGTTAAGACACCGCTTGGGGAGCCTGCATCCCTTTTCACAAGACTGCCAGAGCTCAGGTTCTGGCCCTGCTTTCTGCTAATGTGTTCCTTAGAAGGCTCAAGGTGACAGATCAAGTTCATGGGTCTCTGCCGCCCACCTGGGAGCCCAGGACAGAGTTCCAGTCTCCTGGCATCCACCTGGCTCAGCCTTGGCTGTTTTGGACATTTGAGAAAAACATGCCTGTCTCTCTACCTCTCAAAGGAATAAAATCAATGAATGAAGTTTTCTAAAAAAGAGAATTCAGGAAACTCAATGCACGTACCTGGTTTCTGCCGGCGTGGCCTTCTCTTGACTCGAGGGCCGACTCCTTGTCCTTCCTTCCAGCCCATCTTTCTTAGCAGCTCAAAACCAACCGATAATCTAGGATGTCAACATGTGGAACGTGAATGCCTTCTGAGGGCATCAGTAATGGCACGAGATGAGCAGTGTCTGAGACGCTGCCCGGCTCCCACACCTGTCTCGCCCCAGGCCCTTGCCCACATTAGAGCTGCCTGCCACCCCCAGCTCAGCTGCCAAGCCTGATGGGCCCCTAGCAAAGTCAACCAGATGCCCTCTCCCGGGCTTGCAGTGGGCACATGGGGACTCTAGGCTGCCCTTGCTGAGCAGGAGGCCGGGGAGACATCCGGGGCTGAAGCTTCCACATCAAGTTACGTGCCCAAGAATTGAACAAGGAGGTACATGGAAACAGAGGGCAGGATGAGGCAGACAGGAGAGACATCAGGAAGCTCAGGGGTTGAGGAGAAGCCACTTGGCCTGCCGGGAGCTCTCCAGGCTCCTTGAGCACCAACAGTACAGCTGATGCCTGGAGCTCTTGGGCACAAAGCAGTTGCCTTCTGACAAAGCCCTCCTTTTCACTCGGACTGAGTCCAAGCAGGGCTCTCTTACTTGCAGCCAAATTATCTCCCCAAGTAAGAGAACCCTACACATGCAAAGCATGATGCCAGGAACAGAACAGAATTAAATTTTTCTCACTTTGCTGGCGATATGAGGTCATCAAGCAGCGTAGCTCCAGGAATAGGGGCAGCACTGGCTGCCAACTGCCTGGCCTTTTCTCGGATCCTATCTTTGGTTTTAGAGGCAAAATCGTCTGTGGTGACGATCGCTTTAGGTGCTATTCCAAATTCACTGAGATCCTGCAAAAAGAAAAAAGAGATTCACACAAAACACTATTATTTGGAAGGCAGTTAAATGTGATATGTCACATCGCTTTATTTCCTTGTATAAAACAAAAAAAGCTAAGACTACACAATTTAGCCAGGGAGCAGCAGAGCCAGCAAACCTTGCAGCCCAACTTGAGCAGCTCATTCTCAACTGGCAAAGGCCACCAGCAAGCCGGAAAGACAAAGAGTGAGGGCTGTGTTCTCAACAAGGTTCATGAGCATAGTATGACTGCAAAAAGCTGGGGCTCCCAGCTCACGGGCGTTTGTGACCACTCCTGCGCCATGCCTTGAACCAGACTTATGCATTTGCTGGAGCAGGTGCTGCCAGCTGCCCCGTGACAGCCGTTATCCAACGCTGTTTCCTCGCGGAGTCCTGAGGATGTCCAATACGTACCTTCCCCTGCTCCACATCACAAACGCTGCCCCAGCACCAGTGAGGCACGTCCAGAGAGTGGTGGCTCGTGTCCTTGCTGAGCCAGCAGTCGTTTGAGTCCCATTTCCCTTGCCCGGGGACTGCTTCGGGAGTAAAACCACTCGGTCACGTACAACCACCTCGGTCACGTAAAACCACTTGCCCAAGCACATGGGCGGGAAAACCCACAATGTAGGATGTAGGTGAGAGGCAACAAGAGCCCAGTCACCCCGGATGTGCCACCCGGAACTAGTGCAGCCTCATGGTAGCACAAGGAGGCATAGTGTGAGCGCAAGCTGCCCTGCAGGGGATGCCGGAGGAAGGCAGGCACGGGCCCCGCGGACACCTCGGTGCCCTGCATCAGTTTCCTTACAGATGATGCTACTCGGAACAGGAAGGAGGCCTCCCTTTCCTCTTACCTGCAGCCCAAAGGAAGCCAATGTAAGTATTTGATACCAAGTTTTATCATGCCCACAACTAGGTGTTTTCTTTTTTTTTAAGATTTATTTATTTTTATGGAGAAGTCAGATATACAATGAGGAGGAGAGACGGAGAGAAAGATCTTCCGTCTAATGGTGAACTCCCCAAGTGGCCGCAACAGCCGGAGCTTCACCGATCCGAAGACAGGAGTCAGGAGCCAGGAGCCTCCTCCAGATCTCCCATGCGGGTGCAGGGTCTCAAGGCTTTTGGCTATCTTCGATTGCTTTCCCAGGCCACAAGCTGAGAGCTGGATGGGAAGCAGGGCTGCCAGGATTAGAACTGGCAACCACATGGGATCCCAGAGTGTGCAAGGTGAGGACTTTAGCCACTAGGCTGCTGCACCAGGCCCACAGCTAGGTTTTAAGGTGGCAAAGGCTAAACTTCAGCTGCAGTGTGTGGGGATACTGTGGACAGCTGCAGGCTCAGTGTTGCACAGATCACGCTTGTGGGGCAATTGTGGCTCATCTGCTTCCGCATGACTTCTGCCTTACATTCCTGATTTTCAGAAACTGATCCCAGCACAAGATCCTACACCAGTGAGCCAGCATCCAGTGATATGCAGGATGCTGCGGTACAAAAGATGCTATCGGGCCCGACGAGATGGAGTAGTGGTTAAGGTCCTCGCCTTGCATGCTCCGGGATCCCATATGGGCCCCGGTTTTAATTCCAGCAGCCCCACTTCCCATCCAGCTCCCTGCCTGTGGCCCGGGAAAGCAGTCAAGGACGGCCCAAAGCCTTGGGACCCTGCACCCGCTTCGGAGGCCCGGAAGAGGCTCCTGGCTTCAGATTGGCTCAGCTCCAGCCATTACAGCCGCTTGGGAGTGAATCATCAGACGGAAGATCTTCCGCTCTGTCTCTCCTCTTCTGTGTATATCTGACTTTCCAATAAAAATAAAGTGAATCTTTAAAAAAAGATGCTAATCACCACCTCACATGCCACCGGTCCCTGGCTACAGCTGGAGCTGTGGACACCCACCTCTTCATCCATGAAATCCTCAGGCCCGAGAACGGACTTGTCTGCTCGGTTCTGGCGTGAAGACACGAAGGTCGAGGGCGTCCATCCTACAAAGGAATGAGTTCAGACTCTGTAACCGTAGGCGCCATTCTGGTTTACAGCACAATAATCCAGTAGCATATTCAGACTCGAAACTCCCAATAATGACACAGCCACTTGCCATCTCATCATTCATTTAGATATCATCACCCCATATCTGTTTCTTATCAACCCCTGACAGCCTTTGTCCTGAGAATGGGGTGAATACACTGAGGGATCCACATGAGAACCTGGAAGAAGAGAAAATCATCCCATACGCCGAGGCGTAACCTCTGACCCAGTGACCAGAGTATCACTTGGGATACTTATACCCTACATTCAACGCCCACGTTTGTCCAGTCTCCACCCCTTCTAATGCACCTGGGAGGCCACGGCTCAGATGCTCGGGTCCCTGGCATCCCTAGAGAGACCCACATGCAGGTGCTGGTCCCCGGCTCTCGCCTGGCCCAGCCTCAGTTATTGCCAGCATCTGGAGTGAGCTCTGTTCCTTTCTCCCTCTCTCTCTGTCTTTCAAATAAATAAAGCTTTAAAAAATGACCACGTCCTGTAGCTTAATGTCCTAACACAGTTATGTTTCTGAAAATTCCTTCTGTTTTTTTAAAGATTTATTTATTTAAAAGATGGTTTCATAAAGATGAAAATGAGAGCAAGAGAGAGAGAGCCCACCTGCTGATTCACTTCCCTAATGACCATAAAGGCCAGGGTGTGGCCAGGTGGAAGGCGAGAGCTTCATCCAAGTCTCCCACGTCGATGCACAGGCCAAAGCACTAGGATCATCTTCCAGGGCTCTCCCAGGTGTGTTAACAGGCAGCTGGATCATGAGCAGAACGGCTGGGACATGAACCATAGTCCATGTGAGATGCCAGCATTGCAGGTGGCAGCTCAATCCACTGCACCACAGTGCTAGCTCCCACAACTGGGTCAGGGCTGTGGCGTAGTAGATTAAGCCTCTTTCTGTCGTGTCTGCATCCCATACGGGCACCAGTTCTAGTCCCGCCCGCTCCACTTCTGATCTAGTGCCCGTCTCTGACCTGGAAAAGCAGTGGGGAATGGCTCAAGTCCTTGGACCCCTGCATCTCCTGGCTTTGGATCAGCTCAGCTCTGGCCATTGTGACCAACTGAAGAGTGAACCAGAAGATGCAGAATCTTTCTCCGTATCTGTCCTCTGTAACTCTGCCTTTCCAAATAAACAAATCTTAAAAAAATAATAAAAAATTAAAAATTTCCATATCAATACATTTACATACACACGCTATTTTAAACAGCATGAGGTTCATTATGCCACATAACGTGAAATTTCTAATTGTTTTTTTTCCTCCAGGTTGAGCATGCAGTCGCCAGCCGTGTGGTCCGCAACATCAGGAGACCGAGGCTTACAACGCTCTCCGTGTCTCGGACGCTACACTGGCTCATCACCCCTGCGACCTTCAGCTGCTGCCACTGCACGACACTTGTCACATCTGACACGCTAAGTCATGTGAGGCGGTCAATGATTAACCGAGGGAACGAGGGAACGGGTGAGGGTTCTGTGTGCGTGACAAGACAGTGATACAAAGAGGAAGTGCTTTTCATCCCTGAATCTGGTAAGAACGTACCTCTCTCGGACAGAGTGCTGGAAGATGCTTTCACCTGCAGGTTACACTCACAGAACACACTAATTGCCTCAGCAAACATTCCAGATGCTCAAAGGACACAAACCACTACAGTGTGTGCATTGAAAGACTTCAAGAGTAGTCACAAAAAAGAAAAAGAGAGACAGCCAAGGAGAAGCTCCTGCAACATTTCAATCCCTCGTGTTAGCAGCCCAGGAGCTCCGGGTAGGACTCGTACCTTCCTTTGAGCCAACCGTATTGAAGTAGCCAGCAGAGAAGCCGCCGCTGAAGGCGCCATGAAATCTCTTATACCTCCCTTTCTCGTCCCTGACGCTCTGATCCTGAAGGGGAACTGGTTTCTTTGGTCTTTCACCTGGAAAAGTTAAAAAAAAAAAAAAAGAAAGTGAGGTAGTTAGAATTTACGGAAAATGCAATTTGTTAAACATAATCAGTGGTCCATTTCTTTCAATTTAAAGTATAGCAATATCAATATTAGCTTAGATAGTCTAGAAAATAATACAATTGATCTAGTTTATGAAAGGAATATGTTAAAATAAAAACAGCTAAATATGCTAAAATAAAAACAGCCTTAGGTTTAAAGTTGCAGGTACCACCGCTTTCTCGGTCTTTTGGCTAACCTCAAGCATAAAGTTTCAGGTATGAAAACACAACACACTGTCTCATGTTTTCAACTCCAATCCAAAACCCAGATTCTAAAGTCTTCTAACAGATTCTAATGGCTGAAAGATCTTTCCCTGACTCTCCTCTGTCTGCGCCTCTACCTTTCAAACAAATAACTGAAAAAGAACGCATAAAATAGTAAAGATCTGAATTGTAACTTGCATCCCTTAACACAGGATTTTCACCATTTCTTAGAAATGTAACACACTCACACAACTCAAACCTGTGTCCTATTCTGGCTTAGCAAGTGCACCTGCTGTAATGTACCCCAGGCATTGTGAATACGATTAGCATCATTCCTGCTCTATAATACCAGTGGCCAGGGGCAGCTTCACTACCACTCCCCCAACAAGCATGACAACCACAAAGGTCTCCACAGCAAGAATCACTGGACCAAGGTAAGAGAGGGCAGATCTTTGAGCGCTGGGAGCTGTTCTGGATCTCTTTCTCCACTATTGCTCATCCGGAAGGCGAGATAAGCCCCGCAGACGACTAAGTGGAAGCTGTGACGGCAGTTCATAAGGGCCAAGAGCGTGGCCACCGCGGTCCCCAGGGCACCTGATGAGAAGGCGACATCTCCTACCAAAGCAACAGGACAACTCCAGAGAGGAAGTGGCACTTTAGAGAGGCCAGGGTATAATCACGGCCGCTAATAATAGTTAATCCTTTCCTTTCACAAGTGTTATCGTGCTTATCACCAGATGAGAACTCTAAGTGACTGCCCTGAAGTCTACCACTAAGGACAGAGCTGAATCCAGGACTCCAGTCTGTACCCAAGCCAGGGATGTCACCAAAGGCCTTGCCAACCGGCGCCCATGTGGGATGCCGGCACTTGCAGGCAGATTAGGCCCCTGGATAATAGTTAACAAGTAACTTCTCAATCAGGACCAGCTGCTTTAATTAAGGTGTGTCTCTCTCCTGGACCAGTGTCTGCCTAACCTGTCACTACAGCTTCAAAGAAGACAAGTGATGATGCACGGGCTATATTATAAAATGTTCTCAGAGTGTACTTAAAACCTCAAAGCGTTTCAAAAACTGAATATCAATATCCAAAAAATGCTGAATATCCAACAATTAAAGGACTTTTTAGGCCAAGGGTGGAGGAAGGGTAAAAACAGGCTACAGATCAAATGATCAAATGTCCTCGCCTGGGCTCAGCGCAGTAGCCTAGCAACTAAAGTCTTGCCCTTGCACACAACGGGATCCCATAAGGGCACCGGTTCTAATCCCAGCAGCCCCGCTTTCCATCCAGCTCCCTGATTGTGCCCTGGGAAAGCAGTCAAAAATGGTCCAAAGCCTTGGGACCCTGCACCCGTGTGGGAGACCCAGAAGTGGCTCCTGGCTGTTGGCTTTGGATCAGCTCAGCTCTGGCTGTTGTAGCCACTTGAGGAGTGAATCAACAGATGGAAGATCTTCCTCTCTATCTCTTCTCTTCCCTGTATATCTGACTTTCCAATAAAAATAAATCTTTTTAAAAATGGAAGTAAAACAAGGAAATCAGTACATTAAAATGTCTCTGCCTTCCTTCCACTTCCTGGTTATACCATCAGACTTTGTTATATATTTTTCATGCAGCATCAAAAAATACAAGACCTAGGCCCAGCATGGTGGCCCTCATCTAAAGTCCTCGCCTTGAACATACCAGGATCCCATATGGGTGCCGGTTCTAATCCCAGCAGCCCTGCTTCCCATCCAGTTCCCTGCTTGTGGCCTGGGAAAGCAGTCAAGGTTGGACCACGGACTTGGGACCCTGCACCCACGTGGGAGACCTGGAGGAAGTTCCCGGCTTTGGATTCAGTTTAGCGCAGCATCAGCCGTTTCTGTCACTTGGGGAGTGAGTCATCGGACAGAAGATCTTCCTCTCTGTCTCTCCCCCTCTCTGTATATCTGACTTTCCAATAAAAATAAATAAATCTTTAATGAAATAAAAAAAAAAAACATGACCCGAGAGTTGATGACCTACATAACATGTCACAAGGCGACAGAAACACCACAGTGACACAGAGAGCTGCAACCGCATCTGTAATAACGTCCCTTGCACACGCGACCTGTGTCCTATCCTGGCTTAGCTATAACCGGCCTTCGAGGGACTGCTCTTGCCTCCCAGGTCCCCTTAACCTGTGGATGTTTGCTGTCTACCTCAGACATTTCGCACATGAGAACCTGTGATTTTGTGAGTTTCGATTTGAAGCTCCATGGAAAGAAGCTTCAAGATCACGACATGAGATGCTTGCCTATAAGGCTACTGTGATCTTAAGCTGTACTGGGACAGGCATGCCAGCAGCGACGCTCCTCACACTCTGGTCCACCTGAAAGAATTATGAATAAATTGGAGCTAGGGATGTGGGGAGAAGACACAAAGGGCATTTATTACAGAACCAGGAGCACGGGGTGTGGGACAGAGGAGCCTTCCACACACAGGCAATGTCCAGGAGACTAGATACCTCCAGCTTTAGTAAGCATAGAGGACAAGCAGAGCCAGAATACCACATGAGTGTAATCGCGATCAGAAGCCAACCAAGCGGCAGGATGTGGACGGGGAGGGATGATGGGACACCCACCAACAAGAGACCTGCAGGCAGCTTCTGGTGGGACATCACTGTGCCTCCTCTGTGTTTCCCCCACTGGGCTGACACTGCCATCAGGTTCTTGGTAACATTCCATGCCTGCTTTGCTGCCCACAGCAAGTCAGTAAGTGGCACAGACCAGAAACATGGGAAGCCACTTGATTCACCCTACCCTCGCCTCCACATCCCACCAGCAAGCCAGGTGAGCTATGCACTCCAGGCCCTCCCAACTGGACCAGGACTACTGCTTTCTTATCCATCACTGCAGAGTCTCCAATCCATACCAGCAACATCTCCAAACCTTTCAACCAATCTCCCTGCTTCACTCTTTACCAAACCCAACCAGACAATTGTAAAAATCAAAGAGGTGTATCTATCAACACATTCTGGGCCCAGTGCGATACCCTAGTGGCTAAATCCTCACCTTGCAAGCGCCAGGATCCCATAGGGGTGCCAGCTCAAGTCTCCCAGCTGCTCCACTTCCCATGCAGCTCCCTGTTTGTGGCCTAGGGAGGCAGTAGAGGATGGCCCTAAGCCCTGGGACCCTGCACCCATGTGAGAGACCCAGAAGAAGCTCCTGGCTTCAGATCAGCTCAGTTCTTGCCACTGTGGCCACTTGGGAAGTGAACCAGAAGATGGAAGGTCTTTCTGTATTTCCTTCTCTCTATAAATCTGCCTTTCCAATCGGTGTAGACATTTGGTCCAGCAGTTAAGACACCCATGTCCATCTTGGAGTACCTTGTTTCATGCCCAGCTCCCACTCCTGACTCCAGCTTCCTGTTAAGGCACACTTTGAGAGGCAGCACTGACGGCTCCAGGAACAGGGTTCCTGCCACTCCTTTGGGAGAACTGGATGGCATTCCCAGCCCTGGCTTCCCTCTGCTCCAGCCGCCCCGGGCACTGTGGGCCTCTGGGGAAGGAAACCAGGGCAGATCAAAGTTCCCCTCTGTGAATATGTCTAAGTGTATCTTAAATAAGTAAGTTTAAGGGGCCAGCATTGTGTGACAACAGGTGAAGCTGCTGTCGGCGACACCAGCATCTCACCTGAGGAGCCAGCTGGGAGTCCCAGTTGCTCCACTTCTGATTCAGCTCCCTGTTCATGCACCTGGGACAAGCAGCAGAGGCTGGTCCACGTTCCTGGGTCCCTGCATGCACATGGGAGACCTGGAAGAAGCTCCTGGCTCTGGTCTGGCCCAGCCCTGGCCACTATCATCCAGCTGGTGAGAGAACAAGTGAATGGAAGGCCCCTCTCTGTTTCTCCCTCTCTCACTGTGTAACTCTGCCTTCCAAATAAATATAAGTATCTTTTAAAAACTGAAAGTGTGTCAGGGACCGGCACATTGGTTCAAGTGGCTAATGTTCCACCTGCAAGTGTCAGCATCCCATATGAGCACTGGTTCGTGTCCCAGCTTCTCCACTTCCCACCCACCTCCCTGATTACACCTGGGAAGGCAGCGGAGGATGGCCCAAAGCTGTGGAACCCTTCATCCACATGGAACACCTATAGGAAACTCTTGGCTCCTGGCTTTGGATCGACTCAACTCCAGTCATCATGGTAATTTGGGGAGAAAACCAGCCGATGGAAGATCTTTCTGTCTCCTCTCTGTAAATCTGCCTTTCCAATAAAAATATCTTTAAAGAAAATGTAAGTGTGTGGAAAATAGATGCACACACACGTGTGTATATATACGTGTGTATTCCTGTGTCACCTCCCAATGACTCTCCTATACTTAGTGTAAGATCCAAACTCCTTACGGTGCAGGGGAGCTCCAGCCGGAGCCCCTACCCCTCGCCCCTGCCATCCCCTTCTACTGTGCCCCCCCATCTCCGGCGTCCATCCCCACAGCAGCCCCGCTTCTCCAGTGTCCCCCCATCCCGGGCGCCCGTCCCCACAGCAGCCCTGCTTCTCCAGCGTGCCCCCATCCCCGGCGTCCGTCCCCACAGCAGCCCCGCTTGTCCAGTGTGCCCCCATCCCGGGCGCCCGTCCCCACAGCAGCCCCGCTTGTGCAGTGTCCCCCCATCCCGGGCGCCCGTCCCCACAGCAGCCCTGCTTCTCCAGTGTGCCCCCATCCCGGGCGCCCGTCCCCACAGCAGCCCCGCTTCTCCGTGTCCTTCCCCATCCCCAGCGCCCAGGATCCACGGCAGTCCCAACTGTCCTCTGCGTCCACCCACGGAGCCCCCAAAACGTGGGTACCCCAACAGCATAGGCCTTCCCCCTCCTCGCTGGGTTCCAGCGAGCCAGGGCTCGGGCCGAATTCCGGTCTGCTGCCCCGACTCCCGATCCATTCTGCCCTCACCTTCTTCCAGAGGCTCCAGGCCCGTGCCATAGCTGACCAGGTCCTCCTCGCTGTCACTGCCCCGCGCCGCCATCCTGTTGCCTTCCGGGCTCCGCCTACTCGCGACGGCAACCTCGGCGGGACAAACGCCTTCGTTCTTTCTCCTCCGCGAACCGTAGCGAAACGCTAAGGCGCAATTCTCCAATTTTGGCAGGTGATTTGCCTGCAAGGATGAAATCACAACCACCCCCCATTTCTATTCTAGCTCTGCGATGTGCGGACCAGGAGGTGAGCTCTGGAGGAAGCCCGACCACTGCCGGGTCGCGGAGCAGGTCCACACCTGACACCTGCCCATTCTCCAGCCGAGTCCCGCACACCAGCCTCACTTCCCTTCCATCCCATGGCCGCTCTCCCGGATGCGCAAACTTGCTCCGCTGAGCCTCCGGGTCTGGCTACCGGCGGGAGACAGCCGCGGGTGCAGAGCTGCGTGTGGTCAGTTGCGCAGGGCAGGGGGGACCCACGCACGCTCGCTTACGGGGCTCGCCCTCGGGTTGGCAGACGTGTGCAAGGGACCTGTGCCCGTCGTGAGGGCAGCTGGAGACAAGCTTCGTCGGCAAAGAAAGGGGCGAGGATGGGGAACAAAACCCAGGAGTTAAGCAGGGGAAGACAAACTGAAAAGAGAAAGAACGGAAATGGGCATAAAATGGAAGCGGAGGCGCACGGAGCTCCGGTCCGGCACGTACTGAGCAGCGGTGGAATGGGGTGTTGCGACGCCACCCCCGAGACCCTTTACAACTGAAGAGAAAAACGAAGCGGCTGTTGCAGGGATGTGGCTGATGGAAACCCAGAAGGGTGCCAGTATCAGAATCCCGGGGATACAGTTAAGACATACCTTCCCACCCTCCCCCCAGGCCCCTGGAATCTGCTCGGGCGGCTGGGGGCTGTTCCTGCAGGTCCTCCAGCCCCCAGGGCGGTACACGCGCTGTGCCCTCTCCTGGCAATGCCCTTACTCTCCCCGGTCCAGGTCTCTGCTCGCAGGGTACTTTTTCCAGCCGCCTTCTCCCACCATTTCAAAAGCAAACCCTAACTCTGCAGTCCCCATCCACCCCGCCCCCACGACCAGTCCTACACTCACCACTTTCTAACAGGCGTTTGAATTTGCTGATGAATGGCGCTCCCCTCGTTCCCCATTGAAATGTAAGCTCCGTTTGATTGTGGATTTGTTTTTGTTTTCTTCTGGGTTTGTTTTGTTTTGTTTTCTTGCCTGCTGGCCTTGTACCTGGCAGGCAAGTGGGAGCTCCAAGAAGTCCCTAGGAAAGAAAAAAAAAAAAAAAGAATTAAAATATAAGTGTGGGAGCAAAACCAAACTTGAAGTCCATGCATATAAGGGATGTCAAAAAAAAATTTTTTTAAGGGCCTGGATTTCAGAATTTTTGCACCAAATAAACTCACCTTTTGATTCCGCGATTCCATAAAGAGTTTGAAGTAACCTCATTGAAACAATAAGTGTGTTTGAAGGAAACAATGAATGTCTAGTTCAGTAAGTTGTGGTACATGATTGATGCACATGGAGGGGTAGGATTGGGACCAGCGGTTCCCAGGCTGCTTGTGATGCCTGCTCCCCACATTGTATGTCTTGGGTTTATATCTTGGGTAGGCTCCTAACTCCAGATTCTTGGGAACGTGCACTGCGGGAGGCTGCAGTTGATGGACTCAAGTATTTGCGTTCCTGCCAGCTCAGGTGGAATTCCAGCTTTCCAGTTTCAGCGTGGCCCAGCCCCAGTATTTGAGGAGTAAATCAGCAGCTGGAAGATGGATCTACCGCCTGTACCCCCTGCCCCGCATCACCCACCAATCGCACAAACCTGAGGAAATAATTGTGGTGCAGTAGGTTAAGCTACTTGAAATGGCCTGTGTCCCCTACTGGAATACCAGTGTGTGTCTCGGCTGCTCTGCTTCTTATCCTGGGAGGCGACAAATGATGGCTCAGGTGAGCCCCTGCCACTCTCCTGGGATGGAGGGTCTGGGCTCCTGACTTCCATTTAGCACAGCTCAACCTTGGGCTATTGTACTTACCTGCGGAGTGCTCCAATGGATGGAAGATTTATCTGTCTGTCTGTCTGTCTCTCTCTCTCTCTCCAATGTTGTTTGACAAGTCTCCCACTGAAAGGTGCACTCTATGCCTTTTTTCAGTGAATGTGGGTTCTGTAACTCCAGGGCCAAAAGAATACAGTGGAAGTGACAATGTATCATTTTCTGTTCTCTCTTTTGAGAAGCTAGCACCTTGAACTTTGTTTCTTTGAATGCTTGTTCCCCAACCTCTGTTCTGTGAGAAAACTTCCACACCCAGAAAGGCTATGTGAACCAGCCCATCACCAGCTGAGGATCCACTTAACCATGAGTACAACAATTGCTAGCTCTCCAACAGCGACCCTGACTGTGGCTGCATGAGAGACCCCAAGCAAGGACCTCCTGGGTTCAATCACCTCCCAGGAACTTGAAATATAATAAATAAAATGGCTCCTCTAATTTTAAGCCATTAGGATGTGGGGTAATTTGTTAGAACAATAGGTACCTGGAACAATTTGCCAGCCTTGAAAAAAAAAAAAAGACAGCCATTGATGACAGAGTAGGCATTTAGCTTAGGGGTCAAGACTTCAAGTGTCCACATCAGAGCCCCTGGGTTGAGTATCCTCTTCTGGCCCCTGACTCCAGCTCTCCAGAACTGCAGATCCAGGTAAGCAGCAGTGTTGGCCCGAGTCATTCCTGTCACCTACATGAGCGACTTGGATAGCGCTCAAGTCCCAGCTTTGGCTCTAGCTCTCAAATTTTAAGCAAAAAATGAAACAACAACAACAACAAAAAACCTGTGAGAAATTATCTCTAATATATACCAATAGAAAAGCAAAAACAGAGGGAGAAGAACACACACCATACTGCCAATTGTGATGAAAGAATATTCAAGTGACCACACGTAAGCGCTTACCACATCCACACTGCAAGGGGACTATGCATGCACAGATGTACTGTTCTATTTATACTTCAGGTTCCTGGTCAGAGCTCTCCCTGCACCACTTCCAGTCTGGCTCCCTGACCATGCACCTGCAAAAGCAACAGAAAACAGCCCAAGTGTGTGGGCTCCTGTGCCCATGAACTGCCATTGTGAATATAAATGTGGACATTAAAAGAAGGGGCCGGTGTTAGGGTTCAAGACCTGGCTACTCCAATTCTGATTCGGTTTCCTACTGATGCATCTGAGAGACAGGATGTTCGCTTGTTGCCACCCACACAGGAGGCCCAGATGGAGTTCTGGCTTCTGTCTTTGGCTTGAGCCAGTGCAAGGTTTTGCAGCCTTTTGGGGACAGAATCAGCGAGTGGATGATCTCTCTCTCTCTCTCCTTTTCTGTGTCACTCTTTCAAATAAACCCTTTTTTGAAAAAGGATGAAAGCCCATGATTTTATTTCTAAATATTCTGGTTCCTCTACATAGCAGTGTTGGTGCATCTGCAAGGAGCTGGATCAGAAGTGGAGCAGCTGGGCCTAGAACCTGCTTAACTCATTGTGACACAAGGCCAGCTCCAGAATACTTTTCCTTTTAAGTCACAGGAAATGGTAATGGTGTAGTGCAGCTGCATGTGCCGTGTAAACAGCCCTGACTCTGCCACTTATCAGGCTCATGATTGCTGAGTCTTGGCATTCTCCTCTGTAAAATGGACATGACAGATCTGGCACGGTAGCCTAGCAGCTAAAGTCCTCCCCATTCACACTCTGGGGTCCCACATGGGTGCCAGTTCTAATCCCAGCAGCCCCATTCCCCATCCAGCTGTCTGTTTGTGGCCTGGGAAAGCAGTCGAGGACAGCCCCAAGCTTTGGAATCCTGCGCTCCCGTGGGAGACCTGGAAGAGCTCCTGGCTCCTGGCTTTGGATCAGCGCAGCAACGGTTGTTGCGGCCACTTGGGGAATAAATCATTGAAGGGAAGATCTTTTCTCTGTGTCTCTCCTCCTCTCTGTATATGTGTCTTTCCAATAAAAATAAATAAGTCTTTTTTTAAAAAGTGGACATGACAAGGTACCCACCCCTTAAGGTTGGGGAGCAGCAGCTGAGAGCACAGCACAAAGAAAGTACACGGAAATGAGTGTGACAGGAAATGACTGTGACACCCAAGAACGTATTGTAAGACTGGAGAGCGAGGCCGGAAGGGGTGAAAGGTCTGTGCGCAGTGACTCAGTGTCTACCTAGCATGATGTGATGTCTCAGGTGGGCGTTCCTCCCCGCTGCCCAATGGCTTCCATTTCCAAAACCTTTTTAGAAGAGTTGCCAAGGTGGGTCCATAATCTGTGAATTTTAGTCACGTTGTGGTCCGTTTTCTGCTTCTATGCCACAGTTCCCAAGGTTGAATACTCATACAGAGAAGAAGTTTATTGAGCTCTGGTGGAGGCTGGCCCCAACTGCTCAGCCTTTGGTGAAGGGTCCCCTGGAATGGGGCACACGTGCTGCAGAACCAGAAAACAAACATCCATGTGCAGACCGTAGTCAACACCTGTAAGGACCTACTCCCAGAGGAACAAACTCACTTATCAGACCAGCAGTATTGCCTTCTGAGGGCAAGACTGTAATGATCTAATTACCTAATGTGAGCCCCACCTCCTGCCAGTTTGCTCTTTTTTTCCCTGTTAATTGATTTATTGCGCCTGGCGTGATAGTGTAGTGGTTAAAGTCCTCGCCTTGATATGCCCAGGATCCCATATGGGTGCCGGTTCTAATCCCGGCTGCTTCACTTCCCATCCAGCTCCTTGCTTGTGGCCTGGGAAAGCAGTTGAGGATGGCCCAAAGATTTAGGACCCTGTACCCATGTGGGATACCCAGAAGAAGCTCCTGGCTCCAGGCTTTGGATCAGCTCAGCTCCAGCCGTTGCAGCCATTTGGGGAGTGAACCATCGGACGGAAGATCTTCCTCTCTGTCTCTCCTCCTTTCTGTATATCTGACTTTCCAATAAAAATCTTTTTAAAAAAATAAATTGATTTGTTTATTTGAAATGCTTGATGAGAAAAAGAGAAAAATCTTCTATCCACTGATCTAGTCTTCAAATGGCCACATCAGCTGGAACTGGTCCAAGGCCAAAGCAAGGAGCTTCCAGAATTCCGTTTGGATCTCCCATATTTGGGCCATGGTCTGTTGCCTTCTCAGGTGCATTACTGGAAGCTGGTGTAGAAGTGGAGCAGCTGGGACTTGAACTCATGCTCTAATATGGAGTGCCGGCATCTCTGATCCATAACCCCCTGAGCCATAATGCTGGCTCCTTCTTCCTGATTCTGTCAGCTCAACACCAGCCAACTCAGGACCAAGTGTTTGGTACAGGTGTTTATCCTTGGGAACATATCAAACTCACATTCAAACTCTTAGACTCTCTGCTTTTAATTTTTACAATTTCATCAGGGGCCCTGTGCAATGACTCAGTAGCTAAATCCTCACCTTGCATATGCCAGGATCCTGTACGGTCACCAGTTCGCATCCTGGGTGCTCGACCTTCCATCCAGCTTGCTGCTTGTGGACTCGGAAGGCAGTGGAGGACAGCCCAAAGCCTTGGGATCCTGCATCCATGTGTAAGGCCAGGAAGAAGCTCCTGGTTCCTGACTTCAGGTTGGGTCAGCTGCAACCAATACAGCAATTTGAGGGAATGAACCAGTGGATGGAAGATTTTTCTCTGTCTCTCCTACCTCCGTGAATATGATCTCTCCAATAAAAATAAATAAATCTGAAAAAAAAAAAAAGCAAGAAAAAAATCTCATCAGATTTTTCAAGAGGAGATGTAGGTATGTCAGGTTGTCTCCCAGAGAATCCAATGCTCCTTTTGTCCACAAGGAGTAACGAAACAAGACTTGCGTTTCACTTGGAGGGATTAGGTTCCTAGACAGCCAACTGATGGACTCAAACCAGATGGTAAAATGGAGTTTGACAGAAGAGTTGTTTGCAATTGAGGTTTTAGTGTATTGCCTGTCTCCAAGAGTCCCACCTTAGTCCTTTTATTAGAAGCACAGGGGTGGGGTTGGCACCACAAGAGTAGGCTAAGTTTTCATTTATGGCATCAACATTCAATATGGGCTGCAGTTCAAGTCCTGGCTGCTCTGCTTCTCATCCAACTCCCGCTAATGCACTTGGGAAAACAGTGGAGGATGGCTCAAGTCCTTGGGCCCCTGAACCCACATGGTTAGAGCAAGAAGTTCCTGACTCCTGGCTTCAGATTGGTTCCTCTCTGGCCATTGTGGCCATTTGGAGAGTAAACCAATGGACAGATGATCTCTCTCTGTCTCTCCTTCCTTTTCTTTCTGTAACTCCACCTTTTGAATAAAAATCAATAAATATATCTTAAACAGAAGCAGCAGCACGGGGCCTCCCTACCACAATGAGCTTCACCAGCAAGATGCTTAAGGTTGCCTATCTGTTGGGGCAGGAACAACAGTTTTACTTCCGGGTCACAATGGGATCAGATATGGGATCAGATCTCTGGGTCCTCACCATGAGTCAGGAGGATATGCCAAGAAGTGTGAGGGTGTACAGGGAGCAGCAGTGATGCTGTGGTGATTTGGGGTGCCGGGAGGTACACCCTTGGGACTCACAGGGACTCAAGTTCCTTTTGCTCTTAAGGGACACAGGTGATCTTCTTAGGATGGGTTGGTGTGGTCCATAATTGTACTTCCTTTTCTTACTCTTCCCTTTCAACAAAAGCAGAATTGCCACAAAAGCAATGCTGTTTAGCTAAACAACTCACTTTGGCTTTCATTGTATTCACTTCCCGGTTTCTACCCTTAAGGCAAAGAACCACTGTTTTTCCCCTTCTGGCTATAACATAGCTGCCTTTCAAAACGTGTTGCAGGGGCCCAGTGTTATAGCACAGCTGGTTAAGCCACCAGATTGCCACCAATATACCAACATCCCTCCCATCCATATGAGCACTGTTTTGTGTCCCAGCTGTTTCACTTCCAATTCAGCTCCCTGCTAATGTGCCTGGAAAAGCAGTGGAACATGGTCCAAGTACTCGGGCCCCTGTACCCCCTTGAGACACCCACATGAAGCTCCTGGCTTCAGCTTGGCCCGGCCTTCGCCGTGGCAGCCATTTGGGCAGTGAACCAGCAAATAAATAAATCTCTTATGTCAATGATAGAAGTGAAACGCGTATGTGGCAAACTGCAAAGGCAATTCAAGCTGCAAGGTGGTAGAGAGAGATGATAAAAGCCAGAGGTGATAGGGAATGACTGGTGTCAGTTGGCTTTGAGCCAGAATGGGATTTCAGTCACCAAAGTGGGGGAAGGGTGTGCCCGAGCCACTCCTCTCAGCCTTGCTGTTTCCAAGGCAAAGCAAGATGACCTCATCCTTTTATTTGCAGTTAGCCAGTGAGAAGGAACCAATATCTATAAATCCCTGACACTGTAGAGGCTCTATTATCAGTAAGTTTATTAGTTTATTCCAAATGTTATAGAGTCACCCACTAAGCCCAGGGTGAATAACCTAGTGGCTATATCCTGCTTTGTATACCCTGGGATCTCATATGTATACCAGTTGGTATCCTGGCTGCTCCACTTCCCATCCAGCTGCCTGCCGGTAGCCCGGGAAAGCAGTAGAGAATAGCCTGCACCTGCATGAGACCCCTGGAATAAGCTCCTGGCTTTAGATTGGCTCAGCTCCAGTTGTTGTTGCTATTTTGGGGGGTGAACCAGTGGATGGAAGATATTTCTCGGTCTCTCCTCTCTGTAAATCTGACTTTCCAATAAAAAAAAAATCTCTCTCTCACACACACACACACTCAAAGTGACCCACTACACTGGAGTTCCTAAAACAGAAGACCCATGGGTCCTTGCAGTGGGTAAGTAACTGTTTTTAACTCCCAGCCCGGGAATGGTGCATTTCAAGAGCAAAGTATTGAGTACAAGATGACCTAAGTATTGAGATCAGCCTGACAGCTGGTTTCTCAAACACCTTTTGCAGCCAGGAGTTGGTCAGAACTCGGTGAGGAGTTCTTGTAATTCAACAAGGGATGGAGGGAGGGAGTGAGAGAAAGAGAGAGAGAGGTTGGAGGGCATGCTGCCTTGTGTTGTATAAGGCTCAGCAGTGATGGTGTGAAGATTTTTTCTTTGGTATTTTATTTCTTTGGTATTTTTTTCTTTGGTCGTGGGTCCATGGTTGTGGTTCATTTTTTTTTTTTTTACAAAAGCTTATTTGTAAATGTACAACAGGCTCCAATTTAACACTTCATTCTAACTATGGGCAGCAAAAGACACTCTGGCTGGGAATCCAGATGTTAAAACACGCGTGGGGTTGAGGGCAGCATCACTTCAGACGCAAGGAGTAGCTTACTTTTTGCCAGATTTCTTAATTCCACCTGTCGCCAGGGGCCCTTCCCGGCAGACTTTCAGCATCTTGAGCTTCTTCTGGTCCTCTTTCTGTTTCTGCTTGAAAGCTTTATCCTCTTCATCCATCTCCTTGGCCTGCTTCTTAGGTTGTTTCAAGGGCTTCTTTTTGCCACTTTCCGGCTGGACACAGCGCCTGCTGTTGTGGTTCATTTAAAAAGTCCGAATACCCAAATACATGTAACAAAACAAACAACAACAAAACAGGGAGCACATGGCTAGTTGCGAAAGGAGATGGCGCCCCACCTGCGCGGTAGCCCAAGGTAGGTGCAGCTGTGCCAAGACCTTGGGGCGTAGTCTGGGGGACGTCGGTTCCGGCTGGCCTGCCCGTGGGGGATGGGGGCTTGAATGAAAACTCAGATCCCGGAGGGCCTCCTTTAGCTCCTCAACTAGGCAAGTGCCTCCCTCTTCCCGCGTCCCACTGGATGCTTTAACACGCACGTAGTTCCGAACACCCTCGGCTAGCCTGAGAAACAGCAACGCGCCCGGTTCTGCAGTGGAGAAAACCGAATTTGGAAGCGTGGGTTAAAGAAACGTGCTCGAGGACACCTGCGGTCTCTTTTGGCCCAAACCCTCCCTCTGGGTGTCCCTCGGTAGGCGGCCCCCTTTCCCAGCCACGTCCGCAGCCCCTAGCTGTTGCTCCCAAACTGCTCCAGCCGTCTGGCTAAAGCGCTCGGGGGAGCAGCGCGCGCGTCTCGGCGCCGGAGTCCTCCCCTGCAGGAGGAAGCTTTCCCTAGCCACCCAGCCCAGGGCCCAGCGCTCGAGGCGTCTGGTCGGGTCCCAGGTATCGGGGCATCTGCGCTCTCGGTACTGACTCCCAGGGTTCTGGGGAGAGGGCCGGTTCCCAGTCTGGGCTTCGCTGCAGCCGCCTGCACCTCCCAGCCCTGGCTCCAGCGCCACCACGGCGTCCTCCCCGGGGTTGAGCGTTCCGACCCGGAGGTCCAGAGGGAACGAGGGACTAGGTCGGGGCGCAGCGAGGTGCGGGAGGCCGGCGCGGGCTGCGACCCAGACAGGGAGACGGGCGGGGAGGGCCGGGGGGCGTGGAGTCAGCGGGGCGGGCCGGAGGCGTGGTCCCGACGGGGCGCGGCCGGCTCCCGGGCTCCGGGGCTCCCGGGCTGGGCCTCGGGTGGCGCTGGGGGGTAGGGGTGGCCGGGGCGGGCCGGGGGCGGGGTCGGGCAGGGACGCCCTGTAGGGCTGGCGGCGGCCCGGCGGCGCTTCAGTCCGTGGTCCGCGCCCTCACCGCCAGCATGACTGACGCGCTGCTCCCTGCGGCTCCCCAGCCGCTGGAGAAGAAGAGCGACAGCTACTTTCGTAAGGTGGGCAGCTTGAAACGCATCGGGGAGTCGGCGACCCCCTTTCCTTCGGCTGTGGAGGCAGGCAGCAGAGCGCGCAGCCCGGGTCGACCAGGCCGGGAAGGGGAAGGGGGAGGGGGCGCGCTGGCCGTTGCTGGCCGGGCGGAGGATTGGGGTTGGAAGGAGGTGAACGAAGGCGATGACGACTGGGGCGGAGGCTCCCAGAACAGGTGCCAGCCGGATCGAGAAGGCTCTAGGCGCAGGTGCAGGCGGGGGATGGGGGGGAGGTGTCCCCAGTCGGGGACCCCGCGTGCCTGTGGGAGGGACCTGGTCTTTGCGCTGCGCGGCCTCGTTGCGCATGGGAACCCAACCTCTTCGTCTCCTTATTCCAGGAGTGCTTGGCGGGTTGTAGGCGAAGACGGAAGGGCGACCATAGATGCAGGTCGGCCTGCTCGTTCCACCTCCAAAATGATCCCCCCCGACCGCCTCTTTGACGCGGATGGGGGTTGCTGGCGGGAGGGGACGTCTGTCGTCGGGGTCGTTTCTGAGGCCGCGAGCTCGGCGGGCGTGGGCAAAGACTGTGGTCCGCTCCCCCCACTTCTCCCCCGGCACTTGGCGCTAAAGCCGATTTATCTGGTTGTCGGGGAGACGGCGTGCGCGGGCGCTCCGTATCTAGGGTCGGTGCGGGGGGGACACTCATCGAGCTCTGGCCCTGCTCCAACACGACCCGAGCTCACCGGTGGTAAGGTCTGGACTCCCGAGACGCTTTCTTAGCCGAGACGCCGCAAAGCCTTACACGCCTTTCTTGTCGCAGGTTCCCCTGGTGAGTCTCAAAATAGCTTTTGGCGTTGGGCCAGGGAGCCCTGAGTAGGTTGTGGGATTGTTTCTTATGTTTTTGTAACTGATGCAGCTGAGGTACGGTGTGCGCAATTATCAATAGGGAAGTGGAAACTGTTTTCCCACAGAGCAATCAATTCTCAATTGTTCCCAACCCAGCGATCCGGTTCCTTAAAGGTCCTGGCCTCTCCCTACCGCCACCACACGTGACACTGCCTCCTTTGGCTTTTGCTGGCCGATGGTGAGGAGCGGTGAGGGACCTTCAGGAGGGAGTCAGGTGGGGACTTGATGGGCACGGTTCACTTCTTCAAGTTGCTTTAGCGTTAACATAAAAGGAGCAGTTTTGAGATATATTTAAGTTCAAAGATGTCATCATGGAATTACAGGATTATAACTTCTAATTATGTGTGGCATTCGGGACCAGGAATCACAGGCCAGGGAATTGCAGGAGGGAGGCCTGGAAATCCCTTGATGCCCGCCCTGTCCTGGGGCCCCGAGCCTGACTGCCCTGCTACCCCCACGAGGCCTCCCAGCAAGCTGCTGCTGCTTCATGGGACTTCTGGTGAACAGGTGCAATTGTAACCAGTATCAGCATAGGGAGTGGAGAGTGGGAGAGGATGGCAGATGGGGTGGCACACCCGTGAAGGTGATGGGCCCATACCCTTCCCCAACATCTGTTCTTGTTGGGGAACAGGAAAAGCCTCCACAGCTGTGAGTCCCAGAGAATGCACGAGGTGGCTGGCAAGGAACCCATGAGAGGCTGCCCAGCTGTGTGCACTTGAGGTGGAAGAGTGCAGAATCCAGGGAAGCAGGGCTTTCCATCTGTTTTGGAAACCAGACTTTGTCATGGTCCTTGCGCTCCCTCATTCCGGTCCCGAAAGTGTTCTTTGTACCAGGAAACTGGGAGGTGTTGACGTTGACTGTTTCCGGATCCCTGGCCAGTGTGACCTAAAACAAATACTTGCTGAATGAAAAGCAGGTGCTGTATAGGTGCCTGAGGGGAGGCAGAGCTGGGGCAGAGGGAGCCGCACAGGCCGAGGCTTGTGTTGGGGGCCTGGCAGCTCAGAGTCACAGAAGCTGCTGAGGAGTCAGGAAACTGCCGGAATCCATCAACGTGTATTTATTCAGAAGGCGATGTGACAGAGAGAGGTTTCCCAACTGCTTCTTCTCTCCCCAAAGGACTGTAATAGCCAGTAACTGCATGGGGGTCTCCCACGTGGGTAGGTACTGCCTTCTCAGGTGCCTTAGCAGGGAGCTGAAGCAGAAGCATACAGACCAAGAAGCAGCTCACCTGCTGTGCCACACAGAGCCAACTCCATCAAAGTATTGTAAGACAGGCATAGAGGCTTAGGCTGCTGGTGGCCATGCCAACATCCCAAATCAGATTGTGGGTTCCAGTCCAGCGTCCCCACTAAAACATATCCTGGGAAGAGGCAGCGGGTAATTGTTCATGTATTGGGGTTCCCTGCCACTCATGTGGGAGACCTGAATGGAGCTCCTGGCTCCTGGTATTAATTTGACCCAGCCCTGGCTGTTGTTGCCATTTGGATAGTGAGCCAGAGGATGGAAGATGTGTGTGTGTGTGTGTGTGTGTGTGTGTGTGTGTGTGTGTGTGTGTGTGTGTGTGTGTGTGCGTGCGCATGCGCAATGGCACTGTGCTTCTCAGAGAAGTAAATTGCAAAGACCTCACAAGCCCAGACATGTGTGATTGGTGTCAAAGGTCGTTTGACCTGCTGAGTGGTCATGAGTGGGGGACAGGGAAGGCAGCTGGGATGCTAGGTAGGAGGAAATGGGGGCTTCTGGTCCCCGATTCCCATCATTGTCTTCCTGCTCGGCTGAAGGCTCCTGGTGACTTCAGTCGGTTCTATATCAGTGCTCAGCAGCCTTCCTTCCCACCAGCTGTGCCTCAGACTCGGACCTGGGCTCCAGGTGGAAAGCTGGGGTGCCAGTGGATAGGTTAGAATGATGAGAGCCGGGGCAAGGCAGTGGCTGCAGGGATGGGAAGAGCTGACAGGTTACTGTGGGAACGGAGTTCAACGTGTTTGCAAAAGGTTGATGGTCCCAAGAGGACGTGAGCCAGGAGGCTGGAGACGGGCACAAGTGGTTTTGAGGCCCTCGGTGGCCTCCGTGGAGAGTGCGTCTTGCAGCCATGAGCGGGTCCAGGCTGGAGATGCAGCGTTGGGGCGCGCTGGGGACCCTGAATGAAGGACAGAGATAGGAGGCAGCCCTGAGGCTGGGTGCTGGAAGGGAGCTGAGAGGTGTGTCCCCATAGCAGGGAGGTGAGGTTGGCAAGCCAAAGGGCACCAGAAGGTTCTGGATGTAGTCCTTTGCAAGGGGTGGGGGACGTGTTAGTGATCAGAGAGTTGGGGACAGAAGTCATTGCTGTGGACACAGTGGGCAGGAGGGAAATGGGATAGAGAGGGCAGGATTGTTCTGGAATGAGCTAAGTCTGGTGCTGAAGAAGCCAGGTGTGTGGAGTAGGGGGCGTGGTGGGGGAGACAGGGAGGGGCTGAGGATGGGAAGAGCTGCTGCAGGGATCAGAGTGGCTAAGACAGCCAGGGCAGTGAGCCCGGGCCCTTGAGGCTGAGAGTGACGTCCAGGCAGCATAGAGCTGCCCCGTATCATCAGCAGCTCACAGAAGTCTTGGGACATTGGGGATTTTGTACACAAATGGCAGCAGCAGGTAGGGCTGGGTCAGATTGAAGCCAGATTGAACTCCTAATTCCCCACTCAGGTGGCAGGAGTTTGTACTTGGGTTTGACACTCCTAGAAAATAGCAAATTATTTTCTACTAAGAGCAAATTATTTCCTGCTAACATCAGGCTTTTCTTCCATCCTCTTCTCTTTGTCAGATGGCTCTTCTCTGTCTTTATAACTTTGGGGATTTATTTATTTGAAAGGCAGAGTTAACAGAGACGGGGAGACATCTTCCATCCACCAGTTCACAGCCACAAATGACCGCAATGGCCAGGCCAAAGTCAGGAGCTTCCTCTGTGTTTCCTGCATGGGTGTAGTTGCCCAAGGATTTGCACTATCCTCTGCTGTCTTCCCAGGCCATTCACAGGTAGCTAGATAGGAAGTAGAGAACCCGTGCTCATAAAGGATGCTGGAACTGCAGGTGATAACCCGTGAAGCCATACTGCCAGCCCCTCCTCTTTTCTCTACAATGCTATTCTGCTTCATTCAAAAGTGTCTGACTCACAGTGGCTCTGTGGCTGCAGTTCCCGGTGGGCCTTCCTCTCCTGGAGCAGTGAGGCTGGAGGGTGGGAATTCCTGAAGCTGCTCCTCTTCAGTCCAGGGAGCAAAAGCCGAGCCTTATCTCCTTATCTCAAGTGTTATCTTGTGTTCTGTGTGACTTATGCACACAATGAGACTGAATTGCCCACAAGTGCCTTTGCCAGTGGGTTTGGGCCCTGAATGAGCAAGACAGAGGGAGGGGCTCTGTAACACTTGGCTGTCCAGAGCCTGAGAACACAGTTTAGGTCCAGGTTGGGCAGGGAACCCTGGTGTGAACCCGGTCCTGCTCCATGCTCACATCAACATTCAGAGGTCTCTGGTTTGAACAGGAAGAATTTCCCGGTCTACCACAGCATCACCCATTTCTCTGCTCTGCTTCTTTCGTTGAGCTCTTGTGTTTAAATGCTAAAACAGCTCTTGAAGATTACTGTAGGTGACTTTTTTTTTTTTAAAGATTTATTTTATTTTTATTGCAAAGTCAGATATACAGAGAGGAGGAGAGACAGAGAGGAAGATCTTCTGTCCAATGATTCACTCCCCAAGTGGCCACAACAGCTGGTGCTGTGATGATCCGAAGCCAGGAGCCAAGAACCTCCTCCGGCTCTCTCATGGGGTGCAGGGGCTTTAGCTGCTAGGGTGTCGTGCCAGACCTGCTATAGGTGACTTTTTTAAAAAAATAATTTACTTTACTTTTAGTTGAAAAGCAGAACAATAGAATGAGGGGGAATGACTGATTTTCCATTCAACTGGTTCACTTCCCAAGTGGCCACAATGGTTAATGCTAGGCCAGGCAAAAGCCAGGAGTTTCTTCTGGGTCTCCCACATGGGTATAGGGGTCAAAGACTCCGTTGTTTTCCCAGGCCATTCATTAGCAAAGAGCTGGATCAGAAGTGGAGCAGGTAGGACTCAAACCTGTGCCAAGATGGGATGCTGGAGCCACAGGTAGAGAA